TCAATCGGTTTCGCATATGTTTGGTTCGTGGATGAAGTTGGTGATCATAAGATCTTTCTCGAAATTTTGAAACAAAGATTAATTGATGTTAACATACATGAATTGCCAACCAGAATTCAAAAAAGTGAAAGTCTAAACGATTATTGTACATGTATATATAAAACCAATCTAAGCCAAGAATCATACTTGACAGTTAACATAAATCAAAACGTAAAAAGAAATATCATTAGCCTATAATCTGTTTAGACGTAACCAAAGCAATAGTCCTACTTGTACATTATGTAACTGTGGTATAATTGTTTCATCTTATTATTGAGTGTAACCATTATAATCATTTACGATCAATTTATATACCTCATCAGTATATCAGTCACGCCCCTAATAAAGCAAAATTCTAATCAACTATGTAACAGTTACGATATAAATACACTTGTTTTGTTATCCTGTTATCTAAATAAAGCTATGCATATTAGACAATTTAATTGTACATTGTGAAACTTTACGCTGTGTTTGATGAATCAGATATTAAAATAATAAGCAAGCTGTATATTGTAAATAGAATAATAATTTATCATTGTTCAATATTATTATATTGCATTATATTTATACCTCAAAACCAACTTATTAAACAATTTATCATATTAAAAACTATCCATCAATATATTATATACTAAATTCTATATAATTACTTGAAAATTTATCACTATGTATATATGTTCTAATATTATTTGTATCTATAGATCGTAAGATCTCCATACTGATTAAATAAATATTATTATTATTAGTGTGATCTGCATAAGTTAATTAATGTCTAATTAATAATTTAGATAACATTTCAGGCCTAACGAAAGACCTGCAATTGGCAAAGTTAGCTCTTGCATAATGTAAGTTTAAGTTACTATATATAGCAGTAGTGCCTTAGTTCCTTAACCTCTGCTTCCACAAAAGCGATATCGCAAACAAGAATATTAAGTTAAAAATTTAGTGATTAAGGGAGATAACGTGAAAAGGCGAGACATTTACCATCACTTTTATCGTACATTTATTGCATGTTTTCCACTTGATAATCTATAATAACAGTCTCGGTGCCTTCCCACGTACTTTCAATCCCGGCATTTCATTTAAAAGCATCTCAATAAATCCAGTGTACCCTTACCCCAAAGTCCGATAGCCACCTTCAACCAGTGGCTGCCAGGCAGGATACGCCAACATTTTCGAGAGATGGATAGAGAACAAGCTAAAAAGAAAGTGATTTTTCCTACAATCAAGGGCCATAATTCATGAAGTTACGATCCGATATGCGACAATATCGAAAGGAACCAAGATCTTTAGGTTATAAACATGCATTTCAAGTTTCATCAAAATCGGATTAAAATTGTGACCTCCACAGGGTCCACAACCTTGATATACCATATTTTTTTACACTATTCGCGTACAAGCGGCGGCCATTTCGTCCGAGTTTTGTTCAGATTTTCACGAAATTCGAACTCAACCTTTATTATGGTGTTAATGGTGATATATTCAAACGATTTTAAAATCAGATAATAACTGTGACCTTCAGAGGAACTACAAGCTAACAAAAGGTGATTTTTCGTATAATCAGGGGCCATTATTTATTCAGGAAGTTACGATCCGATATGCGACAACATCGAAAGAAACCAAGATCTTTAGGTTATAAACATGCATTTCATCAAAATCGAATTAAAATTGTAACCTCTACAGGGTCCACAACCTTGATATACCATATTTTTTTTTACACTATTCGCGTACAAGCGGCGGCCATTTTGTCCGACAATTTTCGTCCGATTTTCACGAAATTCGAACTCAACCTTCCTTACGGTGTAACGGTGATATAGTCAAACGTTCTTTTAAATCGGATAATAATTGTGACCTCAAGAGGGACCACAAGCTAAAAAGGGCGATTTTTCGGACAATCAGGCGCCAGAATTCAGGAAGTTACGATACGATATGCGCAAATATCGAAAGGAACTAAGATCTTTAGGTTATAAACATGCATGTCAAGTTTCATCAAAATCGAATTAAAATTGTGACCTCTACAGGGTCCACAACCTTGATATACCATATTTTTTACACTATTCGCGTACAAACGGCGGCCATTTTGTCCGGCAATTTTGGTCCGATTTTAATTCGAACTCAACCTTCCTTACGGTGTAACGGTGATATAATCAAACGTTCTGTTTTAAATCGGATAATAATTGTGACCTCCAGAGGGACCACAAGCTAAAAAAAAAAGGCGATTTTCGGACAATCAGGGGCCATAATTCAGGAAGTTACGTTCCGATGGGCGCAAATCTCGAAAGGAACCAAGATCTTTGGGTTATAAACATGCATGTCAAGTTTCATCAAAATCGATTCAAAATTGTGACCTCTATAGGGTCCACCAGCAAAAAACGTGATTTTTCGTACAATCAGGGGCCATAATCCATGAAGTTTCGATCCGATACATGCCAATATCGAAAGTGGCCGAGATCTTCTGGGGATAAACCTATATTTCAAGTTTCGTCAAAATCGGATAAGAATTGTGACCTGTAGAGAGTCCACAAACAATTGTGGACGGACGAACGGACGTCCGGACGTCCAGACATACGGACATCCGGACGGATAGGGGCGACGACAATATACGTCCACATGAAAATTTGGTCGTAAAAAACATTAGTAAATTAAACTTTTTCAGGAAGGACACATCAAGATGATAATGTCAAAATCAGCATGTGTTCCATTATCATTCTTCCTCCTAGCTTTATTTTTCTTTTGAAATTTTTGTCCCCCGCCTTTCGAAGAAAGCAGGGGACTATTAAAATGGGTCCGTCCGTCTGTTTGTCCGTCCGACCGTCCGTCTGTCCGTCCACAATTGTTTGTGGACACTCTACAGGTCACAATTCTTATCCGATTTTGACGAAACTAGAAATGTAGGTTTATCTCCAAAAGATCTCGGTTGCTTTCGATATTGGCATGTATATTCCTGAATTATGACCTCTGATTGTACGAAAAATCGCGTTTTTAGCCAGTTGTCCCTCTAGAGGTCACAATCAATATCTGATTTAAAAAAAAACCCGTTTGAATATGTTACCGTTTATATTGTTGTTTGAGTTCGAATTACATGAAAATCGGATCAAAACTGCCAGACAAAATCCCCCCCCCCCCCCGGACGCAAATAGTGTAAACATCTGGTATATCAATGTAGAGGTCACAATTTTGATCCGATTTTGATGAAACTTTAAATACATGTTTATAACCAAAGGATCTTGGTTGCCGTCGATATTCGCGCATATCGGATCCTAACTTCCTGAATTAGGCCTATGTCCCCTGATTGTACGAAAAATCGCGTTTTCAGCTTGTGGTCCCTCTAGAGGTCATAATTATTTTTTGATTTGATTTAAAAACACGGTTCGTATATATCACCGTTAAACCGTAATGTTGGTTGAGTTCGAATTTTGTGAAAACTGCCAGACAAAATGGCCTCCCCTCATAGTGTTAACATCTGGTAGGCCCATATCAAAGTTGTGGACTCTCTAGAGGTCACACTTTTGATCCGATTTTGATAAAACTTGAAATAAAATACATGTTTATAACCCACAGATCTTGGTACCTGTCGATATTTGCGCATATCGGATCGTAACTTCCTGATTATGGCCCTTGATTGTACAAAATTTAGAGGTCACAATTTTTATCCGATTTAAAAAAAAGGTGTGAATATATCACCGTTACACACTAAGATCTTGATGAAACTTTAAATTTATATTTATATCATAAAGGTCTTGGTTCCTTTTGATAATCGCGCATATCCGAACGTAACTTCCTGAATTATCGCCCCTGATTGTTCGAAAAATCGCATTTTCAGCTTGCGGATTCTCTATAGGTCACAATGTTTTTTTCCGATTTTAAAAACCGTTTAAATGTATCACCATTCCACCATAATGAAGGTTGAATTCGAATTTCGGGAAAATTGAAATGAAACTGCCAAACAAATTCAAATGGCCGCTCTTTGTACACAAATTGTGTAAAAGTATGTAATACGAAGGTTGTGGACCCTCTAGAGGTCACAATTTTTATCCGATTTTGATGAAACTTGAAATGTATGTTCATAACCCAAAGATATCTTCCTGGATTATAGCCCCTGATTGTACACAAAAATCACATAATTTTTTTAGCTCGTTCTCTGTCCCTCTCTTGCAAAATGTGGGCGTATCTTGCATGGCAACCGTTTGTTATGATTATCATTTTTTAAACGATTTATTTATATTTTTGAAAATATTTTCTGATGAGGAAAGAATTTTTGTAACTTGATAAACACTGATCATCGAAAATGGATGTCAAAAATGTAAGTCAAAATTGTGATTCAAGGTTCAGCACGTATTACATACCGGTCACACGTAATACAATTACTGCGTGTTTGATAACGACTAGCCTGGTCGAAACGTCGCTCAGTAGTAATAAGCAGTAATTGTATTACATAGAATTGTGACCTGTGTGTATTCCAGTTCAATTACTAAATGCCATTGAAATTTATCGTATTACATAGTCAGTAATAGATTATTAGAAGGGTTTGGTGGGCTTAATTAGGGATTTTAATCCATCAGTTGATTAATAGTACCCACTTCCTTTCTTTAAAAAACAGCATGTAATTGATTAGTTGCAACCTTGTTTAAAATTATTATGTTTATCAAATGAATAAGAGTCAGTAATTGGTATTTTTATCAAAGAAAAATAAAAATTGTCTCCGTTATGGTTTATATCTGTTGTGGTCACATCCCTAATATTAACTAGTCAATCTATTCAATATCAAATCGTAAATTCGTGTATTATTTGTCCTGTAACCTTGGAATTTTCGCTTTTATTGGAAGTTGACAGTTGTGCACAAGCCCGTAGAAGAGCGAAAAAATGGACTGGTTAGTCAAAAAAACTAAAATCGAGACTACATAATACCACGTGACTTATTTCCTATGCAATGACCTCAGGGTCAGCTAAAATTTGGCGGGAGAAAACACGTGATTAATACGGCGGGAAAGGCTTTGTTGTTGATTGATAATCGAGCGAAGCCATCATGGATGTCGTTGATCAAGCTCAACAAACTAATCAAATCAAAGATCAAGTCGGTGAAAGATGTCAGAAATTATTTCAGGATTTTCTGGAAGAGTAAGTGTAGAAAAGTTTGTCGATGTCGATGATTTGATTACATGTCATTTCGGTCCCGCGTCATTTCGGACTTACGTCATTTCGGACTCCAAAAAATATGTCCCCGACATTTCGGACTCGGGTAGGTGACATTTCGGACTCGGGTAGGTGACGTTTCGGACTCGGGTAGGTGACGTTTCGGACTCGGGTAGGTAAGATAGAATTATACAACACACTGACGCCAATTTACTTTATAAACTATTTTATTTATCAACATAGCATAAAATGATAACATCGATTTATAACAACGGGCATATTATTTTATTTTTAAACATACCATATAGCGATAACAACGGTCATATAAAACATTCATTTATTGTATAAATACATACACATTCATACATTAACGCAACATTTATAACAACACGTGTATTTATTTGATGAAAAAATAGCTTTAGTCGGCTATTCATTTTTTTTTTTTTTTTTTTCATTTTTTTAATTATGTAATTGTTTTTCACTGAGCGGGTGGACCATACAAATGACTTATTTTTTTTAATAGTCTACTAGTGCTCATCTGTTTTTCATTGTATGAATCCCATATATTAAAAAGTTGGCCTTCTACATGTCGATACCGACGTCTTTGGTGTCGTCTCAATGAACCTTCCGACATCATTGTGAGGTCCAGTGGTATCTTTGTAGCTTCTGAAAAAAGTGCGCAAATCAATAGATAAAATGGCACAGGACCTCTGGCGTTGACACGGGAATTTAGTCTGTTGTGCCAGCCCTCCACGTCGTTATTGGTTCTCACTGGCAACATAAACACGCACCAATCTTCTATTGGAAACAGACGAGATGAAATCCATTGATCTTCTATGTATGTACATATCGGCTCTAACTGTTCTGGGCACCTGTCTTTCAAATGGGCAAACATGCCCGCCACGTGTTCTTCGGGCAGGAAAGGGAGAGCCATCAATCGCCTCAAATAATTAAACACGTCCCCCTTTTCGTTGTACGCTGTCTGAAATAATAAAATATTAGAAATATATTAATACTGAAAATCTATTTGTGCACTTGTACTTTAAAAGAAGATATTATAATAAGAATTTTTTTATTTTACTATAAGAAGATTTATTATAAGAAGAACGCACAACATACCTGGAATCCCTTTTCTTGAATTTTCCGGAAAACGGCCTGGGTCCAATGAAACACGCATCCTTGAATTCTTATATCTACAAAACGGCGTCTAAGGGCCTGCCATAACCCCGCCTCAAAATCCACCACAAATCCCTCCAAGGCAATCTGGCTTGGTAGCATCTTGTCCACTGCCCGGAGAACCTGTAAAATAAATAAACCAAACGTTCATTTATCTGATTATATTTATTCATTTATCCGATTGTAATCATTTCTCCGATTATATTCATTTCTCCGGTTATTCATTTCTCCATTTTTTCCGATTATATTTATATCATTTTTTTATTCCGAGTTTATAGATCACATCTTACCTTGTAGTAATCGTCCTGACTCTTCCCGGACATTACACAAAAGACAAGTGGTACCTGCTTCGTGGTTTCCCCGGCTTTTACGAAAGCGTGGATAGAAAATAATTGAGAATATGGTTTGTTGATAACTCGGAAGGTGGCGTCCATGTACCACGTTTTAGCCTTTGCCAAAAGTCGCAGTTGATCTTCAGTGGCAAAGATGTGATGTCGCCTTTCCCCTACTTTAACCCGCTTCTGGTAGAAGCCGGGAGCGTTGCTGTCAATAAAGTCTTCATCTACAGCATTTCCATTCAAAAGCAGTTCTATGTCGGTTTAAACTCCTGTACTCATCCCGAGTGATGCCTGAAATAGTGATAAATAAAATAATAATATTCCCGGATTGCGGGTACGTGTCAATAAATAACAATAACGACAAATTTATAACGTTTCAATAAATAACAATAACTTACAAGCTGAAACGACAAATTTATAACGTTTCAATAAATAACAATAACTTACAAGAAACGACAAATTTAAAACGTTTTAATAAATAACAATAACTTACAAGAAACGACAAATTTAAAACGTTTTAATAAATAACAATAACTTACAAGAAACGACAAATTTAAAACGTTTTAATAAATAACAATAAAGAAAATTTCATTACGTACCGGAATCGCAGGTTCGATGTTGCCATAAAAGACAAGAATCGCACTGGAGGCCTTCTTGTCGAGGACGGACAGGATTGGTACACTTTACGCAATTTCCACTAGCCATGATAGATTCGTGTAAAAATTGAGAATGATTTGAATTGAAATATGGCACATATATATAATACATTTGAGCTTGGGCTCAATCATTTCTTAACGGCTTCATTATTTCTCAATCATTTCTTAGCGGCTATTAGAAACGCCGATCAGTGTTTTTATTTCTCAATCATTTCTTAGCGGCTATTAGAAACGCCGATCAATTATCGCTATTAATCTTAAATACAACAATGGGATGGTTTCACTAATCGCTGGATTCACTAATCGCTAGATTAAAACAACAATCGCGGATCGATTATCGTCAACAATCTAAACTAATTCATCGTCAACAATCAAAATTTACTCATCAAAATACAATAATATCCGATCAAGTAAATAAACAAATACAAAAAAGGCAAGTAGCATAGGTTTTACTTCAAGTTCAAGTTCAAAGGCGTGTTGTCAAGTAATGGCCTGTATGGGATAAATAAAACAAGACTAACAATGTTTAAATCTTTATTAATGTGAATGGTCTGTCTTGAGCCTCACCTACAACGAAAGAAAAACAGCTATTACTAATATATACACACATAATTTTAAGTTTTATTTGAGTCCGAGTCCGAGTCCGAAATGTCGCCGGTCCGAGTCCTAAATGTCGTTTGACTGAGTCCGAAATGACACCGAGTAAGTCCGAAAAGTCGCCATACTGAGTCCGAAACGACGTTTGTGCTGAGTCCGAAATGACGCGGGACCGAAATGACGTGCTACCGATGATTTCCACGATGAATAGACTCCTGACCTGTCATTTATTATCACCCACTAGGCTAATATCTAATAATATATTTTATTTACTCTCCTCATATTATATGTATGCATCTTGTATTAATTTTGCGTTTGGAACTTATTTGTTGATCTATCAGAGAAAGACTTTATGATGGGAAGTTCCAAAACTGCAACTGCAGAACGTTCAATTAAATATATATATTTTTTTTAGAATTAGCCTATTCATTATATTATTATCATTATCAATTGAATTGATGATCGGGGTGTCTCTACTTCCTAGTGAGTGTAAATGGCTTTGGTGAAATGAAAAAAGATTGGGTAGGGTATGTGAAGGGGAAATAGCAGGCCTAACACCAGATAGATCTACAGAAATTCAGCTATCACAATGTGGAGTAAGGACACATTTGGGTTAGAAATGGTTACACTCCTGATGTCTTCCGCCTTACTCCAGCCACAGTAGTGGCTCTTCCTACGGAGTTCCTTTGCACAAGTTTTTTATTCAAATGACTACAAAAAGGTTACTGGCCAATAGCTCCCTTAATTTACACATAAACTGACCCAAAACTGTACTGCACATAGCTTAACATTAAATAAACCATTAAATACTGCATAATTATATAATTTGTTGATGAAACCCAACTGCTATACGGCATACACACTTCATCACACGTCAAACATCGATTTGAAAATGTAGAACGCATTACCACAAAGAAAAACTGTTCGGTAATTATTTTAGTGGTCCAGTCTTCAATATTTGTGATATAATTACTTATTTCAATACAAACTGTAATGATATGTAATATGTGTTGACAATTGTGCGTTTGAACCTATTTGAACTTGCGTAAGGAGTCATAGAGTGACTGTATCAATTGTAGTATTAAACACAGTGAAACGATACATTTAATTGTAGCTACATTTGGGTATGCACAAATGCTAGATTACATGTCACTTTGGTCCAGCGTCAATTCGGACTTTTGACATTTCGAAATCAAAAAAAATATGGCCTCGACGTTTCGGACTCGGAACAGGTGACATTTCGGACTCGGGAATGAGTTGAAAGTTAAGGTTGAACACACAATTACTGTCAAATCAATCTATAATAAACCAAAAGTGATTTTATCATAAAATAACATACAGGTAAAATTTCCCCCTCGCAATCAAGTACAGCACGTGGAATCGTGGATCACACACTGTATAGATCTATCAAGGAACTGCACAATTTTCAATGTTGAATGTTTATCTGTAATATGTATATAAAAAGTAGCTGATGAATTTATTAGAAATAGGCCAATCCAAAACACAAAAGAAAATATTAACATGAAACACATGGTTATTGAAAGACTCTACCATGCGATAAAACATAGTTGCACTTGTGGTTCTTTATCGTTTCCCGTAAAAATAATTTATTTTATTAAAAAAGAATATGCTGTAGAATTTATTTCAAAATAACCTACACAAAAAACCAAAGTAAAAATTTAATCGACATGCACTGTTTTTAACAATAATCCGTAAGCTACACGTTGACATGCATTCCTCGACAAGCTTGCCATAGATAGCAGTACCAATGGATAAATTAGTGCGTACAAAGAAAACTCTTTTCTGGAAAATATTAGACATGGCAACAATCAAAGTGGGATAATTTAAAGCTGATTAACCAATAATCCCTATGTTATTGTAGTATGCACAAAGAAACCTTGCAGTTCCTTAGTAGACGAGGAAAAACGTGAGTTGTCAATCAGCGATAATTGCGTCCGTGTGTTGATTCGATTATTTAAATATTCATCCGAGTCCGAAAGATCATCTGTGTTGAGTCCTAAATGACGCGGAACCGAAATAACGTTCTACAAAATGGTAGCATGCCAAAGCATTTAACTATTTTTTTACTCTTTTAGCTCTAGTCATGCAAATATAAATTGTTTTAAACATTTATCATAATGGAGACAGCAAAAGGGGGACGAAAAGGTCTTTTTAAGTCCAAAGCATTCAACTATTTTTCTATTCAAGCCATGCAAATTATCATTTTATTATGAACATTTGCATCAATATTTATCGTATTGAGATAACAAAAGGGGGACCAGATGGTCTTTTATTAAGGAGAAATTCATATATCACTTTCGAATCAGTTTCTTCATTTATTTATACTACTAGCAGATTAGACCTCACCTCATACAATTACAATGTCCTAATTTCAGTAGACATTTTAAAAAAGCGTAACTGATTAACTGGTTCTTAGCTGTGTACGATGTACATAATAAATACTGTGTTTTTTAATGAGTAATTGTTCAAAACTTGTATTAGTATTATATATTTTTCAGATTTGCTTCAGATGGAGAATCAAAATATTTATCGGAAGTTCAAGAGTTGATTCGACCAGAGCGAAATACGCTGACAGTTGATTTTGAAGATGTAGAGAAATATAACCAACAGTTGGCCACAACTATATTAGAGGAATATTACAGGTGTCTTTAACAATTTCTCTAGTTTTCCTAGCTGTTTTGGAAAAAATTTTAACAACCCTTTAGTATTTTATAAAGCAAAACAAAATTGTTAGTTATTTGAATTGGCCAAATAAGTGAATTTTTGGGTGTTCTGTATTCTGTGTATATAACTTGTACAGGTTCGATACATTATGCTGGATTAGACAGCATGTCGGAATACTCAGTTGCCTCAATTATACCAGAAGTATTATTGTACCTTGGAATACCAGAAGTTTTATTATAATGCACACTCAAATACACAGAACTTATTATATGATAACGCTTTCTGTACATTCAAAATTTTATTACATTATATCAAACAATTGCATAACAAGACACAATAACATAACAATTTAGTTTGAATATATATAATCGTCTAAAGTTGACTAAATAGCACTTGTCATTCAAGCCTTACAATTACCCTACTAATTGATTGACAGGTTGTGTTTGTCCACGCCCTTAAACCACTCTTTGAATTCGTACTTTTGCTAATTCCTTCTGTGTAGGTCATGGAACTTTCTCAAAATCTGCTATAATTTGCTGCTTGACATCCAATTACAAATCCTTCCGGGCATGCTTTGCATTATGATTCTTCATCTCGGCAATTTATATATAATGTCACTGTATTTGACATTGGAAACTCACATCATATACCAAGAGATAATAAATTTATCAAGGTAATCAACAAAGACCGACATGTTTTATGCTCACAGATAATTGATTGGCGATTGCTTGTCGGTTAACACCCACTGATTGAAGGCTTGATAATTCAATGTTAATTGTACGCAAATCGTGTGACAGGACCGCTGATCGATGTCGTAATTCATAATCCGAATTACTCAAAACTTTTTGGGTTGAAGAAATAAGGAAATATGTCGGGACATGAAAATGATGATGGATTTCACAGAATGCCGTAGTATTCAGATGTCGGAAGTCACAGTCCACTGTAATGTATTGTTTGAATTTCTATTTTTTAGAGTTTATCCGTTTATATGTCGAGCTGTTAGAAATTATGCTAAAGATTGGGGACAGATTCCTCCATTAAAGGAATTTTATGTCAGCTTTACAGAAGTACCAACCAGATTGAAGTAAGTATAATGAGAAATAAACAGTGCATGGAATACAATTACTGGAACACTTCCTTTCTGCAATTAATCCTGTACTCCACAAGAGATTCATATTTAAAATTCGTGAGCAGCTTTCAGGTCCTGTGTACACATTGGCGTGCCCGTGAAAGATCCCTTGACAGTTGGAATTCGATATGTCATAGGAGTAGGCCGTAGTGCGGCTGTCTGGGCAAAATTTCCCTCATAGCACACTGTATGGCGTATGCCCGTCTTCATAAGCCCAGTTCAGAGCAGAATAGTAATAATAATAATAATAATCCATCTTGTATAACGCTGGTACATTCAGTAAAACTGCTCAGTGACGCACAATAGTAGGACGTTAAACCCCATTTCATTTCTATTTGTCAATATGGCTTTCTTGATTTAAAAGTTGATGAAACTGTAGTTTTCATCAATACAATTACATTTATTTCAGAGTTCGTGAAATGACAACAGCTAAAATAGGAACATTATTACGTATAACTGGTCAAGTTGTACGAACCCATCCTGTACATCCCGAGTTGGTTAGTGGAACATTCATGTGTTTGGACTGTCGTACTGTCATTAAGGATGTCGAACAACAGTTTAAATTTACACAGGTCAGTGGTTTTAGCCTTGGAATCTTCTAGTCTGTTGAAAGTTATTAATCTATTTCACACCTTTTTTTACAATTGGAAATATCTCTCTCTCTCACTCTCTCTCTCTTTGTATCCAAACTTAACTCGCCAACGCCTACCCACCTCAATACCATTCTGATGAATATTAAAAATGAATATTGTTTTTTCAGCCTACAATATGTAGAAATCCTGTGTGTAATAATCGGCAGAGATTTATGTTAGATGTCAACAAATCAAGATTTGTAGATTTTCAGAAAGTTAGAATACAAGAAACACAAGCTGAATTACCACGTGGTAGTATACCTAGAAGGTTAGTATTCTGTAAATTTATAACCACTGCCAAATAAATATGCTAATTTCAAATAGAAACATTGTCCCCCACCTTTCAAAAAAACAGGGAACTATTAAAATGAGTTTGTCTGTCTTTCACACATTTTGGAACACAATAACTATGCTTGTAATTGAGCTGGAATGTTCAAAGTCAGTGCATTAAAAAGACCTGGATCCATCCATTCAAAGAACACTCAAAATAATTCTCAGTAGTTGTCTATTAAAGTACTAAACTAAGCTTAGGTTTAGTTTCTCGTTTGAACCCGTGACAGGAATCATTTTGGCCAAGTGGATAAGACGCTGGTTTGCTAACCCGGAGGTCGGGTGTTTGATCCCAGCATTGGCCGAGAAAGTTCCTCCAGATTTTCTGGGGTGGTTCACTCTTGTCGCAATTGGAGGAAATGGTGATCGAATGTGTGAGCATATAATGGCTAATGGCATCACTCAAATTATGTTCATTATAAATATTCCAGTGTAGAGATAGTATTAAGAGCAGAAGCAGTAGAAACAGCCCAAGCTGGAGATAAATGTGACTTCACTGGAACGCTTATTGTTGTACCAGATGTCAGTACTATTGCTACACCAGGTATGTCTGATTTATGTCGCCCCTTCACTGGTATTCCGTCAGTCCAGTATTAGGTATTTCAGTTTTAAATGTAACTAAAGTCTTCTTCTAAGTTTCTGTGAGTCAAATACCAATGTTGTAAGAATTTAGATTCTTGCCTTTTTTATACGCCCACATTGAAATGTGGTCGTATATTGTCGTCGCCCCTGGCTACCCTGGATCCACAATTGCTTGTGGATGCTCTAGAGGCTAAAGTTAATATCCAATTGACTTTAAATTTATACTATACACAGTGTTTAAGGTCATGAGACGAAGAACCCTATTGATTTTCAGCGATTTCCGATAATTACTGCCAGAGTTATGGCCCTTGATCACTTTGAAAAATCTTGTGGACGCTCTAAAGGCTAAAGTTAATATCAGATTGACTTTAAATTTATACACAGTGTTTGAAGCCATGAGATGAAGAATCATATTGATTTTCAACGATTTCGGATAATTACTGCCAAAGTTATGGCCATTGATCACTTTGAAAAATCTTGTGACACTCTAGAGGCTAAGGTTATCATCCGATTGACTTCAGATTGATACACAGAGTTTAAGGTCTTGAGATGAACAAGTATATTGATTTTCAATGAATCTTATATTGATTTTCAATGAATCTTTATGACTTGAACAGCTCAATCCAGGATGTTAAAAGTTTCTTATACTAACTTTATAAAAACCAAACAAATTCTAGAAGTCACAATTTGTATTCAATTTTAAAAACCGTTTAAAAATATCACTGTTTGAATTTCTTAAAATCTGACAAACTGCCAGACAAAATGGCCTCTCCTTGTACGCAAATAGTGTAAAACTATGTCATACCAAGGTTGTGGACCCTCTAGAAGTCACAATTGTTATTGGATTTTGATGAAACTTAAAATATGTTATGTCCCAAAGATCTTGGTTCTTTTCGCTATTTGCGCATATCAGACAATAACTTCCTGGATTATGGCCCCTAATAGTACGAAGAATCATGTTTTTTAGCTTGTGGATTCTCTGGAGGTCACAATTTTTTATCAGATTTTAATTTTTTTTAAAAATATATCACCATTCCACAATAATGAAGGTTGAATTCAAATTTGAAGAAAATCGGAACAAAACTGGCCGACAAAATCGTCGCTCTTTGAGTGTAAGTAGGTGATGCCAAGTTTGTGGATTTTGATGAAACTGAAAATATGTATTTATGTCCCAAAGATCTCGGTCCCTTTCGATATTTGCACACATCAGACCATAACTTTCTGGATTATGGCCCCTGATTGTATGAAAAATCACTTCTGTTTCTAGCTTGTTCTCTATCCATCGCTTGCAAAATGTGGGCGTATCTTGCCTGGCAATCACTAGTTTTTATACGCCCACATGAAAATGTGGACGTATAAGGCTGTCGCCCCCATCCGTCCGTCTGTCCATCGCTAAAAGTATCATCCAGTTGTTTTAAATAATTTCTAGAGTTATGGCGGTTGTGAACCTTGTGAACGTTTCAATGACAAAATTGATCATCTGATCTGTATGAAATTTATATGCATTATTTAAATTAGTAAAACGAAAAAGCCTGTCAAATTTCAACAATTTCTGTAGATTACTTCCAGAGTTGAGACCCTTGTTTCAGTTTGTAGAACCTTGTATGGAACTGTCTTGTAAAGGCCCCCAATTACCTACAAAGGAATAAATATGCAACAACCCTTGTGCCTGCTCAGACGATTTAGCTGCTGTGGGCGTATGTTTCGTTTCCTAGCAACCTATCTTTTCTTGTCATATACCCTGCTGGTAATGTAGTGGGCTTTCTTGGGGCTATTTGTATTGAGGACGGTTCGATTGCTAAATGGTTAAATGTGTGCACTTTCGATCATAAGGGCTGTCATTGAGTCGAGTGGTGTGTCCAACCTCATGGGTCTCTCTAGTCCCCGGTTTCCTCCCACTGCTTAAATACCCCAAGCAAATTATTAATAGAATCCGCCATTGTTAGTCCTGGGTGAACTTTAAACCCGATTTTTCTCTCACGAATTGATTCCTGACTTTGGCTTGTTTTAGGACAAGGTAGAGTTGAGACTGGTGCAAGAGTTCGCGGTAACCAGGGTAACGAGATGGAAGGTGTTAGAGGCTTAAGAGCACTGGGTGTCAGAGACTTAACATATAGACTTGCTTTTCTAGCCTGTACAGTATCTTCTAGTAACCCTAGAGTAAGTTGTCATTATTCTTAACCAAAATTATGAAAACTTTATTTTAAATCTCTTTATTTTTCCCCCTAAATATTTAGTCTTAAATTTTTATGTTATATCTAAACATGGTCAAATAAAAGAATAGCCCATTCAATTGAAATAGCTCTTAATGCCTACTACTTATGATTTTTTTTTTCCTCTCTGTATATTTTGTATTTAAATGATTTTTTAAATTTTTAGTTTGGTGGTCGTGACTTTCGTGAAGAAGAGATGACTGCAGAAACAATTAAAAAACAAATGACAGATGAAGAATGGCAGAAGGTTTATGAAATGAGTCATGATAAGAATTTATATCATAATTTATGTACAAGTTTATTCCCCACAATACATGGTAAGATTTTAATTATTTTTTCTAAAACTTATTTTGGACCTTTGATGGCAGTTGATGATATTTTAAAACTAGACCCACAAGATGTGTAATGAAGGCAGAGCATCAGGGCTCGACACTGCCGGCGGCCTCGGCGGCCATGGCCTTCGAATTTTAGAATTTGGCTGCAGATTCGTGGCCGATTTTTAACTATCCCAGGCCATGTATGATGGCCGATTAGTGCTGGGTATCGAGAGTTATTTTTACTATCAATAATCAGTATCGAAACAATCTTATTTTCACGGTCGTAATGAAGACTGGATAACGTGTTTTAAAGTCAAACCATACGATGTTGTGATCGATACTCTGATAGATGTTTTTTGTTCGTCTAATTAATAATAAACTGTCTCATATTACGTATAAATTGTTCTTTATTTTTAAATAATGTAGCCTTGGTTCTGAATGACGAAATACCATTGATAGGCCTATGTATGTGTATCTCCAATTTAGCGAATTCCATGATATGGCAATTATTGTTTCAAACTAAAGTATTGTTTAAATGTGCGTGAATTTATTTTAACATTTTTTTTAAAAAGCTAAAATGAGATTGAGACTTTGAAGTAAATATAAAGTGACCGATGTAGGCTATTGACATTGTATTATATACGAAGGGTTAAGTCACAGAAAACATCGAGTCGACTCCTAGTCCTAGTCCCACGTCTGTACGAAAAATAGACGAAGAGAACGATACCGGTACTCGATAGTGCTTTTTGGCATATCTTATCGATACTATCGATATTTTACCCAGCTCTACCGATGATATAGCAATACTTTCAACTCTCAATATGGCTACATGCCCATTTTTTAGAATAAAAAAATTGTACTAAAAACGGTACGATAAGAATTTTCTCCCTTAACTCAATAACTGTAAGGATGCATTATTTTTGTGAAAGTAATAAAAATATTGAACGTGATGTGATAGGCAGGCCTGTAACAACATTTTGACTGAGAAACAAGATCTACAATAAACAGATTTACATATGATCGACATATTAAAACCTTCTAAATAAGCTGATAATATCATAATTCATGACATAAAAATTGGCCTTGGATTTTCAATTTTTGGCCTTGGATCAAGGTTAAACTTTGGCCTTCGATCGAAAAAACGAATTTCGAGCCCAGCAGAGCATAGAACATTTACACAAAAGTATATTAATTATTTAATATTGGTATGTAAGGTATTTTACAGGGAGTCAATCTGAAGAATAAGTCGAATCGTTGGATTTTAATGTACGTAAATAAAATGGTCCATAAAGTAATAAGTTGCAAAGTGTATGTACTATTAAAGTATCAATATTTTTGTTCCTCGCCTTTCAACTAAGTAGGGACTTCAATTTGATTGGTCGAGACTTGTGAACATGGAAATGTGGATGTATATTGCCATCGTCCATCATCCACAACTTCTTGTGAGCGCTCCTAACGCCAAAAGTTATCATCCAGTTGTTTTAAAATTGATGTTGTTTACATAAGTGAGATGAAGAAGCCTATTTAATTTCAATAATTTCCGTTTAGTATTCTAGAGTTATGGCCCTTGTTTCACTTTGTTGAACCTTCTGAGCGCTCTAACATCAAAAGTTATCTGCCGATCTAGATGAAATTTATATGCGTCATTTATATTGGTAAAAAGAAAAATCCTATTGAATTTCAGCAATTTCCGTTTATTATGTCTAGAGTTATGGCCCTTGTTTCACTTTGTTGAACCCTGTGAACGCTTTAATGCCAAAAGTTATCATCTGATCTGTATGAAATTTATATGCATCGTTTAGATTAGTGAAACCACAAAGCCTATTGAATTTCAGCAATTTACAATAATTACTTCTAGAGTTATGGTCCTTGTTTCATTTTGTTCAACCTTGTTAATGCCCGATTGATGAAATTTATCATCCGATATATATGAAATTCATATGCATCATTTAAAATTGTGAAATGGAGGTCTATTGAATTTCTCAATTATTTCTGAAGTTATGGCCCTTGTTTTACTTTGTGAACCTTGTGAATGTTAAATGACAAAAGTTATCACCCAATCTGTATGAAATTTATGTGCAATTTTGTAATTAGTAAAACGAAAAAGCCTGTCAAATTTCAAAAATTTCTGTAAATTACTTCCAGAGTTAAGGCCCTTGTTTCAGTTTGTAGAACCTTGTGAACCCTCAAACAACAAAAATTAAAATCTGCTCTATGAAATTGTCTTGTAAATGCTCCCAATTACCTACAAAAGAATAAATAAATATGTATCAACCCTTGTTGACGGCTCGAAGGATTTATCTGCTGTGGGCGTATGTTTCGTTGCCTGGCAACCTATCTTAATTGAGGTAGAACGTGAATGCCTTGACAATATTTTCCACTGTGGCTAAGCAGAGATAAACAATGTGATTGGTTGAGACTTTAGTTTGATGTAATGTCTATGAAATTGTCCATGTATTTGAACAGGTAATGAAGAGGTCAAGAGAGGTATATTATTGATGTTATTTGGTGGAGTACCTAAAACTACAGGCGAGGGAACCAAATTACGAGGAGATATTAATGTATGTGTTGTCGGGGATCCCAGTACAGCTAAAAGTCAATTTCTTAAACAGGTAAATATGTTACATTTACTCTGACTCTCGATTCAACAATTTTGATCCATCTCGAGACGAATTCCTTTCAGTTTAATAACAGTTGCATGATGTCAACACTCATAAGGCGAAAATAAAAAAATATGTTTACGGTTACCCAACAGATCTTATTATTTTTAGAGCTAAAATTGCTGACTCCAAACCTTTTCTTTCCATTTCCCAGATCCTATAAATCATTCTTGGCATGGTTTTCTGTAGACAAATTCCAACAATGAAATTTAGTCCAAATCAATATTATTTTCCAGACCCTTGGACAGCAACTGAGCTTTAATTAATATTTTGAGGTGCCAAGTAACAGTAAACACAAGTATTATTGTTTTTGCCTTATACCTCGGATGTTGATTTCTCTTGTTGTAATTTGATATATATTGTTTGGTAGGTAGAAGAGTTTTCACCGAGAGCTGTATATACAAGTGGTAAAGCCAGTACAGCAGCTGGTCTGACCGCAGCCGTGGTACGAGATGAAGAATCACATGAATTTGTTATAGAAGCTGGAGCGTTGATGTTGGCTGACAATGGCGTGTGTTGTATCGACGAATTTGATAAAATGGATCCAAAAGATCAGGTGGCTATTCATGAAGCCATGGAACAGCAGACAATATCTATTACTAAAGCTGGTGTTAGGGTATGTTGTATAGGATTAGATTAACGTTTCAAATATAAGGGAGCCTCGATTGTCCAAGAAAGTTCCTAGGGATTTTCTGACGTGGTTTCCACTTGTCAGTGGTACAGGGAGGAGGGCCTGGTAAAGAACAGCATCTAGTCGTTCGGGTGATACCAAAAAACACAATAACCCATGTCCACCTTGGCATTCACGTTAAAGAACCCTTGGCGGTTGCAATTCAATTGCTGTCCTGTTCAAATTTCCCTCATTGTCTGTCTTTCTTAACCCAGTTGGATCATGAAAGTGGGATGTTAAACCCCATTTCATTTGTTCTTTCTTCAAATATAGGAATTCTGGCAATAAAATATGTAATTTGATAAACTTTAAGCTTTTCCTGTAGGAAGATATTTCCCATGAGCCAGAGATTTGCATATTTATTTGCATGTAGCTCTTGCTTTGAAATTAATAATTTTGCTTTCAGGCTACTCTCAATGCAAGAACATCAATTCTAGCTGCAGCTAATCCCATTGGTGGACGGTATGACCGAACGAAATCATTAAAACAGAATATATCATTAACAGCACCTATCATGTCACGATTTGATCTTTTCTTTATTCTGGTTGATGAATGTAATGAGGTAAGATCGATCTTTATATCATCAAATTAACTTTTATAGAAAGTACATAAACTAAATGTTTACTTCAGCTTAGTTTGTTACAAACTGAAATGGTTGATTTGCTTTTGTAACATAATGATAGTTAAAATGAAAACAACCCTTATTGTTGTAGAATTTTGAAAACTTATGGACTAATAATGAAAGAAAACATGAGTGAGCAATCAGATAGATATAAATTAAAGGACAGTATTGGTGTCAGTCAATATCACATGTGATAAAACTGGTTAAACACATTCCAAATATAATTTTAACACAGAGGACATTGCTACGATAGATGTGTAACGAAGAGTTCAAGACACGGAAGTGACGCAAAATATGGAAAACATGAGTTACCCTTCTATATATCTGACTGAAGTAATGATCGGTAACAGATACACAGTTGAATTTCTGCTCACTGATGATTCCTTCGAAGACCAAAAGTTATGTGAGACAATGTCTGACAATTCAAATAAAAGAATTTAATGTCACTAGATAAGAGAAAACAAGATGAATAGAAAAGGCCCGTACATTCCCTTGTTTTTATGCGCCCACATTGCTGATGCTCTAGAGGCTGAAGTTAATATCCGATTGTCTTTAGATTTATACAGAGTGTTTAAGGTCATGAGACGAAGAATACTATTGATTTTCAGCGATTAGCAATAATTACTTCAGTCAGTTAAAGAGAAGGATAACTCTTGTTTTCCATTTTTTTCCATCACTTGTTTCTTCAAATCTTTGTTACGCATCTATCGTTGCAATGATCTCTATGTTAAAATTATATTTGGAGCGTGTTTAACCAATTCTCTCACATAATGTGATAATGGCTGACCTTTAAGATGGCCAAAAATGACAAGAAATTGTAGAAACGGAAAAAAACACCCCCCAAAAAAACAATTATAATAGTTCCATATGGGCCCGGACCCAAGCATGTTATCACCGAAATCTTGAAATTGTGGCAAGATCATCGTCACATGAAAAAGATGGATAGCGCTTGGGGACCAGGTCCTGATCCAAAAATACAATGACCAATAAGGGAATCATTTCAATAAATTATATTGGCAGGTAACAGATTATGCTATTGCTAGAAGAATTGTAGAATTACACAGTCATAATGAACAATCATATGAGCGTGTTTATAGTGTAGAAGATATCACACGATATATATTATTTGCCAGACAGTTTAAACCTAAGGTGAGTCAATACAGTTTATGGTGGTCATTCTGTTTTTCTGGAGAATAGTCAAACAGCTTTTACTTAGAATACAAGTAAATATCATGAATGGATTTCACAACAGAGTTAACTTAAATCAAATTTAATCTTAAAGAATTTGGTGGTTGAGAATCTTCCTATGAATCAAATTCTGGCATCTTCAGAGGGTTCATAATTTTAATCTTTCTTTGTTTTTGTTTGTTTTTTTTTTACCTGCGACAGATAAAGAAAGAGTCTAAAGATTATATGGTTGATGAATACAAGAGATTACGTCAGCGAGATGGACAAGGTGCCGCTAAATCAGCATGGAGAATTACAGTGCGACAACTGGAGAGTATGATCCGACTCTCAGAATCTATGGCTAGAATGCACTGTCAAGATGAGGTGGGTTTCAATTTTCTTTACTTAACCCTTGGAACTAAATGCTAGGTGTTAATTTGATATTATGTGTTTAAAATTGTGTGAAATGATGAAACAAAGATATTTAATTACAATATTTAATTTTTATTCAATTTCATCTCCAATACAATGATTACACCAGTATACAGTTCTGGATTTTGTAGGCAAGTCTTTGTCTAGCGCATTGGGACAACTCAATTTAGCCCTTCTGTATTTCTCTGTACAACACATCTATTGTTAGTCGTTGGGTGTTCTGCATTACATAAGCACTGTAAGCATCCTACATGAAAAACTCCCATGATTAGTCGTTGTGGCCATTTATAATGTGTTGACACTTTTTGAGACGCGTCATTTGGTCATTCTTATCGGTGCCTCCCATAAACTGGTTGTATGCTTTCACCACCACTGGACACGAAACCGGGATGTTCTTTTGCATCATACCTGGGTACAGAAGTAAATAGGGCATCCACATACACAGATGACACAAAATAAATAGGCCTTATGTCCATCCACACCAGAGCAGACACATTACTATTATAAAGAATTTCGCTGTCACCTTTGTGCATTTCTTTATTTGTTCTCTTCGGGAATTGAGGAAATTCCTTTCTATTTGTCATCGCAGTTCCGCGCATACCAATACCTTTGTAGAGTAAACTAAATATTCAGCCAACCCGACAGGTGTAAAACCTATCCATGAACAAAATGTAGTTTTGATTTTGGAAATCTTTAGTCATTCTAACAACTGAATTCCTGTGATTCCTAAATTATCGACAGTCAGTGCATCTGCCCACTTACCAGTATACACTTCTGCATTTATAATATAGCCATGCTTACTGTCGGTCAATAAACTTGTCATTTAAAAATCGGCCCGGACTTATAGATCTTATCTGTTTTGTCTACAGTTGGGTTCTCTTCATTTACACAATGCAGCATAGACCATATTGCCAAGAACCTGTCTTGTGTCATAATTTTCGGAAAACCTGGAGTGGCTGTTAAAAAATTATCCTTAGTTTTGCAGTACTGTTCATATCTATCCTTATGTACAAGTGATTTAATTGTAATTCGACATCCAAAAAAGGCCTTAATTTCATTTAATCTTATCTCTGTCCAATTCTTTGCCACATAATTATTTGTTTTGGTAATTTTCACATGAGCAGCCTGGCGGTTTGTTTCATTAACTAATATTTCCCACACTGTATCATACCAAAAGATCGAAAAAAAAAATCTAATGGGGGTACTATCTTCATTAATTATTCTTTGGTCCTGTTGGAAGATCTGGCCTGAAATGCTATGATACAAAACCAGTCGTATTCAATCTCCAGGGTGGTAGAATATGCATATTGTGAAGTCTGCTTATACCCCGACCACGTGCCATTCCATTATTTCTATCGCCGGCCATATACATTGACAACTTGTTTATGAATGTTATCATCGATGTCATTTTCTTTATTTTGCGTCTGAATCTGAATGGTATTCACTTTCAAATTGCTCTCATTGCCGTAATCAGAACCATTAATATCTTCGTCATGATCTGTTACCAACAGATCTGGAGCATTTTAATTGACTGAATTGTTATTATTATGGCCCAGGTCAAATGTCACCTCAAGCCGCAAAACCGACAAATCGGGTATATGCGATACAACGTCAAGCCAGTTTAGCGGCATTTGTAAAATAAAATACAATACTCAAAATGGTATTGTCAAATTAACAACGAGAATTTAGGAAGGGAAGGATTATTAATTGTTAGTATTTTGTTGGGCTTTATAATGGTTTCAAAAATGTAAAAATTTTGATATTTTATTTCCTATAGGTACAACCAAAACATGTAAAAGAAGCTTTTCGCTTGTTGAATAAGTCTATTATTAGAGTAGAACAACCAGACATCCATCTTGAGGAGGAGGATGACACAGAACAAATGGAAGTAGAAGGTACATTTTGTTATGTATTGTATATTTCAAACTATTTCTTTGTATTGATGAAAAAAAAAAAAAAAAAATGATCTTCCTTGACAGTTGAAAATAGGGGCCAAAAAGTTATTCTGGTTCTCAAACGATTCCTCCAAAAAACATTGTTAGTGTTGTTGCGTCTGTCTTCCAAAATTTATGGACCTTGTTTCACTTTATAGAATCTTGTGAATGCTTAAAAAACAAAAGTTACTATATGATCTGTATGAAATTTATGTGCATTATTTAACCTATAAAACAAAGAAGTCTATTGAATTTTAACAGTTACAAGTCAGTAACTTTTATGTGGGTTGTGTACTTTATAATAGAGCCAGTGGCACATTCCTGGTTTCAACTGGAAATGGTTTGAATGGACACTGCTCTATATGAGAACCAGAATATTATATATTGTGTGGCCCAAGAAAAAGTTGACCTAGAAAATCTAGATAATGCATATATTTTGGTTTATTTGCTATAAAAAGGATTTGTCTTGCTAAATGTTTTCGAATGTATGAAATTAACATTTTATACTAATCTTGGTAGATTCAGAAACTCCAGCTAGCCAGACACAACCATCACAGGAAACAACAGAACAAGATGACCAGACGGCAGCTAGTAAGAAATCATTGAAATTAACGTATGAGGAATATAAACACATGGCCAATCTACTTGTTGTGTATATGAGACGTAAAGAAGAGGCTGTAGAAGGTACGATATCTATATTTTCATGTGATAAAAAAACTTTTATTGCTGGTTAAACAGAACAAAATAGCATTCTTATTTCTAATGAAAAACTGACCTGTAAGGATACAAGGCATTCAAATGAAATTGGGTTTATTGTTCTATTTTTCTGAACCAAATGGGCTGTATTTATATTTATCCCACTATTCTCGGCTGTGGTTAAGGGCATTATCATTCCGTTAACCATTGCAGCACTTACTATGTTAAATTGGTGTTTCTGATCAGTTGTATCTCCTTGACATTCACTATGTCCAATAAGAGAAGCTAAATCTATTTAAGGTCAGCTCAATTAGCTCTAGCCCTGTTTACATCTTGTGACCTTTGACCAAACTTGAAGTTGGCCTTTTTAAATAGATCTAACCCACTAAGAGGTATAAACATAAATTAAAAAATAATCTTTGGAAACTGGCCAGACCATGTTCACATTATTTTCTCTGATTCTGCATATTGCAGGCATGATTTTTTTCCCGTTTTTGAACGGATTTCTGCTATTGCAGTCGTTCACGGGTTGTTCACGTGATTCGTCTAAATTTGCAACAAAAAATGTGTGTGTGTGGGGGGGGGGGTAATAAATGTCGCCAAGTCTTGAGAGGGAGAATAGTTTCAGTTCATTAAAAACTCAGGCCTTCACTATGAACCCGTTGTTTAAAGCATGGACCGAGTTAAAAGTAAACACAGTTTGCTTCATTATCAAGTCTCTTGTCCGTTATTACCGTAGAATTAAACAATCAGACCTACACAATCGAGACCACAATAATTGTTGTCCAATGAAATTCTAAGAAATTGTAATCTGTGGGGAAATTGACCTGTAGAGTGGTTTCTTATCTAGCCAGGTCTGTGTGGGTCGATTCCTAGTGATAATAATCCTGTCACGCTTGTTAGAAACGGGATATTGACATTTTCTGTACGATTTTATTATTATGCAAATATCAAATCTGATAATCTTGCCCTCCAAGCCATCCTGCAGATATTAAAATTGAATTTAGAAATGAAACCTGTAATACAAATCTGTCTACGAATAAATACTGTATACGAAATGTCTCATTTCTCGGCTGCGAAATAAAATGGCGGCAAAACATGAAATTAAGAGCATTGACAACGTAGAGAATCCATGGAAATGGAGTTAAAGAGGGAGGTTGGCAGGAAAGAGGTGGGCCTTTTCATTAAGAGATTACGTCAACCGGAAAAAGGCTACGGCAATGTATGTTTTAGGAAAGTAACTACGAAGTCAGGGGTGGAAAGTTTTTCTTGTTTTGTTGCTTTTTTTCTTTGACTTAATAGGCATTTGATGTACCACTTGAGTATACTGCGACGCCAAATTTGACCAAAAGGTGGCCCCAGAATGCACCATTGCAAGTTAAATTGTACAAAAATCTTCTGCGTGATGATTTTTTTTAGTTATTTTTGGGAAGAGACAAAATCATGCCTGATATTGGACGGGAATGAAATATACATTTCCAAAAAGCTTATTCAATTTAGATTTAATAGAAGTACAAAGTAAAAACATCAGAGGATGTATCGTTTATTTTGATTGGTCAGCATTCAAAACAATCACCCATAATTACTATTTGTGGGAATTGTCCCACATAATAACACTATGAAGGACAACATTGATCAGATATTTGTTTATTTATTGTCACTTGTTTCTCTTTCTTATTTGCTTCCTTTCTAATTTAGATGACGATGCCTTAGGTTTGCGGAAGAGTGATCTGATTGGTTGGTACTTACGAGAGATTGAAGGTGAAATTGAGTCGGAGTCAGAATTAGTAGAGAGAAAAACTATTGTAGAAAAAGTAATAGACCGGCTTATTCAACATGTAAGTCATTATCAGTTAAATTGATTCTGTTTGGTTAACTGATTTGCAATAATTTCTTACCTCACACATCTGTTATTATTCATTGGAGGGGTGGGTGTTATGTCAGTATCTCAGATAAGTTTCGATTGGTTACGGTATTCTAAAATAATTTTCACAACCTCTGTGGTATGTTCAGAGTGGAAATCGCATTTAGCTCTACAATTACTGCTAAGAGTAGATCCACCTTCAGCTTGCATGTTAGTTAGTGTTAGTTGTATTTTACGTCCGCTTCCACCGAGGTGATATCGCAGACAAAAGCTTCCAGTCCAAAGAAAATTATAAGCTGTAACATGCGTCAATAACATAAGCATAGACTAGGATAAAAAGAAAAACAAAACAAATCTTAGTCTTGACATTTGCGGCAAATTGAATAAAAATTTTCAAAATATTTTTTTTTGTAGGATCATGTTTTGATTGAGTTGAAACAGACAGGTTTAAAAACCAAGACAAAAAACGATGAGGATACATTAGTACGAGAAGATGACCCAATTCTTGTTGTACATCCAAATTACGCTGCAGATCAACAGTGAACAGATGTTTTTGTAACAAAAAGTACCATATAAACTATGCAAATTCTATCATTAAGCTGTACATCTCAAGATGTTTGAAATCATTCAGATACATTTAACTCATTTATTGACCTATCATCACTGTCTTGTATACTGGTGGTGAAGTTGTTGGGTTTTTTTAAGAGTTTACTATAATTTGAAAGCCAGTGCTACTACAAGAATTCAAGTGCTTTTAAAACTCATGTTTATCATCAACTCTGATAAATATTTCTTGAAATGATTAAAATGTATTTGAAGGAAAACCACCTGTGCTGGTATACAAATATGTCAAAGGTATGTAGCTGTTGGAGATTTGTTGATCTGATAGAAATAGAATTATATTGTGTAAATACAATGGAACTGTAAATAGAAATATGTTTTGTATAATTTGTTGAAACCATAAAAATCATGTGAAGAATATTAATTAAATGCTGTTGAAAAAAACAATGGTTGTTTCATATTTAGATACATCCACATTCTAAAGTGGTTGCACATTGTTATCATCCTGTCCATAATTCCACAAAGCAACAATTTTTATATGCCCACATAAAAATATATTGTCGTCGGTCAGTCCATTCGGGTTCCACAATAGCTGGTGGACGCTCTAGACGTTTAAATTAATATCTGATTGACTTTAAATTTATACTCAGGGTCATGAGACGAAGAAGCCTATTGATTTACTACCAGAGTTATGGCCCTTGAAAAATCTTGTGGATGCTCTAGAGACTAAAGTTATCATCCGAATGACTTTAAATTGATAAACAGAGTTTAAGGTCTTGAGACGAAAAAGTATATTGATTTTCAGTGAATTTTGATTACTTGAACAGCTAAATTCATGATATTAAATGTTTCGTATACTAAACATTAGCATGTTACTCTTAATCAGATTTTAGTGTAATATAAATGTTTCATTACCGACAATAGAAAAAATATGCGACAACTCTTGTTGCCTGGCAACCTATCTTTTTTTATACGCCAACATTGAAATGTGGTCGTATATTGTTGTCGGTCCGACGTCCACAATATTGTGGACGCTCTATAGGCTAAAGTTAATATCCGATTGACTTTAAATTTATACACAGTGTTTAAGGTCATGAGGCGAAGAAGTCTATTGATTTTCAGTGATTTTCGATAATTACTGCCAGAGTTATTGCCCTTGATCACTTCAAAAAATCTTGTGGATGTTCGAGAGGCTAAAGTTAATACAGTGTTTGAGGCCATGAGGTGAAGAATCATTGATTTTCAACGCTTTCGGATAATTACTGCCAAAGTTATGGCTCTTGATCACTTTGAAAAATCTTGTGACCCTGAGGCTAAAGTTATCCGATTGACTTCAGATTGATACACAGAGTTTAAAGCCTTGAGACGAACAAGCATATTGATTTTCAATGAATCTTTATGACTTGAACAGCTAAATCCATGATGTTAAAAGTTTCGTATACTAAACGTTAGCATGGGGCAGAACTTCATAAACACCAAACAAATTCTAATGGTTTTCTGATAATTACTTAATGAGTTTTTAACTCTTAAAGTGTTGTACGTCTAACTCTTCGTAAAGTTCATCAACATGTACATCAAGCGCTCAATCTCCGCGTGCAACCTTTGACGTCACACATGCAGATATTCCTAATCGCAGGCTGTCGATTGGGGGAACCCTGACATTTTTGTCCTGTATACACTCCATGGGTGTTTTTCATGGAATCCAGTATTTTTCTAGTAAGATTGGATATCTCTACCTTCCATATATACCAAAATTGCCATACTTTTATTGGAAATAACCACTCGATAAATACTTTTCTGGGAACCTATCTTTAATACAAGATATCAAAAATTGTTGAAATTCTTCAATATCATAATGCATAATATCAATCAGATGATCGCTTTTGTTGACTGAGCTTTCTGGAAAGTGAAATATTTTTAATTTGGACAATGCTACTAAAGGGCATTATCTGTACTCGAAAAGTAAAAGTATTAAAATTGTTAGTCTTCTGCTTTTCCCCAATCTGAATAATGCATAATATACAGCACAATTAATGAAGTGTAAAATATGACTGGTTTCCACATTTCAATAATCTGGAAAATGTGGAGAGGTGGTGGTAGCAGGTGTGTGTATATGGGGGGTGGGGGGATTTGGCAGGAAATGAGTTCACTTTGATTTAAATGATGATTTTCTTAGAGCTTGGTATTAACATTACTTTTTAATTCCGCTGCATCTCTAAATATGTGTGTAAGATTCCAATTATATGGGGCGGGGAGGGGACAAAATGTAATTTTGGGGACAGAAACCATTCGTTTCAAAATTGACCTGAAAAGTGTTTTCTCATTAGCTTTTTCGTTCAATCTGATTAAAACACACAGATGCTATTTAGTTTCGTTTTTTTGTCCCCCGCCTTTCGAAGAAAGCAGGGGACTATTAAAATGGGTTCGTCCGTCTGTCCGTCTGTCTGTCCGTCACACTTTTTGGGACACAATAACTATCTTCCTAATTGAGCTAGAATGTTCAAACTTGGTGTATGTGTTTATTAGGTCAATGCCTTGATGGAGTTCGAAGATGAGCATTTTCCGCTTAGGGTAAGCAGAGATAAGCAATTTGATTGGTTGATGCTTTGGGACACGATAACTCTCTTCCTAATTGGGCTAGAATGTTCAAACTTGGTGTATGTGTTGATTAGGTCAATGCCTTGATGGAGTTCGAAGATGAGCATTTTCCGCTTAGGGTAAGCAGAGATAAGCAATTTGATTGGTTGATGCTTTGGGACACGATAACTTTTAATTGAGCTAGAATGTTCAAACTTGGTGTATGTGTTTATTAGGTCAATGCCTTGATGGAGTTCGAAGATGAGCATTTTCCGCTTAGGGTAAGCAGAGATAAGCAATTTGATTGGTTGATACTTTGGGGCACGATAACTCTCTTCCTAATTGAGCTAGAATGTTCAAACTTGGTGTATGTGTTGATTAGGTCAATGCCTTGATGGAGTTCGAAGATGAGCATTTTCCGCTTAGGGTTAGCAGAGATAAGCAATTTGATTGGTTGATGCTTTGGGACACGATAACTTTAGTTCTAATTAAGTGAGATTGATGAAACTTGGTGTATAGTTTCATTACAGTAATACCTTGACTAAGTTTGATAATGAGCATTTTCTGCTCAGGGTAAGCAGAGCGATACGCAATTTGATTGGTCGAGACTTTGGAAAACAATAACTCTCCTACTTTGATTGTCCCCCGCCTTTCGAAGAAAGCAGGGAACTATTAAAATGGGTTCGCCCGTCTGTCTGTTTGTCCGTTCCGCTTATGGTAAGCAGAGATAAACAATTTGATTGGTTGATCTTCGAATTGAGTAAATGTTCATGCTTATTGTCCCCCGCCTTTCGAAGAAAGCAGGGAACTATTAAAATGGGTTCGTCCGTCTGTCTGTTTGTCTGTCCGTTCCGCTTAGGGTAAGCAGAGATAAACAATTTGATTGGTTGATGCTTTGGGACACTATAACTTTAGTTCTAATTAAGTAGATAAACAATTTGATTGGTTGATGCTTTGGGACACTATAACTTTAGTTGTCCCCCGCCTTTCGAAGAAAGCAGGGGACTATTAAAATGGGTTTGTCCGTCCGTCTGTCTGTCTGTCCGTCACACTTTTTGGGACACAATAACTCTCCTTCTAATTGGGCTAGAATGTTCAAACTTTGTGTAGGTGTTTATGAGGCCGATGCCATGATAGAGTGTGAAGATAAGCATTTTCTGCTTATGGTAAGTAGAGATAACCAATTTGATTGGTTGATGCTTTGGGACACAATAACCTTAGTTCTAATTAAGTGAGAGTGATGAAACTTGGTGTTATAGTTTCATTACATCAATACCTTGACTAAGTTCGATGATGAGAGTTTCTGCTTAGGCTAAGGAGCAATAAGCATTTTGATTGGTCAAGACTTGGGAACATAACAACTCTGTTTCTAATTGAGATAGAATGTTTAAACTTGATGTAGATGTTCGTCTTAACTGAGTTCAATGATTAACATATCGAGCTAAAGCTAAGCAGAGATAAGCAAGTTCCTTGGTCGATGCTTTGGGACAAGATAACTTTGATTCTATCTGATAGAGAGTGATGAAACTTAGTGTATAGTTGATAATCAGTTTGATTGCTCGATACTTTTGAAAAAAATAGATGTGTGATTAATTAATATGTGTCATCTATTTATTTGGGGATTTCGGCGGGGGACATCAGCCTTACTGTTGGCTTGTTTAGTTCAAAATTTTGTTTAACTTGTCTTCACAACCCTAGGATCTGGAAGAGTTGTAATATAACAGCGGTTCTAGTTGATGTGAGGAATTAGCCAATGAAACTGTCTGTTACGGCGGGTTCTTGGTGTGCTCTGCACGGAACTGTGGGTAGACCCCTAGAAAGGTCAACGCTGATTTGATTAATCAATGTCTGACGTCATAGGGTCAAAAGCCGCTCGTATAACCCATGTTGTTTTCTCCCAGTACAAGTAGTCAGATCGTTATGTAGTGTAGGCCATCGAAAGTATAAAAACACGAAATGAAATATACATCTGTATTTTTAATCAGATTGCTTTTTCGTTCAGTACCAATTTCGTCATTCCAAATAATAATATTAAATTATAATGGTACTTTTCAAGAGATCTGGAAATGTTCATAAAATACACAGTAAATTAGAGACAAGTTTAGATATTAGTTTATTCTTAGTCTTCATCAGAAGATTCAAAATCAAAGTTTATAATATGAGTGGGATAGATATCTTCTTGATGGCTTATCAACAGCTCGCATATATCCTTTGGATATGCTTCAGATACCCATTCACATTGTAAATGTTAATTCCAGCCTTGTATCGCAGGGTCATCTTGTTCGATCATTGGTTTTGCAGTCTGTCTCCATATTATTTCAACTTAAAATACAGATGTGACGTCATCCTTTGATGTTGGAGTACCATTATTTCAAATAATCGTTCGGGCAATGTGCCAAGCGTAACTTGGTAAAATATTGAACTCGAGTGACGTATTTCATTGCAAAGCATATTTCATTGCAAAGCACGTGCAAGTGTCTGTATTTTAAGTTGTTTAATGGTCTCGAGCTTAAGACATTGCGTAATATATTGTTACAATATATTACTTAATGTCTCGCTCTCAATATATAATAACAATTTTAAATTTCTGTACAAATTTATTTTTTTGTGAAAAAAAGGCGGTTGAATACACCACACTATCACAGTTATTGTTTACGTTTAACAACCTAGTTCACATGATGCATCACATGACTTACTGCTGTACAATTATTACCTAGAATTAATGAGTTGTCTCCCAATATCCAGCCATCTACCAGCCAATCGAATAAACTATTACATCCTGTCTTGCCTACATACAATACATGCCATATATCATAATTCAGAAAATTTAAGTTTGAAAATATCACATGAGAAAATGGAAAGCAATGTTTTGACACTTACATAGACAATATGATAAATAAATCTACATTAATTTATCAATCAACTTTGTGACAGCTATTTTTAAAATCTGTTTAAAAGTTTTACTATTTTATACTTATTTGAAAGGAAAATAAAAATACTATTTGCTTCAACAATAACTACAAAATGATTATTAATGCTCATGATCTTACAACATAATTCTTCCCTGTTTGGGAATATATTTTTAACTATTTTATAAAGCATGCACATATACATGTATATATATATCTGAATCTGAACAAATCTACATTAATAAATACAATTTAGTACACCTATAGATATTGTAATTCCAAGATATAAAAATATTGAATAAGTGTTACTAACTGTTTGAACAATATCATTAAACTATAAAGAATTTCTTTTATCCATATCTTTACAAAGCTTCACTGGCCTATATGTAGCTGATGCCACACAAGCATGAAGATATCTTTGCTAGTGCCGGTTTTCAAACTAATATTTTCTTTCTTTTTTTTTTTGCTGTAAAAGATTTTGCGAAACAACGACAAAATGTCTTTCACATATTAATGATCCATATGGACATGACCACAAAACTAATGTAGGCCTATATTCTTTCAATAAGTCTAATTCAATAGTTGGGACATATTCCTCCAAAAATATATATCAAGTCATTACAATTACTCCTATTTTTTCTTAAAACAAACTACATTATGAATGAAATTAGATGGCTTGCCGATGAAGTTGTCATATAATAGGGATTCACTTGTAACCTATATGAAGAAGTCAGATAAGCATTTTGTTAAAAAAAAAAAGTTGTTGATGTTGTATCAGTTTTGGGGGATTTATATATAAATAACTAGTTTATATATATGTTATATATAGAATTGAGAAAAAGTACAAAAAACACAGCAACTTTAACTACAAGGCTTAAAAGTATCAATTAACAATAGTTATACAAATACTAACCAAAATTATATTATTCAAAAGCTACCCAAGAAATTTATATTGTGCGCTCAAGATATTTTTCAATAAAAAAGAAAACTTACAAATCACACAGAAATATTAAGGCAAAAACTTTACATTTGTGCCATTACTTAAATAACACGACTTTTTTTACACATATTAAAAATATTGGCATATCTAACACTTGTGCATTATTAATCACAATTAAAGCTGGATGTGTTTTTGTGAATAATCATTAGCTAGAAAGAGTTGCTCTTATTGAAAACTATCACAGTTTTCAAGAATAAAGTTTCTTGATAAACTAATAATTAACATTTACACATAAACTACAATTCTTAAGTAAAGAGATTTGTTCAATTATTTCATATAGCACCTTTCAACATGTCATAATCATAATCAAAAGACTGTAAGTCTTAATTTGCAGCTGATAGAGAATACAGACATTTTTTATTAAAGAAATAAATTTAACAGAAATCATAATCAGACATTTCTATAACTAGGAATTCATTTGCATTTTACTGCCATTTAATGATAATAAATGTTTACAACATGTAACCCTGTAATTTTTATATCTAATTTTTCACAAAACCCTGTAATTATTTTATAAATGTACTTTAGGGTCCCACTGGACAGCAGAACTAGGGTGGAAATGGACTTCTTGCTTATAAAGTACAAAGAAATAATTTTATAGAGGAAAACACAGTCAGTGAAGATAAGTAATGTTATTGTGTTCAATGCAACCTTATTTATTGAAAACATTAATTAGAATATTATGATGAATAATTATTATTTTAAAGAGGAAGGCAAGAGTTAAATTTTTCAATAATCAACCCCTTAGGCCACCGGATAGCTTAAATATTGAGTGGATTAGACAATGGCTGCCATGTCTGCGTTGAATGCTAATATGGCCGACCAATTAAAAATTTGGATTATAAAAAAAATAAAAGTAATACAAATTTAATTGCATTCACTATCTGAAACCCAATACAAGAAGCAAATCATAGCTTCTATTGGAATAGTAATTGACCCAAATTTTCAATATTCATTTTTCATTATCTATTTTTGAACTATTATTACAACAAAAAAGGTCAGCAACTCTTGCATAATGTCTCTTCAAGTCAGTGAATTTATTTTCTGATGTTTAGAACTTTTATTCAAAATACTCTATTTGGGCATCAATAATTTAATGCATAACTTAGTACTTCACAAAAATACTTTCTAATTAAGGTCAAACTGAAATAATAAGCCTATATAAAATACAAGGCTGTCAACATCACTTGTAAGCAAAACAGGACTTCCACTGGTAAATTGTTGATATTTAACTGGCTACTTGGGGCAACACATCCTATATTCAATGCTTCATGACCACGTCACGCATTTCAGTAAATTACTGATAGGGCACAGCAGGAGGGAGGGAGAGAGGGAGGGGGTAAAAATAGGTTGCCTGGCAATGAAACATAAGCCCACAGCAGTTAAGTCATCCAAACAGTCCACAAGGATTGTCCAATACTAATTCTTTTGGAGTTAATGTGAGCATTTACAAGACACTAAAAACTGATCAACAAGAGTACAAACTCATGAAGCAATTATCAGAAATAAGTAAAACTTGATTCACTTCTAGTTCTTACTAGTTCTAACATTACACAAACATATACTAGTAATCAGATAACTTCTAGTAATTGAAAGTCATCAGGCTTCTTCGTCTCATGAACATTAACACTGAGTGTATACTCCAAGTCAATCAGATGATAACTTTAGCCTCTAGAGCGTCCACAACATTTTTCAAATTGATCAAGGTCCTCAACTCTCTACAATAATAATTGGAAACCGTTGAACATCAATGGACATCTTCATCTCATGAACATAAACAATGTGTACAAATCTAAAGTCAATCTGATGGTAACTTTAGACTCAACAGTGTCCATAAGTAATTGTTGATGACGGATTAACGTAGAGGGGTGACAACAAATTATACGACCCTATTTCAATGTAGTAGGCGTATAAAAACACTGACCTAAAGATTGCCGCAATGAGCACAAGAAAATTTTCTAATAAATTTGAAAAGGTTGTTTTTTAAGGTTTTATGGCTTCATCTATATTCTGAATTGCTCAGGATTTTTTAGGTGCGGAAGGGAATTGTAAAATAGGAAAAGTTTTTCTAACAACCATGGACCACTAAGTCAGTTAGCAAGTAAGTATCAGAAGCTTTTGGGTTATTGTTAAGTTCAAGGATAAAGAGATTGTTTTGACAATGACATATTGATGGTGATAATGTCAATGTTTTATTCGACTTCAACTTTCATCAGAGATGAAAATGACATTAATAACATTTCACAACATGTCTCCTCTCTTGACAGTTTCATCTTTCTCTGGCCTTCTTTTTCAGTGTCCAGGTCATCTCCATAAAAACACTACGGTTATCACAAGAGTAACCACAAACTAATGTAAAAGGCTACAGTCATAGCAACTCATGTGGTTACATAATAACCATGGTAACTAGCTTCTAGATCTGATCACATGACCCTATCCTAGCAACAGACTGGGGTTGGCATGGATACCACTATCTTTGTACACTATGATCACAATAAGTAAACATCACGTTACATCCATGGCAACCACTTTATCTTCAGTTAAACTTAAAACAGTCTTTGAATCATCATGATTTTGACTGAAATTCAAAAATAATTATCTATGTACTACAAAAACTTTGAAGTGAAATGGGACTTCACAAGACTGGCATACGCTATGCATTGGGCTATGAGGGAAGTTTAGCCAAGACCGTGGCGCAATAGCCTATTTTTTATGTGCATGTTAATCTTTACACGGGACCTCAGTTTTTCGCACCATTCAAACAAATAAACATTCCTGGTCTGACACTCCATTATGCACCACTGAAAAGGGGGGAACCGTGCTGGGGAAACCGTGCTGGAAAATCCCCTGGAAATACCTCGGCCAACACTCGGGATCTGCAGGTCACTAAGTCAGCGCCTTGTGCACTTAGCCATTGTGGCACATTATAAATATGAAAAATGTTGTATATTGATAGGGTTTTTCAATATACTTCAATGAACAATGCCAGCCCACATCAGAGTGTTTACATACCAAAATGTCAAAGATGTGTACTATTTTTATGTTTGGACTTAATATTTAATTAAGCATACAAGTATAAAAGGTGGTCAGGCAACGCCCACTGCAGTCAAGAAATAAGGTAGGTCTACTTACTGTACAAGTTCAATGGAAACTGATGGAGATGGTGTAAACTTTTTTAGGATCGTGTTACTGTTACTAATGATGTTGTTCCCTTTGTTGTCTCCAACTGACATCGACATTACCGACCCTGGCAGTGTTGATGTTGTTTTTGGTGCCGTTGTTGCTGGCATTGGGGATGGATGGAGGGACCCTGTTGATGAAACTGGATGCGACGATATTGCTACTGGTAACACACGATTTGAATTTAATGAATCTTTAACATTAACAGCAGTAAGTGAGGTTAATGATATTGATGTAAGAGTTTGTGATGTTGATAATGATGATGCGATAGATGATGATGGTGTCACAGATGTATTTAAAGGGAAATTAAGTTGTAGAACATTAGCGGCTGGTGAAGTTGAAAGCCCACTAGGTTTACCTGAAAAAAAAAAAAGAAGTCAAAATGTTTTAGTCTATAGTGCATCTATAGTCAACTGGTAAATTCAATAACTCTTTCAGGTTGGTTTCTCATATTCTATCTTTCAACACACTCAGTGACTTATTTAGGTGTCAGTTTAAATGATCCTGAAACCATGAAAGACATGTTTAGCAATGATGATTTGTGTTCATAAGACGTATCCCCCCCCCCCCTTTGTTTTTATTGTTCTGCAACTAGAGTACCTTTTGAAAACCTGCAAACTGAGAAACCACAGAACTGTATTTTTATCACAAGAACTGTTTACTGAGGATTATGATCCAAACAAGGCCATTAATAAGCTACTCACTGGAACAATATTTCTTGACATAAAGAATAATAAATTGGGTCCCATTTCACAAAACCTTAAATTACTAAAATAGATTTTAACTAAAATCAAAATGAAATTTTCAATTTTATGCGTTTCACGAATATCGATTGTAACATAAAATGCCATTTTAATAGATTTTAGTTAAAATGCTTGTGCTTGTGCAGTGCACATTTACGGTGCGGGCACTTAGGCAAATGTGCTTCGAAACTGAAACTGTTGACAGGTTGAACTAATGGTTACAATATTAATGGGGAGAGTTTCATATGCTGTGGCAATGTTCGCATTTGATTTACTTACGGGTTTCAATGGAAATAATGCGAATCGATAAACTAAATCGCTTGGATTTTGTAGTTTTATGGAATTTTGGATTATATTGAGAATTGTCTTAAACACATGATATACGTGACTCAAACTATTAATCTGGGCTGTAAATTATTATCGAATTTTAAAAGTATTTAACACCTTTGAAACTAATACACAAAATAGCCAATGTTCAGATGCCTAGATTGGAAATGTCATCCCCATAGACCCTTTCAATGATACTTTGAAAATGCCAAAGTGCCTGTCTATCTTAATTAAAATGATTTTTTCCCCACAAGATAAAATAGCTGTTGTGTTATTAATGTAAGTCTAATAATAATAATAAATTTATGATATTAAAATTTAATTTCAAATATGCCTATAACATTTTTCAATAAACACATCTGAGTTTATTGATTTATCTTTCTACAAATCATCATAACCCCATGTCTAGTATTATAGGCCTTTATGTCTTCTAATACCATGATACTGTCCATTTTAACCCATGGTAGCCTACACAAAGATATGAAGTGATTTTCTTTTAGTGATTTTTGTTTGTTGTTAGGATTTTTTTGTCTGTTAATTATTTGAAAATAGTATATTTTATACTTGAATCATATGGTAATATATAAAACAGTAACAAAGGGTTTTGTTTACTGGGGTTTTGTTTTTTTTCTTGGGGTTCTAATCAGGGGCGTCGTCATCTAAAATGCTTAAATTGCCTTACAATAAATAATCGGTGGAACGTAGCTGTATTTCCCATGTTATAAAAATAAATTGAATGAGAATTGTTTTGTGAATGATAACAAATTATGTGACTCAGGCCATTGTCAATGTTATCATTATTCCAAATATATCTATTTGTCACATTAGATCTAACAAGTAGCCCTAATCAATGTTTGTTAATGTCGTGATTGTAAGTTAGGAGAGGGTGACAGCTGTCCTAAGTTAAAACAAATTTTAGTTGAAATTATTTGATGATATATTTGGCCTAAAAACATATTCAAACTAATTAATTTATCATAAATTTTCTTCAAATCCTCTCAAAACATTGTAATTGTCAAGGAATACCCCTGCTATAAAATATCGATCAAAGGAGGTCCTTTTTGTGTCACATGACTTACGTGTGCGAAGTCGGAGGAGAATTCAATGCATACACAAGACGATGTTGTCTTTAATCACTGACTATTTATTACAAATATCGAATCCTAATTAAATTCTCGGATTATCCACTGCCTGCGTCCTTTTCCGTGATTTTTATCTCAGAAGGTTTTGTACGTGTAACTCTTCATAAAGTTTATCAACATGTACATCAAGCGCTCAATCTCAGCGTGCAACCTTTCACGTCACGCATGCATATATTCCTAATCGTCAGGCTGTCGATTAGGCGAACCTTGACATTTTTGTCCTGTATACGCTCCATGGTTGTTTTTCAGGTAATCCAGTATTTTTCTAGTAAGATTAGATATCTCTACTTTCCATATATACCAAAATTGCCATACTTTTTTTTAATGAAAATAACCACCCGATGATAAATACTTTTCTGGGAACCTATCTTTAAGTTAAGATAAAATTTTAACTCAAAATATTATTTTAGTTGATTTTATCTAAAATGCTTAAAATCGTTTTGTGAAACTCATCTATCTTATTCTTAAGTGAGTATGAAATTTTAGTTTAAGATGATTTTAAAGAGATTTAAGTTTTTGTGAAACAGGGCCCTGGTCTACTTACTATCAATAATTGGTCCATTAACTACAGATGATGTATTATAAGATTTAGATGATGAATTAGCACCATTATTTGCACTTGTGATTTCAGCCTGTTTCACCACGGCCGTTACGGCCAACTCAGCACTCGCCCGATCTAAAGTAAATCTTGACGTAGGTTGTGAACTAAAGGAATGTTCTAGATTAATTGAGCTGTCCATTTGATTTAATTTTTCCTCCTGTTCGCGTTTCATCTGTAATAATTGTTCTTGATGTGACTGAAAACTTTCTAAATTGAATTCAAATGTTTCGTTACTCGAACTCGGTTCACATGGTAGTACTATATTTTTTTCAGGAGGAGGCGTCCGAGGACGAAAATGTGGTCTGAAAAGAGAAAACATTATTATACAACCTTATTATGAAATTGTTCACGAAGGTTACTAAATATTAACTTAAAGCCCTCGCCTCTTTCTGTGAAGATTTTAGTTCATTGTTCGAAGACACAAATGTACTACATTCTATTCAGAATATATAAAGAGACAAGGCTTTCAATTTGTCACTGATTAGTCAATGTTTGATTTCACATCATTTATCAATCACTTATCATTTTTACTGTATTATATTTACAAAACATAAGTGAACAGCAGAATACTAGTAATACTACTTACATTTTTTTATCTCGAATATATGTGATATATTCTGAAGTTTTAATAGAGGTGTGACCCGTGTTATCAATTAGATTCATTCGATCTAACGTGTCATCCCATGGTGTAAATCCACGATCTATTATAACACTGAAATATACATATATAAATTATATTGGAAGTGGGGATAAAAAAGAAAGAAATGCATTTTTACAAGATCTTGTTAATACAGAATATTAATTGAAATTGATTCAAGCACTTGTTTCAGTCAATTGACTGACTTATTCAAAACAAAATAGTACGGACACACATATTTACAATCTTACATAACATTACTGTGCCAGAGATACATCATTTAAATCAGCACAAGTGGATTATGTTCAACAGTGTTTCATTCATCATGGATTACCGTTTTATTTGTCCAGCTTGTATAGCAGTCAATATCAACTTATATTCATTTTAATAAATAATTAACTTACCGACCACCTCTTCCAACTCTCCGTCGAGCAAAACCAACACAGTTTCTAGGTTGAGGTAGTGAAAATAACGAGTAACGATATTTTTTATCTCCCATACCCCCCTCTTCTTTTCCTGTCCATCGCCAGTTACCAGGACGACTTAATAAAGGCTGAAAAATAGATACATGTTTTACTAGTGCAAATCAACAACTGATATTTTAATAACTTGAGTGACTTGAACAATCAATAACAAAGCATTTACAATATAAGGACAAAATACTAGACTGATTAACTGATCTTTACTCTAGAAAGAGAACTGGGGAATGATGATGAGTTAGTTGTATTTTACGTCCGCTACCACCGAAGTGATATCGCAGACAATCACGTGTTATATATATTTTTTTAGTCGTCGAATGTGCTATTGTTGCTGATTATACTGTGGATATTAATATCAAAACTTATGTCGCGAGGTGTTGACGTAGAGGGATGGTAGCTGCATTCTTGTATTTCAATATTACTTTCGTTTATCTTTAATGAAACACAATTAAAGTTAAAGTCAAATGACTTCTTGTTCTCCACAATTAAAGTCAAATGATTTCTTGTTCTACACAATTTCACGAAACTAAAAATCATTTGTTTCATAAATAGTAGGATTAAAACTTACTGCATAATAACTACAGTGTTTTCTACGTTTAAAAGCATATGGACCGTCCGGATCATTTTCATCTTCGTGATCAGACTGAGACATACTCTGTAAAATATTAAAACAATGTATTATTAAAATATAACAGGTAAATAAAAGAATACTTACATGTTTGCATAATGACTAGAACAATGTAATTCAGTAAATTCACCTACATTATATTTCTACCAAAAAGCAAATGAAATGTAAATAAAATTGAGATGAAATGGTGAATAATGAAGATGGGCATATGCAATGCAGTGTGCTATGGGGGGAAATATTTGCCTGGACAGCAGCACTACCCCTTCTCTTATTTCGAATTCCAAATCTAACGGTTGTTTCACGTACACACCAACGTATAAATAGGACCTTTTTTTCTTCCCATCCAAACGACTAGATATCGTTCCTTGCAAGACCCTCCGTGATGCAACACTGACACATAGAAACCACACAGGAAAATCCTTAGGAACATTCTCGGTTGACACCAGAATAAAATCAGCAAACCAGCGACTTGCTGAGACCCTGAAGCTTTCCAAAAATTGTGATAGTAATAGTAAAGGTATTATGAAAAACGGACAGATGTGGGGGCAATATAAAATATCAATTTTCTTGTATCAATTGGCCATGATTAATAGAAAGACATGAAACATACCGGTGAGAAACCTTCTTCATCTGAACTATCAAGATCTTGATGTAGATTATCCATCTCATTGTAATGAACCGACGTTGTGGATTGGTTCGTGGTGGCAGTTGCTGTTTGTTGTTGGGAAGCTTGTTTACGTTTTCTGTACTGCCGCTTCTTACGGATAACTGGTGCCATTTCCTCCTAAAATATACAATTACAGAAAAACAACTTATTTCTTATTCATTTAGTACTGGAATATCTTTCAATTGTATGGCAAGACAATGCATCTATGAAGCTTACTAAAGAAAATAATTCTTGAACTACATGTATATTTTTTTTTTTTTGAGAAAAAAAATTGAAATTTCGTATGTTTCCAATGTCATGAATATCTATAAAGATAGTAAGATGAAAACTTACGCCATTTAATCCTGTAACCCATTCACCCTGTCTGTTGAACATAAATGGTGGAACAAATGATGGATGTTTACTTCTTTCAGCCTCGGCCTCTGCTAATAACGCTCCACTAAAATCTTCGCCGTGATATCTGTCATAATTATTAGATCACCATTATTTGATTGACAAAGTACGGTAACATTTAATGAATCATATGAGTTGAGAACAAAGAGTTTTTGATCGTTACTGAATTTAATTCTTGAGTGGCATTTGTCGAAACGTCATGCTATATACGTACAATCCAGCTACTGAATTATAAAGACACTACAACAAGTCAGATTCTGTATACTGTTCAACTGCGATTATTTTGTTGTTTATTCACATATTTCTTTTATAAAATATCTATATTTATTCTTTTTTGTATGAGATAAGTCGTAATGCTATTCCTGTTCCTCAACCCCTTTCAAGTTTTGAAGAGATTACATTCGGTTGGAAGTTCTGACTGGCTGCTGACATGTAGATAAATACATATATAAGTATTTTCAAAAAAAAAATTATGTTTTATAAGTTTACTTACCGTTTATCAAGGATTTCAATGGTTAATTGTAGAAGTTCTTTCTTAGATTTTTCTCGTCGTTTGATCACTTCTAATAAAGTTCTACAAGAGAGAAAGATTTTTATTTAATGACAAGAGTCAAATACATTATAACACACCACATGATGGCTTAAACAGTAGGTATCAAGCTTCAAACAGAAATCAATGCAAACAAGAAGACTCAGTTATTAACCTCCCACACCCTTGGACAGGTTTTGGAAGGTAACAGGGATAGACAATCTCTTGTGTTATTGGTAATCAAAACCCAAATACTTGTTCAACGTCCTACTTTTCTGCATCAACCGGTCAAATAGTATAAGACATCAAAATTATGCTACCTAGTAAAAGTGGATATAAACTGAGTTCAATAACAAACTACCACAACTGTTTTATTTTTTATGAATTGCACTATGTAATAAAAAGTTATAAATTCAGTTCTAGATGTATGTTTTTAAACTTAATTTCATAATCATACAGATATCTTTAATGTATCCTGTGATGTTATCCAGATACCAAAAAATAAGTCAACTCAAAATATTTACGCAACACGATCAATGTAGACGTGGAATTATTAAAGCTGATTAACCACTAATCCTGAAGTTATTGTAGTATGTGAAAATAAATCTTACAGTTCTTTGATGTTTGAGACAAAATGCAAGTTGCTAAATTTGTTAAATTAAAGATACATTATGTATGAGCTAAATCTGCCTATTGCTGGTTTTTATTTTGGATTCAAATGTTACATAAATTATTATTTAGACATTTATTCACATAAGCCTATAATCAACTCGCTTGACCATCGGATGATGCAGATGTCAACGGATTGAAATATGATCGTCATTCAATGATTTTAAAATTGATTAACAAGAAACTTTGCTATGATAATAAATGTTGTCTCAAAAAAATGTCATTTGATTGCAACGTTGTCCTTGTTGAAAATGTCAATTAATTTTTTTCACTCGTGTTCTTGATTTATTTTCATAAATTTGGGCATCATTTTGACGTTTTGGATCACTATATGAGCTGTATTGATGTTATACTGACAGCGACAGGCATTTCTGATATCAACAAGGATTTTAATCTTTTGTGCATCGAAAGTGATGGAAAAAATTCCAAACTTCTATTCCTCAATTACACGCACCCCAATTGCCCAGCGATGAAAGTGTGTGTTATTGGAGAGTGTTTACGGTATAGTTTAGACTACTTTTAAACACAAGTGAGCATACAAGTTAATAATCTATAAGGCCAAGCTTCTTTTCATACTGAATAAACTATGTTTCAACATCACAAACTGTTTTTATCACGAACGTTTTGCTTTCATTTTCTGCTGTATAAACGGAGAGAGAAATGGGGTGTAACATCCACTCTACACAAACTAGGTCATTTCGGGACTAACAAGTAGTTTAATTTTATTTTAATAATTCGCGTGCGCGTAGGGGTCTTTACCAGTGGGAGGAAACCGGAGGACCGGGAGAAAACCCATGAAACCAGGCAAGAGGCAAGATGGAAGATATAAGTAGTGGCGCAATTTCAAGTTTAGGGGTAGAGCAGTAGTTTCATATAATTTTGGAGGAATATTACTGCTGTGAAATAATAAGGGAGGGGGGGGGGGGGGGGAATCTGAAAATGAATTTTAAAGTGCTTTTTTTTCGTCTACTAATTTTGGCCTAACTTAAATTTAATTCATCATAATATTATTTATCTCTACTATTTGTCCCTGTGTAATTTTCTAGACTGAGTTGTGTTACTCTAATTTCTCCATCCCCCTCCCTCTGTAATTAATATTAATTAATTCACGTCTCTTCTCCATCCCCCTCCCTCTGTAATTAATATTAATTAATTCACGTCTCTTCTGGAATTAACTTTACGAATAGAACGACTCACAAGCTCGCCTTCCACCTTGTTTTAACCATTCCCATTTTAAAGTCCTTTGTCTAATAATTTGCTGTCAACCTTAACCATTGCGCGAAAGAACTGGAGACGATTATGTACCATCATAGATATGGTACCACAGAGAAACTCTATGTTACGTACACAGTGATCTACAATATTGTTAATGTTTACATCGCCGACAACCAGTTAGCAGATTTTTATGGATAGATATTTTGGAGTTAACGAGTTACAAATTCGTCAGGAAAAAATTAATGATTTTTTTTATATTACGCTTTTGAAAATAGGAGCTTGAATTAAAGCGGAACAATATCGTAACAAGAGTGTTGTCAAAAATCTGAACCGATCGAAAAAAATCAGGACTGGACAGGACAAAAAGCGGAAATCCACTTTAAAGTGGGAAAAAATCATGTCTGAAAATAAGGCGGCAAAAGGCCACACAAATAAAATGAACAGGTTCTCTGTCACCGCCTGCTCATGAAAAATACAGCACATGGATGATTTTTATTTCCACTTTTTAGAAAAAAAACAAGCGTGTGCCATGCTGGTGAAAATTATGCAACTAAAAAATATGATACCGCATGAAATTATCTTGGTAGAATGTACAGATGTGATTTAAGTGTTAGTAAGAAAAATGACAAACTTTGCATTCAATAAAATCCCTCGTTAAATAGACATTAATATATGCAATTTCCTTGAGCATTCGTAGCCATTTTCCAACTTGTTTATATATAGGAGTTATTTCCCGCTTTGAGTACTTTGACTTGATTATCCAGCTCAAATAAACAATGTAAATTTTGCTAGGAATATTTGTAATTTCTGGGTATCGGCAGGAAAATTTACTCAATAATGTATCAGTATATTGTAAAACTGACAGAATACTTCCAAAATATCAATAAATATTATTTAAAATCGCATAAAACTTGCAAACATGTACAGTAAATGGGGGATGTCTATAAAAATTATAGTATCAGTGGTGATAAGGGGGTGGGTGGGGGAGTGGGTATGAAACAGACAAACGGTGAAACATTGCAATAGTTTTTATCATTTTCATCTATCAATCTAAAGAGAAAAGTGAAAGTACTTGGCATGTCAATCAATCTTCTTATTAAAATACAGATCTATATTTCATTTCGTTTTTTTATACTTTCGATGGCCTACACTACGTGAAGATCTGACCAGTTGTTTTGGGAGGTTGCGTCCAAGGTCATACGAGCGGCTTTTGACCCTAAGATTTCAGATATTTGATTAACTAATCAGCATTGATGTTTCTAGTCGATTACCCACAGTTCCGTGCACCTAAAGCCAAAAGCTTGCCGTAACAGACCGTTTCATTGGCTAATCCCTCACATTATCAAGAATACGTCATTTGTAACAACTCTTCCAGATTCTAGTGTAAATACAAGTTTAATGAAATTTTGAACTATAAAAAACAAAGCGACATAGGATCTGTGTTTTAATCAGATTGCATGTCAATAAATTATGAAAGGAATTTTTATAATGCTGTTGGTACCTGAAGCAATTTTTCAATGGCAATTCAATATCTGATTATAATGCTTTTTAAAATACCATTATGATTATGACACTTAGCAATAAGTGCTACTAAAGCTTTGCTTGACTTCTTTGAAAGGATATATTTTGTTGAAATTCTCACTATTTAATAGCATTCCATACAGAAAAAAAAAAGAAAATTTCAGTAAATTTTATTCTGAGAATTCCATTTTAAAAAAAAAAGTAACACCCGCCCTCTCCATTTTTTCCAACATTAAATTGCCCGAGAACCTACTCATTTGTTTGTGTGGCCTAAGTAATGAAACAAATTTATACCAGGTAAGTATACCAGGTAATTACTCCGTACTTTATATATTTATATGCTATAAATAGTATAAAACAACAAAATGCTTATCTCAGTCACCATTAATTTCTTGTTTGCATACATGAATTTTTTTAAAGTGAAAACTACATAAATTCATCTACATTTTTTTTAAATGGAACTGTTAAAGTATGTAATATTTCTGTACTTTGTGCATGTTGTGGTTTAATGGATAACAACAAACATTACTGAACTATGGACTGTAAAAGAAAAGATACTAAGAGCGAGATTTAAGCCTGCTAGCATACAATAGACACTTACACAGCTCGTGTTAAATCCCGTCTTAATTTCAGCATCTTTTCATAAGATGTCTCATCATTCTTGCGATTCTGAAAATAATGGGACTTTTATATAATTTTCTCTTCAAACTGTAGACAAAATATCATACACAGAGATATCACTAGCCTGAATCTTAGGGCAAACGTGTGTTATGGGGATTGGGGGTTTATTTTGTATTTTTTCACTGAATGGGTGATTTCTCTTTCATATTTGCCCTTATATTTGAGAATTTCCCAATTTCTTTTTCCAATGAAGTGACAAGTCTAGTGACATCCCTAATATCTGTATTTTAATTTAAGCCTAACATGATGTTAACATACATAGATTTTGACTGCAAAATGTAGAAATGATCTTGGGTTGATCCAGAAAATAATGGCCTCCCAGATATCAGTTTAATTCAAAATAGAGTATATAAAAAGATATTTACTTTAAAGGACAATATTGGTGTCAGTCATTATCACATATGTGAAAGAACTGGTTAAACACATTCCAAATATAATTTGAACACACAGATCATTGCTATGGTAGATGTGTAGTGAAGATTTGAAAAAAACGGAAAGTGACGCAAGCAATGGAAATCACAAGTTATCCTTATATATAACTGACTGAAGGAACGAGCAATAACAGATAAGCTTACACTGTCGAATTTCAATTCACTGATAATTCTGTTGAAGATGGAAACAATAGAAATCTGTTGATTGATCTGACACTTTTGCTCGCTAATGCCGTTGCCAGGTGTGATGGGTCCGTGAGTTGATTCGCTGCCGTCAAACGATGGGTGCTAACTCGTTCGCTATTGTCAAAAAATGGGTTAAATCGGATAATAATTGTGACCTCTAGAGGGACCACAAGCTACAAGCTAAAAATGGATTTTTCGTACAATCAGGGGCCATAATTCAGAAAGTTACAATCCGATATCTGCAAATATCGAAAGGAACCAAGATCTTTGGGTTATAAACATGCATTCCAAGTTTCAGCAAAATCAGATGAAAATTGTGACCTCTAGAGTGTCCACAAGCTAAAAATGTGATTTTTCATACAATCAGGGGCCATAACCCATGAAGTTATGGTCCGATATATGCCAATATCGAAAGGAACCGAGATCTTTGGGAGATAGACATATATTTTAAGTTTCGTCAAAATCAAATAAAAATTGTGACCTGTAGAGTGTCCACAAACAAATTGCGGACGGACTGACAGGGGCGACGACAATACACGTCCACATGAAAATGTGGGCGTACAAAAATCAATTGGAATGTGTTTAACTGGTTCTATCACATATCTGATAATGGCTGACACCAATATTGTCCTTTAATCTGAAGCTTTCTTTGGAATATTTATCCAAATTACTGTCACTATGAACTGTATGATTAAAATCTAACCGTCCTTAATTACTACTTAACATGTCTCTTATAATTTGAGATAAGGCTGGGAAGGCCATATTTTCTGAAAAAATCAATGACAAGTCAAATGTTGAAGGAATTTGGTAAAAAGAGAGAACCCACCTACTACTATGGACTGAATAAAGATGAAATCAAAGAAACATTTCATGAATTCTTTTCTTATTCAAATAAAATATTTTTGGAAACTTTTAAACCAGATTAAAAACAAATGATTTTCAATAATTATTGTTTTTTACGGCGAATATGTGATGAAAAAAGTACTACATACCAATACCCTCTAAATTTATCAATAAAAGAAACTTACCTTTCTAGTCTGCATTTTCTCCGTTCTACGGCGGAAAGCAACGTAAGGATTATTTGTCGTTGATCCATCACGTTTTTCTGTTTTAACTTGAGGTATTAATGGTTGTTGCTACAAAATATGAATTTTAAAATATCTTTAAATAAATCTTTGATGTCAATACAATGAAATAGTAATAATCAGTCAGATCCATTTACTTGATTTGATAATTCTTTTATGTTGTGGGTTTCTACATGTTCATGTAGTTAAGAGTTATGTGTGGTGCTGTCTCTTTTGTACATACTATAAGATACAAATTCTTCGCAAAATTATTAAATAATTATGATGGAAAATTGAAATCTGCCCTCTGTAAAATTTGACAACTTCAATTAAGAAAGGAAAAAAAAATCCTCAATCCTGACTTACTGTACGTAATCGTTTGTTGAGCCAGTAATCATAAACAGCAATAATTAAGTCATCGTCTTCCTTTAGCAAAAGTTTAGCTTCTTGTATCGTTACAACCTGTACAGATACAATATTGGCAAATTTTATAATAAATCATGTATGTACTGTACCCTGTTAAATTGAAATGTAATAGAGCGTCACCCAAAAGTTTTATGCCATTACATTACTATCTTGGGACTGGCCTATCGTTTCTAGCAGAATTGGTCCGCTAGAAATGGGCCAAGGCATTACAACACCTCCAAAGGACCGGAACATCAGGCAATGACTGCAGAATTACACACTCCCATACTGCTGCTACTGTGAGGGTTGCACACTGGTTCAACAGTTCTGACACTGTTTGTTGCCGACTACACTCTGCCAGACGTTGGTCTAATTCTGACTCGACCCAAGGCAGTTACCTTTGTTACCACTTGTGCCTATGTTTCACAGTAAAGTTGTTATGGCCACGTAGATTGTTGTTGATTTTCTTGTCAGTAAATGTCCAGCTTAAGATCATGCTAAAAATCATAGTTTAGCAGCATTATGTCTCACTGGCGATCACTTCAATAAAAATCAGTGGTGTTTTTTCATTGAATCTGATTATATTAAAGTGCAATCCCAATTTTACAAGAAATGTAATGCCAAGTAGTATAACCTGTTGTCCACTGCCTTTCTCTAGTCTATCCATCATTTCTTCAAACTTCAATGGTGTTATTTCCATCTTCTTCACCTGTTCTTTAACCCATGTCTCGTCCTCGCTATCCATATCATAGTCCGGTATCTCCTGGTCCATTCCAAACGCTGTGGATAGAAAAGATGAACATGATCGAAAAGTTTATCATATCGGTGGATTAGATTAGGTTATCAATATACAGGCCCGCAACAAGAATTTGTTTTCATGGAAACACAAAAATAGTTCAATCAAACTGTTTTTCAAATTAGCAAAAGGAAAAACCGTAGAACAGATTGGAATGTGCAGTTTCATAATATCTTGAAAATTTTGAAATGCAGGTTATTTAACGAACGATGTATCGTAAGTCAAATTTGTTTCCGTGAAAACACAAAAGGCTTTTTTAAAAAAAAAAATCAAAAAAATCCACAAACCTTGAATATGGATATATTGTTTAGATAATTTATAATCATCTTTATAGAAGATTTCATATCTTTCACCAATATCCTGTATCTCTGGAATAGGAATGACCAATTTTTCTGATGACCCATAAACCTGCTGTGCCGATAATGCTCTCTGTAAATGATGTTCCTGTAATATAGAAAGGATAAAAGATTCTAGTCAATCTATATGCCAAGTAGGGCTCAACATTAACAGTTGCCTGGGGCAATAAAAACTCATTTTCGGGCATGTGTTTTTTCTTTCCAATTGTTTGAGAATTGAAAGACTAATAAAAAAAAGATCGTACTGACCTCATGTGTACACACAAGGAGGTCTATGGGTTTTTTTTTTTTTAATCTACTCTAGTATTTATTCTCTAATGGCATTGCCAAGTGTTGTTTTATACAGTTCCAAGTATATATTATATTACAGTGAATTACAGTCATATCCCCTGAATTTCTGAAACTCTTTGGAAGATTCAGCAAGAATTAGAGATTTGCGGCAAGGAAAATGGATTTGGTGTCAAGTAAACTTATAGATTCAAGTTCAGATATGATTAATTACATTTACAAAAGGCATAGTACATGACTGTACGGTACAGATTTTTTAGAATAATATTGTGAATAATATTTTTGAACCATTTGGTTATTGTATCTGGCTAATACATTTAAGCTTATAGATAATATATAAACTTAAGAGTAAGTCTGAATGAGCTATAAAACCTGTAGTAATATCTTTTAAAATATATCTCACTCTTCATAAGTCACCATACAGATGTCAGTATTTAATGTCAATAAATAATACAACAAAGTGTTTAAATTATAAATATTTTAGATATGCCTTGTCTGTCGACCTTAGTCGTTAATCACATCAAATCCTTAATGTGTAAGAGGATTTATTGGTTTTCAATGAAGACTTTGTTTATGCAATGTTGTTCTTAATAAATTACCATAAGGCCGCGGTTAATTAATTGTGTTTCTCATGACCCGCCCGCATGTCCGTTTTCATCTGTAATAATTACACACTTCCATAATTATTTGGTCAAATTTAGGGAGGTCACAACTTCATCCTATAAATTTTGTAAAACTATATCTGTTTGCCTTCAAATATTAACAATGAATTGACGCATTAAAATCAACTATTTATCGATAAACATGACACTGTAGGTGATAAGTTATGTCTAGTAGACTAGAATGTGAAAAAATATACGAAGTCCATACGTGAAACCGGAAGTTAACAAGCCAACAGTGAGGCTGATGTCCCCCGCCGAAATCCCCGAATAAATAGATGACACTTTTAAATTAATCGCACATCTATTTTTTTCAAAAGTATGGAGCAATCAAACTGATTATCAACTATACACTAAGTTTCATCACTCTCTATCAGATAGAATCAAAGTTATCTTGTCCCAAAGCATCGACCAAGGAAATTGCTTATCTCTGCTTAGCTTTAGCTCGAAATGTTAATCATTGAACTCAGTCAAGACGAACATCCACATCAAGTTTAAACATTCTACCTCAATTAGAAGCAGAGTTGTTATGTTCCAAAGTCTTGACCAATCAAAATGCTTATTATTGTTCCTTAGCCTAAGCAGATAATTCTCATCATCGACCAAATAAACACCTACACAAAGTTTGAATATTCTAGCTCAATTAGAAGGTGAGTTTTTGTGTTCCAAAGTCTCAGTCAATCAAATTGCTTATCGCTCTGCTTACCCTAAGCAGAAAATGTTCATTATCGAACTCAGTCAAGGTATTAATGTAATGAAACTATACACCAAGTTTCATCACTCTCACTTAATTAGAACTAAAGCTATCATGTCCCAAAGCATCAACCAATCAAATTGCTTATCTCTACTTACCATAAGCAGAAAATGATCATCTTCGAACTCCATCAAGGCACTGACCTAATAAACACCTACACCAAGTTTGAACAATCTAGGTCAATTAGAAGGAGAGTTATTGTGTCCCAAAAAGTGTGACGGACGGACGGACAGACAGACAGACCCATTTTAATAGTCCCCTGCTTTCTTCGAAAGGCGGGGGACAAAAAAGCTGTATCATATCTGTCATTCTGCAGCATTTTCTTTCACCAAAGATGACATACATACTTCATAAGGCACTTGTCAATTGTAATAAAATTCACAGAAAGATATAAATGTCTTTAAATTAGTGCTAAACTATTTTATTTACGTGACTAACACTCTGTGACCAACGGTTCCAAAACTGCTGCCATGAGATAGTCTTGATCATGAGGTAAGCCTACAGACTAATTGACACTATTTCACGGTATTTTATTAACCACAACACTCTATAAACACAGTCTCAACAGGATGCAAAGATACTAATAAATGTGAATACTTTAATGAAGATAGACAAAATTATAAAAGTATTTATATTATCACGATGCCATTTGCCGATGGGGTCCAAAGTGGATGCAATTAACATACAGGTTATTGGTACTATCTTCCTTAACAGTTAGAGAAACGAACATGTTTGTAATAAATTCTTTGGACTGACATGTTAAATAATCTAACTTATGTTGTATTCAAAAATCCTAAGGTATGCTTTTAAATATTTATGTCAGAACAAATCATCAACCTGATTGGAACCGGTCATTTCGTAACCTGTCAAAGTAGGGGAAGATAAAGAAATGAAATACCAAGAATGAATGAATTAACGAAGGTTAACTTAGAAGCATATCACCAATAATTTAGACATATTACATGTAATATGATCAAGTCTTCCGATGCCCGACTATTGTGCAACATATATTTCAATCTATAAATTTTTTATTAAATGAGAATAAATTGCGAACGCCAGTTACCGTTGGGTTTTCAATGACCAAGTAACCGGCTGAAATAAAAACAGCATTAAACTCAAAATTTTTAAATTCCATCTCAATAATTAATAATTACCTCATATAGCATGTGTATTTCACAAACATAGGTCATGAGAAACAAATAATTAATTAACTGCTGCCTAATGCATGAAAGTGTCTATCACTACTGTATTAACAGTCTACTGTACCTGATGATCAGGGAAAAACAATGCACGTTTTGGAGTCATTAGTCACAGAGTGCTAATATAAAGTACACAAAACATTCAGTAGGAATTAAAGACCTGGTCTTTACAAAATTTACAAGATTAGAAATGATAACTGTATTATAAAGTAAGTGTAGTTGGGATGTATGTTGTGTGCTGTGTGATTCTTTTTTGGCTCACTGCATAGAAGTGTATGGATTCCAGGCTTGACAAACAGCACCCGCATGTGATCTTGTGAAAGAAACACGGGTACCTAAGAATCCTTGGTTTGAATTTTTAGAACTGGTTGAGCAGTGTAACTGAATAGTGACCGGTCACTATTCATGTATACCAATAATAATGCCACCCGCCGTACCAGGGATGTGCCCAGAAAAATATTCATGCCAGCCGGTAATCTTGGGCAGGGGGAAGAACAAGGAGGGCAGCAACCCCCTTCTGAATAGCAGGGGGAGTTCGAGGGGGGCGAATCAGCTCCCCTTGGGAGACAATGATCAGCGATTAAAGACAACATCGTCTTGTGTATGCAATGAATTCTCCTCCGACTTCGCCTCCGTTGCTAAGTACTGAGAAAGGCACGTCACGTGACACAAACATGACCTATTTTGAGCGATTTTTTATAGCCAGGGTATTCCCTGACAATTGCAGTGTTTTGAGAAGGATTTGAAGCAAAATTATAATAGGCCTAAATTAATTAGTGTGAATATGTTTTTAGTCCAAATATATCATCAAATCACCCAGTTTGTACCTGGGAATGTATCTTAAAATCAACTTTTTATGAAATCTCCGGTAATTTAAAATAAATGGAAATTGATTTGCCTGTTTTTTTTCGTTGAGAGAATCCATACTATGAATAAAAATTACCATGATGAAATATTAATTATCATGAAGATCCAGACTGATTTCTGGACATGCTTTCGATCGCCACAAAAAATAGTGCAGACAGACAGCCAGGGAGATAACTTGTTTACTAGCCAAACTCTTCCAAATGAAAACATTATGATGAATATGACAGACATGACCATTTGAATCAGCAAATTGACATTTATTAATTATATTCCATTAAAAATATAAAGCTTAACTACAACGGTGCAGTGCCAGTAAATAAACTAGACTAGTTTAACCAGTCATGCTAGTTAAATCACAATGATACATATAACAGGTTAAAAGAGTCTACATATCGGTTAGGTAACTCTGCATGGCAAGCAAGAAATTGATGTGAGTTTATGAGGTTTAACGAACAAATAAAGATGCTTTTTTCTATACTAAATAATCTTTATTTTTACAAGACAATGGCAGTGGGTGGGATCTGCTTCAAGATATTTTTGCCGGGGAAAAAATATTGGTGCTGGTTGATGTTGCCCAGTAACTGTAATAGTACAACAGTAGGCACATTTCTGTGCTACAAAGTGGACATGCAAACTACAAACACCCAGTAATTTTAAATTCTCATGGGGGGGAATTAGAAAATGGAGAGCAAAATTTGAATTGCACTGTATCCAAGTAAAAACTATAGCTTATCTAACTTGTTTTAACAGTGTGTCTAGTAGTTTGTGGAATAACTTGATTGTTAATCTTTTGTCATTTTGTGTGAAGCCCGGGACAATTACCGCTGGCCATGAATCCAGTCAATTGCTTTCATTTATTTGTTGTTTATTGTTTCAAATTTCTGTGTATATTGTATGTCTTGTCCGCGGGTTTGGTTTATGTAAATTGTTTATGTGTCGTACACATGTATGGCCCTTCCGCACTTACTATTGCTATAAACTGCATTTTAATGTATAGCTACTGAATTAATTGTGTAACTTATCTAGTTTTAAAAATACAAGTGCAAACTTGCAGTGCAGGTATTGTAAATTATTCAGTAGCTGTGGATAAGATAGGGGATTCCCCTACCTGTCTGGTTCTGGAACTATAATTAATGACAATCTTGTTAAAAATTTGACAACTGATATAAATCATAATAGACTATGTTGTAATTATTAATTTATTCTGACATAACTAATTAGTCATATTATATAATTGAGCTAGTCGAACGGAACAGAAATGGACTTGCTAGCTCGAGCCTTCTTGTTGTGGTAAAATTAGGTCACTGCCTCAAATGGCCTTGACCTTCTACGCACTCTCCAAGGCCCGCATTCAAGCCGAATATTTGATAAAAACACCTAAACTTAAATTAAAAACCATTTGATTATATCGACTAAATAGTAGTTCAGCCATTTGCATCCTCACATGGACAGTTTACACAAATTTCAAGCTCAATAACGTTCCCAAAGTCATTCAGATTTGGGCACTAATTTTCAAGATGGCGGATAGTAAAAATTAGGTTGCCGCACAAAAGCTCGAACGACATACCGTTTCTTCTTCTTTTTCCATTCCAGTGGGCATTTGCGGCACAGATCTGTTGATGGTTGCAAAATCTGGCAGGTCAGGTATTTCATCGGCCCTATACACAGGCATGGGCTTCGTGGCGTCCAGCGCCCGAGCCCGAAAAGACACCTTGCTCATTTTCTCTGTTCCCCGATCGGATATGCTAATGAGATAGTCTAAATAGATTTTCACAAATTGTGAAGGTAGCAGCCCTTTAAGCAGGACTCTACCGTGCTTCGATTAAAGCTCAATGTTTATACATTTCGACAAATATCAAAAAAATACACAAAAACCAGCTTAATGTTCACAATTAGTCCACGAATCCAGCAATTTTGTAGCAATTTTTAGTTTCCATCATGGCGGAGAAGTTAGACCATGAAGGTATCCCAGAATCCCCAACCAAGCGCATGCGTTTTCATTCACGTTATAACGGGGAACGAGAAATCCAGAAACAGTGGATAAGTAATCGACATTATTATCCACAAGTAATTAAATGTCGCTAAGTAGCTCGCACGGGTTTATCGATTACAACCAGATTAGTGTCTTTTGACACCTGGTTCTATAATCAAATTAATACAGCGGTCATAAACTGTTTCATCTGTTAATCTTTTGGGTCTAATAAATAGTTAACCTGACACTCCGCACTGAACTTCTGAAGTCGTGTGTAGGATAGTAAAGGGGCGTGGTCAAATATAGTATTCTTTCAGAACGCATTACGTTCACAGCTAAGTCTTTCATTTGCAGTTTGTTATCATTAATACCAAAAGATAACTCTTTATATATCAATTTAATTGTCTGATTGTTTATTTGCATTTAGTAAATAATAGGGCCTATAGGAATTTTCAAATCCCATATTTGATTATTTCTATCTTTTTCTCAACCAGTTTAATTATTATATTCATTGTTTGTTATATATTTTAGGTTGGCAGTACACAATTCAATATGTCATCTTCAATCAAAATCATAATAGTGCCAGGTAACGGTTGCACCAATCCATTTATAGCTAACTGGTATGGTTGGTTGCACAAAAAATTAACAGAAATGAAAATACCATGCAGATTAGAGGCAATGCCTGATCCGTACACTGCAAGTGAAAGCGAATGGATTCCATATATGCACAAAGAATTAAACTGTGATGAAAATACTATAGTAGTTGGACATAGCTCAGGTGCTGAAGCAGCGATGCGATATGCTGAAAAGTATAAACTGAAGGGAATAACCCTTGTGTCTGGCTGCGTAACAGATTTAGGGGATGAGAACGAACGAGCTAGTGGTTATTACAATCGACCATGGCTTTGGGAAGAAATGAAAAAAAATACAGATTTAATAATTCAGTTTGGTTCAACTGATGATCCATTCATTGCCTGGTCTGAACAGCAGGAAATAGCAGACAATTTAAATCCAGAACTTCATAAGTTTACAGACAAAGGACATTTTATGAGCAGTACATTTCCTGAATTATTAAATGTTATAAAAACTAAGTTAAAATAAATTAACAAAGAGAATTGTATTTTATGTTTTAAAATTCAACTTGACCTTAAGTTCCGTGAATACTCACATTAATTATATTGTTAGAGATCTGGTAAGCCATTGTGTTAGAGAAAATTTGGGCACAATAGGACTGAGTATTGCAACCGTAAACTGTTTAACAATATATTGCAAAGCTTCAACTCGGTATATTGAGATATACTATTGCGATATATGAATGAATGAAATAGGGTTTAACGTCCTACTTTTCTGCACCAACCGGGCTAATAAAGACTTACATATGCCATATAGTGTGTTATGAAGGGAATTTTGCCTGGGTAGCAGTTGAATTCCAACTGTCAAGGGTTCCTTTTACATGCAGACTAACATGCCAGATGATACTAAATGCATCCAATCGTAGTATATATCACCGTGCATCAGTCTGTCTCATTTTTGGTAAACATGGGACGGCATGATATAACCCAGTTTAAGTAAGGGGTATTTACAGGGGTCTTATTCACAAATACTTTATTATGGAAGATTAGATAATGGGACAGCATGAGATAACCCATTTAGGGTGGTCAAACTGCAGTTTAAGTAAGGGGTATTTACAGGGGTCTTATTCACAAAAACTTAGATACATTATGGAAGATTAGATAATGAGCTGGCAGTTCTCACTATAATGGTTAAAAACTAGATAATGTAAAGAAAATATGCTGAAAATTTCACTCTAAGCCAAGATAACCTTATTTTGAAAGCACTGTAGCCTCGATTGTCATTGTTACTGCTGTCACGATAATTAACAAAGTCTTGATTATCCATTTTTGCGGTTACACATCAATGGGCGTTGAACAGCAGATCGGATTTAAATTCAATGAAAATCATACACATAAGATGGCATAGAGAGTTGATTATGGTCTTTTCATGTTAATAACTGTCTAATTTATAGTTTAAATAACATTCCAGGCCTAAAGAAAGACTTGCAATAGGCAGATTTAGATCTTGCATAATGTATGTTTAATCTAAAAATATATTTTAAAGATGCAGGCTTTTCAAAAATTAAAAGCAAAAATTTGTACTAGGATTTTAACTCTCAACCAATGACATGGTTGTCTGAATAAAGCCCCTGAGCACTTGGCTTGTAACATTATACTGGAATATCCAATTATCCATACTTTTCGATGCTTATAGCCTAAACAATTTGTTGTGGTATGATTTCTGAAAGTCAAAATATCACAATTTGTTTTTTATTTCTGCAAATATTCCATTCTTTAAGTTTCAAAATCTCCTTATTCTTTGCGAAGAATGTCTCCGCATATTCATGATTGAGAATAATAATCATTTAGTCATTTCTGACCATTTTTTAGACTAAAATATCACATTACTTTGATAAAATATTACGCAATTTTAATATATTGCTTAGTTGTTTGGATGGGACAAAAAATGAGGTTCCGTGTACATGTTAGTCTGCATGTAAAAGGAACCCTTGACAGTTGGAATTCAACTGCTACCCAGGCAAAATTCCCTTCATAACACACTGTATTTTGATCAATTTTGATGAAACTTGAAATGCATGTTTATAACCCAAAGGTCTTAAATGGTTCTTGACGAAAAATCGCGTTTTTAGCTCATGGTCCAACTGCAGTCACAATTTTTATACGCCCACATTTTCATGTGGACGTATATTGTTGTCACCCCTGTCCATCCGGGACGTCCGTCCACAATTGTTTGTAAACACTACAGCTCACAATTTTTATTCGATTTCAATGAAACTTGAAATATAGGTTTATCACCCTAAGATCGTGGTTCCTTTCGATATTGGCATGCATCGGACTATAACTTCATGGATTATGGCCCCTGATTGTACGAAAAATCGCGTTTTTAGCTTGTGGACCCCATAGAGGTCACAATTTTTATCTGATTCAAAAAACCGTTTCAATATATCAACGTTAAACCCGAAGAATGGTTGGGTTCGAATTTCGTAAAAATCGGACCAAAACTGACGGACAAAATGGCCGCCCCTCGTTTGCAAATAGTGTCAAAATATTGCGTATCAGGGTTATGGACCCTCTGGAGGTCACAATTTTCATCTGATTTTGATAAAACTTGAAATGCATGTTTATAACCCACAGATCTCAGTTCCTTTCGATATTCGCGCATATCGGACCATAACTTCCTGAATTATGGCCCCTGATTGTACGAAAAATCACGTTTTTAGCTTGTGGACCCCATAGAGGTCACAATTTTTATCCGTTTTACAAAACTGTTTGAATATATCACCGTTACACCCTAAGAATGGTTGAGTTCGAATTTCGCAAAAACCGGACCGAAACTAACGGACAAAATGTCCGCCCCTCATTCGCAAATAGTGTCAAAATATTGTGTATCAGGGTTGTGGATCCTCTGGAGGTTACAATTTTAATCTGATTTTGATGAAATTTGAAATGCATGTTTATAACCCAAATATCTTGGTTCCTTTTATTTTCGTGCACATCGAATCGTAACTTCCTGAATTATGGCCCCTGATTGTACGAAAAAATCGCGTTTTTAGCTTGTGTTCCCTCTTGAGGTCATAATTACTATCTGATTTAAAAAAACGTTCGAATATATCACCGTTGCACCGTAATTTTGTCTAAGGTTGAGTTTCATGAAAATCGGACCAAAATTGCCAGACAAAATGGCCGCCCTACGTACCCAAATAGTGTAAACATCTGGTATATCAAAGTTGTGGACCTTCTAGAGGCCACAATTTTGATCTGATTTTGATGAAACCTGAAATGCAAGTTTATAACCCAAAGATCTTGGTTCCTTTCAATATTTGCGCATATCAAATTGTAACTTCTTGAATTATGGCCTCTGGTTGGACGAAAAATCACCTTTTTTAGCTTGTGGCCCGTTTAGAGGTCACAATTATTATCCGATTTTGATGAAACTTAAAACTTGACGTCGAATTTTGTGAAAATCGGGCCAAAACTGCTGGACAAAATGGCCGCCCCCTCGTACGCATATAGTGTAAACATCTGGTAAATCAAGGTTGTGGACCCTCTAGAGGTCAGAATTTGATCCGATTTTAATGAAAGTTGAAATACATGTTTATAACCCAAAGATCTTGGTTCCTTTCGATATTCGCGCGTATTGGATTGTATCTTCTGGAATTTTGGTCCTGTACAAAAAATCGCGTTTTTAGCTTGTGGTCCCTCTAGAGGTCACAATTATTATTCGATTTGAAAAAACGTTCAAATATATCACCGTTACACCGTAATTTAACATGCGGATTCTCTAGAGGACAAAATTTTTTTTCCGATTTTAAAAACTGTTTAAATATATTACCATTCCACCATAATGAAGGTTAAATTCAAGTTTGGGGAAAATTGAAATGAAACTGCCGGACAAAATGGCCGTACTTTGTATGCAAATTGTGTAAAAGTATGTTACAAAGGTTCTGGACCCTCTAGAGGTCACAATTTTTATCCGATTTTGATGAAACTTAAAACATATCTTTATATCCCAAAGAAAGATCTCAGTCCCTTTTGATATTTGAGCATTTCAGACCATAACTTTCTGGATTATTGCCCCTGATTGTACAAAAAATCCTGTTTGTTTTTAGCTTGTTCTCTATCCATCTCTTGCAAAATGTGGGCGTATACTGCCTGGCAGCCGCTGGTTAACCGATTTAAAGAACCGTTCGAATATATCACTGTTACACCATAATGTCGGTTGATTTCGAATTTCACAATTTTTATCCGATTTAAAGAACAGTTCGAATATCACTGTTACACCAAAATGTTCGTTGAGTTTGAATTTAGTGAAAATCGGACCGAAACTGCCGGACAAAATGGCTGCTCCTTGTACACAAATAGTGTAAAAGTATGTAATACCAAGGTTATGTTTATAACCCAAAGTTCTTGATTTATGTCGATATTCGTGCATATCAGCCAGTAACTTCCTGGATTATGGCCCATGATTGTACGAAAAATCATGTTTTTTAGCTTGTGGATTCTCTAGAGGTCACAATTTTTATCCGATTTTAAAAACCGTTTAAATATATCAGCATTCCACCATAATGAAGGTTGAATTTGAATTTAAGGAAAATCGAAACGAAACTGCCTGACAAAATGGCCGCTCTTTGTAAGCAAAGTATGTAACACAAAGGTTGTGAATCATTATTATTTGATTTTGATGAAACTTAAAATATATCTTTATATCCCAAGGATCTCAGTCCCTTTCAATATTTGTGCATTTCAGACCATAACTTTCTGGATTATGGACCCAGATTGTACAAAAAATCACTTTTGTTTTTAGCTTGTTCTCTATCTATCTCTTGCAAAATGTGGGCATATCTTGCCTGTCAACCGCTGTTGATGGCCTTCCAGAACAATGCTCTCTTCCAGGTTTAAATTCTGTGGTTCGCTTATTTACAGTGGAAATGAAGGGACATCATCTCTTAAAGTGGAGAGCATGTCGGTATATGTATCTGTGTTTGGGTTAGTCCTTTCAGTTGAAGGTACTTGATGACTGCCCTGTGGTCAGTTTTGTCTATTTCTAGTGATATCAATGGGTAGGTACACAAGGGTCCGGTCTAAATATTAAAGCCACCTGCAGATTTTGTCAACGTCATGAGATGTAGGGTAAATAAGGTTAGGACACATGGTAGTTTGATGAGATTGTGGGTTAAGGTTAAGCGCTTGCTCTGTTTCCATCTCGATTGTGACATTGACAATCTGCAGGTGGCCTTAATATTTAGACCTGAACGGTTCACCATATGGTCTGGTACGAAGACAATAATAACACTACAGCTGCAGTTATTATGTCTACGATTCATTCAGTGACTGTGTATGTTGGCGGAAAAGTTTGTTTCAATCTAGTTGATCTATCCTTTTCAGGCTTAGAACTTATTAGAAAGCCCTCGTATGTGTAGTAAAGATCAGTCATTTGTCGGTATGAAATTATATAGGAAATTTCGAAAATCCACTCGACAAGAGAACAGAGAGCAAAATGCGAATTGCACACAGTTCATAATCAAATTCCACACCAGTCAGTCAAAGCAATGAACTAGCTGCAGTGGCAATAGCCTCAGTCACAAACGCGAGATTAAAATCAGAAAATAACCGTAGTAAAATGTAAAAAAATAACAGCAAGTAGGCCCCTAGCGCCCTAGCGGATTAGAACTATAAGACAGTCTGGATCAAAATCAGAATTGTGTGATTTTCTGAAACTCCGAACCCCACTCAATGATCATTAAAAGTCCTGATTTCGGGCACTTCATTTTGCGGAATGGATTAATTTTCATATATTTTCATATTTTCCCTTTTATATCCATGCAAACCGTCTCCATTTGTCTACTGCTCGAAAAATTTGATGATCGCTGAAAAAAATTGTTTTGCCTGACAGCAGCCCTCCCCCCTCCTGCTGGCCAACTTATAGGCTACGCCTATGACGTATCTTTTTTGACTAAACAGCAGAGTTGCCACCAACTCTTCTTCAAATTCAACGAATCCTTTACGTGCATGCCAATGCAGTAGCCTACACATTTGGCACTGCATTTTTATGTCCTCTCCAAAGGACTATAGTCTTTTCAGCTAGATTTTTATAACAAGCCTAGAATTTTTTCGGGGAAATACTAAAAATGATATTTGTACTTATTTCAGTTATAATTTAGTAATCTCGTTAATTTTATTTGTAAAATAGGGGGTGTTAAGTGCAAATACGAAACTATATTTGCCGAGCGTTGACCTTGGTTAGCTTTGCATTTGGCCGGCTCAGAGTCATGGCCGCTCTCCGAAGCAGACTGAACAACGGCTTGCTTCGATTTTGGATTTACCAGGCGGTTGGCATAGAAAACAGATATGTTCACAGTGTTTTCAAAGATGGAGAGATCTTTTCAAAAAAGATATATTCATTTAAACAATCATCTTCATTGATTGTAAGTAAGTTTATGGAAGTCGACCTTGAGACATGATTTAAACAACGACGGGTTTCATAAGCGAACCACGCTGTTTGTAATAACAATGATTACTAAAGCAACATTTTGATAGCTTGTTGAATAGACCACAAATTGTGTATAACATGATTACTTTAGCAGGGTTTAGATAGCATGATGTTAAGAGGCCTCAAATTACACTTCTGTCAACAAATGGCTATAGGCTACGCATAGGCTAGTCCAGCTCTGAACGTAGGTCTCATTACACTCACCTCTACGTCCAGGGAAGCTATCATTGAATCAATGTTGAACGTAAACGACCGCCCCAGTCAATTTTACTGGGCAACTTTTTACTGCGAAACAGTCGCGTGTCAGTCCCTGTGAACGCCTGAACAATATAAATGAACATTTTAGTGAGAAAATAAGACCTTGCTTACCTCGCTAGAGTCAGTATGAGCGACACAACACGCTGTTAAAAAATACGTCTCCGTCTTCTAACCGACTTGGCAGACATCATTGAAAGGGTAACGCATAAATTTAAGAACTCGGCCATATAAGATGAAACGTAATTTAAGTAAGCCTGAGAGAAAAAAAAATGAAATCTTTGAAAAGTTGAGAATCTTCAGTGATTCATTGCTTTGCCTAGCTAAATTAAAATAATTTACAATCAAATTCTTTCAAAAATCCCAATTTTTTCACACCAGGCTTACTTAAATTTCGTTTCATGGTCGTTATATGGCTGAGTTCTTAAATTTGTGCGTTACCCTTTCAATGATGTCTGCCAAGTCGGTTAGAAGACGGAGACGTATTTTTTAACAGGGTATTGTGTCACTCATACTGACTCTAGTGAGGTAAGCAAGGTCTTATTTTCTCACTAAGATGTTCATTTATATTGTTCAGGCGTTCTCAGGGACTGACACGCGACCGTTTCGCAGTAAAAAGTTGCCCAGTAAAATTGACTGGGGCGGTCGTTTACGTTCAACATTGATTCAATGCTAGCTTCCCTGATCATAGAGGTGAGTGTAATGAGACCTACGTTCAGAGCTGGACTACGCATAGGCTATCCATAGGCCCGTAAGGCTCCCACACTCCTCACACCATACCCAACTGAGTAGGCTACTGGAGTAGGCTAGACAATATTTTATAATAATGAAAAATTAAGAACATGAATGCAATGCCTTTTGAAGCCTAAATGCTACCAGACTTGCTCTCACTTCGGGTCATTTTATTTCAACAATTTGTCATGTCAGGCAATCTAACCTCTGCCAATTCACTTAGAAATATGTTTTTTCTTCAATCTATCTAGACGTTTTGATTTACATAAATACTCCCCAATACATACTTGTTTCCAATACTTACATTATTTTCGTCGTTAAGCGACTATTTGATTTGATGACATCCAACCTTCTTTTTTAGTGATAGCTTAATATGACCTATGATGATCTGTAAATTGGCCAGCCCGTTTGTCTGTGTTCCTTTTGGACCTTACTAGACTAGTAGTAGTAGGCCTACAGGATTATCGTGCTACTAATGGAAAATGAGAATAATGGGATGACAGATTCCAGGGTCATTGTTATCTGTCTCGGTCATACTAAGGAAATATTGGAATAACGACTATCAGATTTACTAGTCAACTGGTCACACTTTTACCATGGAATGAACAGGGCTGCCAACAACCAGTATCGCAGCGCAATTTGCGATACATATTTTGAGGGTTGCTAATCAAAAATTATAATCCAACACTTTTTGATTCGCAGTTACTGCGAATCATTAATATGCCTGTCATTTTGGATATTGACACGAAGATTTATCCACATTTTGAAGACTAGAAGGCTTTCTCAACACTTTCAATGTGTATAAAATGTCAAATAAAATTTTATAAACAAAACCGAATTCTTCGTCTGACACTTTCTTCTCGAACTAGCCAGACACAATTCATTATGCTATATAATACAGGGACATAACTCTATGAATAGGGACTATTAAACCGGGGAAATAGGAAATCTTAATCAAGTAGTACCACTCATGTTGCGAGACATGTCAATTTTGAGTAATTACATGTATATCATTATTCAATTTGAAAAAAAAATAAATCCAGTGTATTCCCCACATATTGTAAATAAAATGTAAAAAAAATAAATGCATGAAATTGTTTTCTGACAAAGAAATGTCAATTAAAATGAGTGGGGCTTTGGAAGCCACTGCCAAGAACTGGCTTCAGATAAAGACCTAACCAAAAGTCTACATCACATTCACAAACTGTCACAGCTACCTGTAGCAGTGCTAAAAAAATTTAAGAATGAAATCTAATCATTTGTTACAAATTAAAGTAATATCTTGTTACAGTATTTAATTGTATGCTGAAACTGAAAAACTGCTAATCAATTTTTAAATTTGCTAATCAAATTTGGCAAAATTGGACTTTTTGATTAACAGTGTGAAAAATTACTGACAGCCCTGGGAATGAACAGACGATCGGTCTGTGACTGGAATAATGGCTGGACAGAGAAAAGTGACAACCAATGAATATTGGTGAGAAAGCTCAGTATGTAGGAAGCAATCTTAAAGTCTTGGTATTTAACACAAAAAGATAAATAAGCCTATGTCGGAGGAAATATTACGGAACACTGAAAAGTAAAAGGTCTGTAAAGCAATACAGGTAGGTGTACGAAAGTGCAATAGCTCCCTGATTTAAATCAGAAACAGAAGTCTTTTCTTTGATGTAAAATTTTAATTAATGTTTTGTTTATTACAGTTTAACCAATCATGTGGCAACCATATCACACTTACATCACACAGCTACTCACAAACACCAGAACATGAAAAAAAAAGCACTGATAAATCCCATCGTAGTCCTCATTCCCTGGTAGAGAAAGATTTATCATCCCTTACAGACGAAATAAGACAGGTAATAAAATGGAATGTCAAATCATGTGTGGCTCAGGTCATTTGGGGAGCTGCAGATAGTGAATTTGGTCAGATAGTTGAAATTTTGACTATCCAGTATCGCCTCAATATCAGGGATACTGTTTAAAAATTTGCTAGTTGAAGACTGTGTCGGGACATTATAAAAGGGTTGATCACTTAATTACTTAATCTATCCCACCTATTATCAACGACAATTGAGATTAGTAATAGTTATACCCTCAGTACAGTAAATATTTCTTAGAATTTAGAATATGATATCTTGATGGGCATATTCCCTGTCAGATGTTTCCTAACTCGCATTGGACATGTCCAGCATATTATATGAGCGAAATAGCATCCATGCACAATATCAACCCCTGATGACTTGACAAATCGAGAAAAGCCATCTAAAAATGTCAATACATGTCAATAACCCGGAGGTGTGCAAACTAATTAGATACTTTGTTTTTTTATGATGTTTAATGTTTCTAAAGTATTGTGATTATGTTTTGAAAATTTTAGGAATTTAGTACAGCATCTAAAGAATTATGTGAGGTTGTAGAGTATTATTTTGATGGACAGGGCAAAGCATTTCGTCCCATGGTTGTTTTACTCATGTCCCATGCTTGTAATAAGCACATCAATTTATATAATCCACAGTAAGTTTATAATATGTCTTATTTACTAACCAAGTCTGCATCAGTTTGTTCACAATCAGAAAAGATACTAATTTTTAGCCATTTATATAAATAATATAATTGAAACATTATCATAGCTTTGAGATAGTACGCTTCTGGAAATTATAAAAGACTCTCAATAGGAATACAACTTTTAGAAATTGATTACCTCTTTCAAATATTGATTTCAACTGATTTTTATATGCCCACATTTTCATGTGGCATCTATGGGACCGTAACTTCATGGATTATGGCCCCTGATTGTACGAAATATCACGTTTTTGGCTTGTGAACACTGTAGAGGTCACAATTTTTATACGCCCACATTTTCATGTGGACGTATTATGCCATCGCCCCTGTCCGTCCGTCCACAATTGTTTGTGGACTCTCTACAGGTCACAATTCTTATCTGATTTTGACGAAACTTGAAATATAGGTTTATCCCCAAAAGATCACGGCTGCTTTCGATATTGGCATGTATCGGATCGAAACTTCATGGATTATGGCCCCTGATTGTACGAAAAATCACGTTTTTAGCTTGTGGACCCTATAGAGGTCACAATTTTTATCAGATTTTTTTTAAACTTGAAATGTAAGTTTATAACCCAAAGATCTCAGTTCCTTTCGATATTCGCGCATATCGGACCGTAACTTCCTAGATTATGGCCCCTGATTGTACGAAAAATCGCGTTTTTAGCTTGTGGACCCTTAGAGGTCATAATTTTTATCCGATTTAAAAAAACGTATTATTATATCACCGTTACACCCTAAGGAAGGTTGAGTTCGAATTTCGTGGAAATCGGCCCAAAATTGACAGCAAAATGGCCGCCGTTCGTTCTCAAATAGCGTAAAAATATGGTATATCAAGGTTGTGGACCCTATAGAGGTCACAATTTTTATCCGATTTTGTTGAAAATTGAAATGTAAGTTTATAACCCAAAGATCTTGGTTCCTTTCGATATTCACGCATATCGGACTGTAACTTTCTGAATTATGGCCCCTGATTGTACGAAAAATCACGTTTTTAGCTTGTGGACCCTATAGAGGTCATAATTTTTATCCGATTTAAAAAAACGTATTATCATATCACTGTTACACCCTAAGGAGGGTTGAGTTCGAATTTTGTGAAAATCGGCCCAAAATTGACAGACAAAATGGCCGCCGTTCGTTCTCAAATAGCGTAAAAATATGGTATATCAAGGTTGTGGACCCTATAGATGTCACAATTTTTATCCGATTTTTTTGAAACTTGAAATGTAAGTTTATAACCCAAAAATCTTGGTTACTTTCAATATTTGCGCATATCGGACCGTAACTTCCTGAATTATGGCCCCTGATTGTATGAAAAATCACGTTTTTAGCTTGTGGACCCTATAGAGGTCATAATTTTTATCCGATTTAAAAAAACATATTATTATATCACCGTTACACCCTAAGGAAGGTTGAGTTCGAATTTCGTGAAAATCGGCCCAAAATTGACAGACAAAATTGCCGCCGTTCGTTCTCAAATAGCGTAAAAATATGGTATATCAAGGTTGTGGACCCTATAGAGGTCACAATTTTTATCCGATTTTGTTGAAACTTGAAATGTAAGTTTATAACCCAAAGATCTCGGTTCCTTTCGATATTCGCGCATATCGGACCGTAAGTTACTGAATTATGACCAATGATTGTACGAAAAATCGCGTTTTTAGCTTGTGGACCCTATAGAGGTCATAATTTTTATCCGATTTAAAAAAACGTATTATTATATCACCGTTACACCCTAAGGACGACTGAGTTCGAATTTCGTGAAAATCGGACCAAAACTGGCAGACAAAATGGCCGCCCCTCATTCTTAAATTGCGTAAAAATATGGTATATCAAGGTTGTGGACCCTATAGAGGTCACAATTTTTATCCGATTTTGTTGAAACTTGAAATGTAAGTTTATAACTCAAGATCTTGGTTCCTTTCGATATTTGCGCATATTGAATTGTAATTTCCTGAATTATGGCCCTTGATTGTAGGAAAAATCACTTTCGTTTTAGCTTGTTTTCTATCCATCTCTCGAAAATGTGGGCGTAATCCTGCCTGGCAGCCGCTGGTTTTTTTTGGGGTTTTTTTTTTCAATGTTCTTGAAAGTCATCTGATTTTAAAGCATATTTGTTCTTATCAATGCCAATAAGCTTATCTATGATGTATGACATTTTGTTTTTTTTGTAGAATTATAAAATCTCAAAAGAGAATATCAGTGATAGCTGAAATGATCCACACAGCTAGCTTAGTTCATGATGATGTCATTGATGCAGCAGATACACGAAGAGGCAAAACCAGTGTCAACTTGGTGTGGGGGCAAAGAAAAGTAATCTTTTAATTGATTGGTAAAATTGTTTTAGGCCTTTAATGTATTGGAGAATTTTGGGCATAAACAACAAATTTGTTCAAAAGATTTTTAAACAGCATTTAATTCATAGATGTCCGTAGAACTAGCAAAGAAAGAGTCCACATAGGAAGGTGTATTAAAAGATCTATTGAAAGATTGAGCCACAGTGGCTCAGTGAGTATGGAGCTGACTCACTAACCAAGATATCTTAGGTTGTATGAGAAAGTTCCTCTAGAACTTCCAGTCTGGTTTCCTCACGTCAGTAAAAAAGAAATGTGCACGTATAAGGACCTTGACATTGGAATTTGATGAAGAGTGGTTGGAAATGTTCCTGTCCAGTGAGAATTTCCCTCATAACACATTGCATGCCATATGCCTGTCTTCATTAGCCCGATAGGTAATTCATAGTAAAAAAAATTTACTAAAAAGTTATTTGTTGATTCAAATAACCAAAATAGATAGCTGTCCATGTAGTTTGGCTAAGCTGATATTCTCTAAACAATAGTTCTGTTAATTTAGGGACCAATACTGCACTGCTTTAAATAAATACTTTTTTTTTTTAATTCAGTCCATTTTAGCTGGCGATTTTATTTTATCAGTAGCCTCAATGGCCTTGGCACGAATACGTAATGAACAAATAGTGACCATTTTATCTCAGGTTATAGAGGATTTAGTCCGAGGTAAATGACTTGATTTTATTATTGTATCACATTTTGTACTTTTAATTTAATAGAATTAATTTTGATGTTCCATGGTATGTTTTATAAGCCTGAAAGATTTTTCGGTTGGTATGGAAAATATTGAGGTGCACATATTTTTCTTTATTTTTTTGTGGTAATTATAAATATTTAGAGTAATATATGCTATTAAAGGGAATAGAAGTTATTTTCATCAGCTGACAACGACTTCTTGTGACATAACCACAAATAAAAATGCAAACAAAACACTAGTTTATAAGATGTTACAATTTATGTTATTATCATTTTTTTTTTCTTTTTTAGGTGAATTTATGCAATTGGGATCTAAAGAAGATGAAAATGAAAGATTCTCACATTATCTCAGGAAAACCTTTAAAAAAACTGCCAGTTTATTAGCCAATAGTTGTAAAGCTGTAAGTACATATTTAAAAAAATAAGCACAATGATGTATAGACTTGTCTGAGGAGTTTCGAAAAAATAAGGAATCCCATGATTTCCCATTAGAAAAGGATAAGGAAATGACTATAAAAGGTAAAATATAGATAGTGAAAACAGAATGTGCTGAAAATTTCAGTCAAATTGATTCAATCTGAACTGAGATATTAGCGATTCAGTTTTAGGCTAGTCTCGATCGTCATTATTACCGTTGGTATGATCATAAAAAAAGTCTGCATTATCCATTTTTACTTTAAATCACCCATCACAAATCCAGTAAATATCACATTCTAATGATGGCATCGAAAGTTGATTATGGTCTTGATAAGTTAATTAAGGTCTAATTAATAATTTATATAACATTTAAGACCTAAAGAAATACCTGCAATAGCCAGATGTAGCTCTTGCATAATGCATGTTTAATTCAGTGCGTGTCACAAGCAAGCTAATGGCAAGGAGATGACTATTATTAGTTTACTTCATGATCATTTTAGTGCGTGTTGAAGGGAGTTTACAACAGTTAGTAGATTTTCAGTTAAAGGAAATGGAACAAAAATGTGAACACGATGCTGAAAAGATGAGAATGATCTGCTTGAAAATGATATGGCAGTACACATTTTAATTTTAGTAATAGCATAAGAAAGATCATGTCACGACGTACACCATAGTGAGGGCATTATTTAGAAAGACAAATTTTGATAGCACTTTTAATATAATATATTCCATATTTTCTAGTTTGTGACTGGCTCAGCTGACTTCAAGAAAACTTAATGATCAGCTGAATTTTTATGATTTTTTCAGGTAGCCGTATTAGCTAATTGTGAAGAAGATGTAACAGATATAGCATATCAATATGGACGTAATATAGGTATAGCTTTTCAGGTACGATTGAACTTGTTGAACCTTTGAGTGTCAAATCAAAAGTAGTTTGAACTGTAGAATAGCTGGAGGTATGTGTCTTCCCACAAATCACTTAATCAAGTTCCATGTTATTCAGTCTAACTTTCGTCACTAAAATTACCTTGTTAGAGGGCCGAGAAAGTTCATCCAGATTTTCCGGCGTGGTTCCCCCTTGTCAGTGATGCAGGACGGAGGGCCTGACAAGGACAGCTGTCTAGTCATTCGGATGTGACGAAAAACCGAGGTCCCCTGTACACATTGTGACGTTCTAGAGGCTAAAGTTATCATCCGATTGACTTCAGATTGATATTGATAATTACTTAAAGCGGAAATTGCAAATTTTTAAGTTATATTTTTAAAATTTATTAAAATAAAGTCTGAAAATAGATGGTATCCATAAACAGTCCTACCTTGTTAAAGAAGAATCCTATTAATCCTATAATTCATTATTGCCAGCTGAGAAATTGGCAAAAATATCATTTTCCTCTTCATTTACAAACGTTTGAATATCGCTACTCCATGGTGGAGAATAGAAAACAAGGGAGGTAATTGGGTTATTATTTCCTGTGTAAATGAATCTTAAGTGTGAGAATGATACCTATGATCGTATAATTGTGAGTTGACAACCTATTGAGCAAAAGACATAGAAATAATTACGTTTTGACTTTCTTAGAAAATTTGCAATTTCCGCTTTAATGAGTTGTTACTCTTAATCAGATTTTAGTGTATTATAAATGTTTCATTACCAAAAAAAGTAAAAATATGCGACAATACTTGTTGACTGCCCGGACGATTTAGCTGCTGTGGGCGTATGTTTCGTTGTCTGGCAACCTATCTTTGGTTCTGGTTTGAATATCATAAAGCAGAGTCCTGCGTTCAGTCTGGCTACATCTGTCTTGGATTCACCTGCTTGTAACCGACTGATAGCGTAGTTGAGTTGGTCTTTGTTCAGATGTGGCATCACTTGGCTTGTTGAGTGTTTACATGTACAACTGATTTTTAAACCGAGAACCCCAGGATTTTAAAGGCCTTAGATTTGGATTTCATGCGAAAAGCTTGCTAAGTTGGTAAACACCTGTGTCTTAGTGCAATCCAACGAAAACAAATTTCGGCAAAAAGTATGACTATGATTTTCTTTTAGCCTTATATAATAACATTAAAAAACGTTAGATGTATGGAAACATCGGTCCCGTTCAAATAAAAAAAATGATGAAAAATGGGCTATGCGTTTTTTGGTTGTTTTTTTTTTAAAGACTATATTACAAACACATAAGTTCAGGTCCTAATAGATGTTTTATTTTGAACTTCAATTATAGAAATGGTGTTAGAATGTCACGTGATTTCCACTGTTGATAGACTGAAAAGTATGGTTTGATTAGGGTAACCCACCATTGGACCATAAATAAATATCTCCAAATATCTCGACAATTACACCACAATATTTATATATTTATATATATACCAAGCCTTAAATCAGTTTCGCACATTTATAGTCACTAAATAAATGGTTATGTACTTAATAAGCTAGACTGTAAAATAGTTACGACTGTCAGCCATAACATCCAGGCACTTTTGAGTAAAAATTAGGTTATGTGCCCTTGTTTTGAAATCAGTCTCATTTAACCAGTCTACCGACCATTCTTCGTCTGATTGACAGGCCGGGATAATCAAAATTACTTTTTTACGAAACATAACTGAAAGTTGGAAAAAGAAATTGAATTTAGAAACACGCACGTTAGGCAACTTAACAATTGTTTTAAAAACCTTGTAAAAGTAAAATGAAACTACTGCTAGTATCATGTTCTTGCCTAACCCGGTGTTTCAGAGATATTATTTGTACTAAACCAAAAGATGCCGCTCCTAACGGTATAATTAATGATAAGCAATTTAAAAAAATAAAACTAACGTAATTTCTAAAGCTAAATATTACTGCTATTCAGAATCGTCAACAATAGATTTTTTACAGCTGTAATAGTTGATATGTGTAGAGAATTTCACGTGGGATGGCTATTTATAGACTCATGCTCTGAGTGTTATCGCACCGCGTGACTAGCCAGAAATCACTTAGACAAGCCACTGAAGCGTGCACATTTCAGTAGGGAAAATTTTCGCTGCATGGAGCATCCTACTTTGATGTCATATCATTGCCGCATGATCCATTCTGACGTCTATTATAGACATACAGGTGCCGATTAATTTAGGGAATTATATTGTATTCAACATTCAATAACTGATAATCTCGACTTCGTTAATCATATGGCAAATAATAAAGTTCACAATAGATGGTTTGTATTTACGAAGATGTAGGAAGCCTGACCTAATTATTCCTTCAAAAAACATTATGTTTGATTCCCAAGGTAAAATAGAACCAGGCATTTCCCAACTAACATGTATCTACATCGATCATCATGACATTGGGCGTATTTTAATGTTTAATAGTTTTATATCCACCACTATCGTTATCTGTATCAGCAGATATATTTTCCTGTCAATATTTTGTATTTGTAAAACCAATAGTAGCCGTATGAAACTTGCCGTGTTTGTTCCTTGGACAATTGTCCATCTATTGATGCGCCTAGATTTATGATATGTTACAATTCCAAGTTGGCTGAGATAATGCCATGCAAGATTCTGTGTCCATATAATAATCTTGTCCTTGTTATTTTTAGTGTATTTATTGTAGTATTATATTTGTTTGTATTGACAGTTAATAGATGATTTATTAGATTTTACGTCCTGTGATAAAACATTAGGTAAACCAACAGCAGCCGATTTAAAACTTGGTTTAGCTACAGCACCTGTTTTATTTGCTGCACAACAGGTGAGATGGAGTTATTTTTCTTTATTAGGTCAAAGGACATCTGTCATACCCATTTTAGTTGTCCATGTAATCTTTAACATTTTCAACTTCTTCTTCTGAACTGTTAAATAGATTCCAACCAAATTTGTTTGTTAGATAATTTGTTAAATTCTGCCCAACAGGGATTGGGCAGTGATATGTTAAGGCAGCCAAATTCAGACATTTTCGACTACTTCTCCATAACTACTTCATGGATTGCATCCAAATTTTGGTTGGTATGTTGGGTTGGGTGGTGTACATTTTAGGGATAAATTTGTCCAAAATCATTCAATTGATTCCAATCAAATTCAATAGATAATAGTTCTTTGGTAGTGGTCATTCATTCAGGGACAATTTTAAACATTTTCATAGACTAATTCATCTGTACCACTTACAAGAAAGTATTTTGGTTGGGTAGTGCTTTTTCAGATTTGTTTAAATATAGTTGTTCGGCTGCATAGGGGGTAGGGTAGGGTCCAATTAAGTGGTTTACAACCTCTGCTAAACCAGATCCTTTGACAAGTGGTAATGTGTGTTAGGATTGGACTCAAATTACATAGTTGTTTGGACAAGAAAATTTCTCCAGCACTAACAGAGACAAAGACAATAATAATAATGCACTATGTTGAACTATTGTTCCACATTATTTTTGAAAACAATAGTCCACGGGATGGCAACACTTCATATTTCTGTCAAAAAATCTTATGACAGTTAAACTTCTGAAACGTTCCATTTATTTGGTTTTTATTTCAGTATCCCCAGTTAAATTCTCTTATCATGAGGAGATTTTCTAAAAGTGGAGATGTTGAAACTGCTAGACATTTGGTTGCCAAGGTAACTATTATATCATAGGATCACAAAATGCTTCCCAATCTGACCTTTTACAGATTATGGAATATTCAGTAATGCTTTTCAAGAGGCGGTTTTGTGTTGATGATCTGAGTATTACTATTAGTTGACAGAAAATCAGGTCCAATTTTTTCATAACAAATCTGTTATGCACAGTTGATCTTCAGAGGAATTGTCAAGAGCTGAAAATTGTCTGTGTAGTTCTCTACTTCAGTCAGTAACAACAACTGATTTCTATCAACATGACACTCCCTGGGCCAAGATCTTTATTCTAAAATTATATTTTAAATCTGTTAACCCTATATATAGGTAAAACCTGTGGATGGTGAACTTTCCATGGAGCAAATTTTGTTTGGGTCATAGATTACATATTTGAAGCCAAATGTTGTAGAATAAAATAAGTTCAATTTATTTTGTTATTGTATATTTTTCAGAGTGAAGGAGTAGAACAGACAAAATTGTTAGCAATTCAACATGGAAGAGAGGCTATACGACAAATAAATCAACTTGATCAATCAGATGAACAACGAGCCTTAATAAATATAGTTAATATGGTGTTAAATAGATCTAAATAACCCTAGTTAGCCTAGAATAATTAATTGTATCTTGTCTGATAATTAATACTTGTAAAAACACTTCCAATATAAAATGTTCCCTCAAGGTTAATTAGGCCATATATTCCAAACTTTAAACTGAAAATATATTCTTAAAATGACAGGGAAAAATAAAGTTATTGACTGAAAGAGATACATATGTTCACAATAAATAAAATATAAATAGACAGAAAGACATCCTTATCTACAGCTTGTAATCAGCACATAAAATACCCACTGAATACTTAATGTTTCTTGTTTCATGCAACAAATTCCCATGTTATTTGGATATATCCTCAGATCAATGAAATCTTTAGATCTCCTGGTACAAGGGTACAAAGCAATATGAAATTACAACTTTTCTGTCTTAAGCAAACGAATTAAACGGACCACAAAGGAATCTACACATGTTCAGTTAGTGAGTACATTCTGAACATTATAAACATTCATGGTTATACAATACTACTACAACAGACAGTATCTCACACATTGCATTCGATGAAGGGTGCATATTTTACCTCTCAGTGCGCCTTGTATTCCCGTATAAATTATAAGTTGGATTGACCAACAAAAATGTTATAATGTGTGGAATTACCTGAACAAGTGAATTAGATTTCATTTGATCGAAAGATAATTTAATTAAACTAAACTATGGTTCAATCAAACAAATTTACTCTTTATGGCTTCAAATGTTGACAATCATTTACGTTTTTTGTATATCTTTATGAGAGAATTTCTTGATAACAATATTCTATAGTAAACCCAATATTAATATTTCTTTTCAAATATTTTTGTAAAATACTTTACTCTTTGTTATATTAACAGAAGTACTGTTATGTATTGTAATTGGCCTTAAATGTATAATTTTGTAAGTATGTTTGGAATGTGTTTCAAATTTACATCAAAATAGCATAATCAAATGAATTCTCATTTGAAAATAAGCCCAAAAATGTGATACTGTTTCACTACACAAAGATTATTTCATTTGCTGTGCATATCCATAAAAAGGCAAATTATCAGACAAGATTGTTGTCAATTGTTTGAAATATTTATTATATACAATATTATTATTACATTTATATTTTGTAAATAAATTGTTGATACAAAATTTGATATGCTAATAATTGGACTTTTCCCTATTATTACACACTTATGTGGAAATGTGGTCGTATATTGCCGTTGGTTCGTGGTCCACAATTTCCTCTGAACACTCTACAGACTACATTTATTATCTGATCAGTTTGAAATTAATACATATTCTTATACATTAGTGAGACGAAGAAGCCTATTTAATTTCAACAATTTCCGTTACATGCATTATTTCAATTAGTAAAATGGAGAAGACTTTCAAATTTCATCAATTTCCATTTATAACTTCTGGAGTTATGGCCCATGTGTTACGTTAATTACTTCTAGAGTTTTCACCTTTGTTGAACCATGTGAATGCTCCAACAACTAAAGTTATTATCTGATCTGTATGCATTATTTAGATAGTAAAGTCTATTGAATTTCAGTAATTTCTGTTAATTACTTCTAGAGTTATGGCCCTTGTTTCACTTTGTTGAACCCCGTGTGAACGCTCTTGCTTGCTTGAGATTATTTCATTATTGAATTAAGCACTTCCACAGTTATGACCCTTGTTCCACTTTTTTGATCGTTGTGAACATTCGATCTGTATGAAATTGATCTGTCTTGTAAATACTCCTATTACCTACAAAAGCATAAATTTTAATATGTGACAACCTTTGCTGACTGCTCGGATAATTTAGCTGCTGTTGGCTTATGTTTCGTTCCTGGCAACCTATCTTTATGGATTTGAAGAGAAGTTGAAAATGAAACTGTATGTAGTCATGTTTTACACATGCATACATGTTGGCTTATGTTTCGTTCCTGGCAACCTATCTTTATGGATTTGAAGAGAAGTTGAAAATGAAACTGTATGTAGTCATGTTTTACACATGCATACATGTTGGAGTGCCATAAAAGAATCCATTTATTGTAATTCGGTGAAGAGTAGGTGAAAATTCCACCGCCTGAGGAAAAATTTCCATTGTAGTGCACTGCAAGGTTGGTGGAGAAAAATAGGATGTTAAACCCCATTTCATTCTACACATTCATATTGAATTCATAGTTGTACCGTAGAGCAAAATGTGATGAACTAAGAATGTACTGCATAATATTAAAGGTACATTATGGAAGATTAGATAAATAGCTGGTAGTTCTCACTATAAAAACTAGATAATGTAAAGGGAATTTGCTGAAAATTTCAGTCAAATTGATTCACCCTGAACCAAGTATTTAGCGATTGAATTTTGGGTCTAGCCTCAATCATCATTACTAAAGTCGGTATGATTTTGATTTAATCAGAAGCAACAGACCGGGTTCTAATCCAGTAAATATCGCAGACTAACGATGCCATCGAGAGTTGACTATGGTCTGGATAAGTTCATGTCTAATTAATAATTCAGATAACATTTCAGGTCTAAAAAAAGACCTGCACTTGGCAGGTTTAGCTCTTGCATAATGTATGTAATAATATACAAGTTACATGTAGCACACTAATTTAAAGAGGAGTAATTTATGAACCATTGGGTCATTAATTGAATGTTTTTAGTTATGAGAATGAATATGTAGCATTTTTAAAAACCTTTATTTTAATCTCTCTGTACTGAAAATCACATAGATTAAAAACAATCAAAATAAAAAATTAGTTTTCCAATGTAGTCAACATTTACAGCGATTCAATATTTACAGTATCTTTTAATTTCTCTGAAACACAAGATGTAGATTTACTATCAAATAAGTAATCAGATTCTGGCGGTAACTATAAACTTGTTAATAATACAAGTTTCTCAAATTAATATCAGTTTGGAGAATCAGAAGACTATAATCTAATAAACATTGGCAATCACTAGTAAATATTTTAACTGTACAATCAATTTTCAATCCTTAATAACATTGCACATTAAAATAGCACTTCTAAGACATGTTTGAGTTCCTATTGAAGAATTGTTGCATTACCATGGTGCACTTTAGTTAAAACATTCTTTGAGTTTAAAGATCGACCAATTTGTTCTTGATATCTTTGGCAAAAACTTCTAGACAGATGACTGAAACTAAAAATAGAACCAACCCTTAATCAAAGAAGATATCCCAATAAAAGGAATTAATTTTGGGCTCAAAACATCAAACCCTCAATTAAAGAAGGTAAACGAATTTGCTTGATCTAAAGTATGAAGAACACAAGTCAGTCTTGGCTTTGTTTTATGGCCCTTAATATTTAAATTATTATACAGACACACAGCTTCATATAAACATCATATACAGACAGAATACACATTTAAAATATTACTTACACAGTCATTTATCTGTATTTAAAATATATTAACATTTATCATTGAAATATCACAAACTTGCTTCCATTTTTTATTCATAACATCTTTCTCTCAAAATCCATTGTCACATTCACAGCATTTTTTCACACAATCCATATCTTTATTAATTGAGCAATTTTTAAAAAATATATTCACATCTTACATATTTGTATTAGTCATGTTTTTTTTTTTTTTAGCTTTGAAATTTATATATAGATAACAATGATCTTGATAGAAATGATTCACTAGCTATATTTATGTAACTATTTTTAGTCACAGATCACTACAAAGTGATATGGTTTGGCTGATAGTGTGAAATATATATAATACATGTAGAAAGATATTTAGCACTTCAAAATATATATTTTATTCTCTTTTCCTGTAATCATTCATTCAATCTTGGATTTGAAAATTATCTTCAATTCTTTGATTATCTTCTCCTGAAAAATAGGAATATATTTGTTTCAAGCTTACTTAAAGATACATTAGTTAAGAGTTTAATAGAGTAGGTCATTCTTGCTATAATAATTCAAAAATAGACGAAAAAACAAAATATTGAAAATTTCATTCAAATTACTTCATTCTCAGCTAAGTTATCATTGTTTGTAGTTTTGACAAGATGTGTGCACAGTGGTAACCAGGGCACTGTTATAATCGGGACTTAGCCGTGCGTTCCCATTTTTAAATTAAATTTTTAAATCGAGTACCGTTTTAATTTAGTTAAAATCTAGAGTATCCTATGCCATCGAGAGATGATTATGGTCTTGTTTTGTTAATAAATGTCTAATTAACAGTTTATATAACATTTCAGGCCTAAAGAAAGACCAACAATAGGCAGATTTAGCTCTTGCATTGTGTATGTTTAATATATTTTTGTTTGCATGAAGGTGACACTGATACATGTACTTTTTTTTACATGCCCACATTATATAATCTGTATTTCCGTCAGGATCAAGCTATGCTATAGACTTAAAGTTATACACCTTGTTAATATTCATTAGACAAAAAAACCAATGGACTTTTGATAATAACTTTTTAATGATGCATATACTTTCAATCAACTAACCTTCTTCTGTTACAGACTAATGCTATAATAAAATGAGCTAAAAATGGCCAGATAAATATAAATGCTGCTGTTCTTTTAGAAATGTTACCAAACGGCCACCATGTTGACTTCTTGTGCAACTCCTGTCTCTCTTTTTCCTGTAGAAAAAAAAACAATTCTGAGAGTAGTGCTGAAGCAATACATTCAACCGGCCCCTATTTTTTTTTTTTTTACAATGCATGCATTTACAGCAGGCTCATAGTCCCAAGGTCATCCTCTACCAAGTAGTTTCAGCTTTTCGAATTCAAACTGAATATATTATATTCTTTTGGAAACCCCTGATACCACTTCTCATTTATCTGGAAAGTTCCCATATAGCTAACAATTTTCTTCATAGTTTTGTATTTAAAGAGGGACTTAGCTAAAAAAGGAATTTATTTTGCATTCCTTTCTTACTTTATAGTAAGTAGTCAGCCTGGGAAATCTAACATTAGAAATAGCTGCAAGTGCCCATAAAAGGTAGCATGACAGAGAACCAAATCTTCTAGTTTCTGCTATCAACAACCTGCTTTTATTATACGCCCACATGGAAATGTGGTCGTATATTGCCGTCGCCCCCGTCCATCCGTCTGTTGGTCCGTCCATCGTCCACAATTTCTTGTGAACACTCTACAGACTACATTTATCATCTGATTGTTTTGAAATTGATATATGTTGTTTGCATTAGTGAGATGAAGAAGCATATTTAATTTCAATAACTTCCGTTAATTTCGTCTGGAGTTATGGCCCTTGTTTCACTTTGTTGCACCTTGTGAACGCTCTAACGACAAAAGTTATCAACCAATCTGTATGAAATTTATATGCATCATTTAAATTAGTAAAACAAAGAAGCCTATTGAATTTCAGCAATTTCCGTTAATTACATCTAGAGTTATGGCCCTTGTTTCACTTTGTTGAATCTAGTGAACGCTCTAATGACAACAGTTATCATCCGATCTGTTTGAAATTGATATGCACCATTTAAATTAGTGAAACGAAGAATCCTATTGAATTTCAGCAATTTCCTTTAATTATGCCGTGAGTTATGGCCCTTGTTTCACTTTGTTGTACCTTGTTTATGCTCTAACGACAAAAGTTATTATCCGATCTGTATGAAATTTATATGCATCATTTACATTAGTAAAACAAAGAAAGCTTATTGAATTTCAGCAATTTCCGTTAATTACATCTAGGGTTATGGCCCTTGTTTCACTTCGTGGAATCTTTTGAACGCTCTAATTGATCTGCATCATTTTAATTAGTGCAACGAAGATGCCTATTGAATTTCAACAATTTCCATTTATTACACCATGAGTAATGGCCCTTTTTTCACTTTGTTGTACCTTGTGAATGCTTTAACGACAAAAGTTATTATCCGATCTGTATGAAATTTATAGGTATCGTTTAAATTAGTAAAACGAACAAGCCTATTGAGTTTCAGAGTTATGGCCCTTGTTTCACATTGTTGCATCTTGTGAACGCTTGAACGACAAAAGTTATCACCCAATCTGTATGAAATTCATATGCATCATTTAAATTAGTGAAATGAAGAAGCCTATTGAATGTCAGCAATTTCTTTCAAATACTTCTAGAGTTATGGCCCTTGTTTTACTTTGTTGAACCTTGTGAACGTTCGAACGACAAAAGTTATCATCCGATCTGTATGAAATTGATATGTATTATTTGAATTAGTAAAACAAAAAAGTCTGTCGAATTTCAACAATTTCTGTAGATTACTTCCAGAGTTACAGGCCTTGTTTTAGTTTTTAGATCCTTGTGAACCCTCAAACAACAAAAATTATAATGTCATCTGTATGAAATTGTCTATTAAATGCCCCCTCATTACCTACAAAAGAGCAAATATATGACAACTCTTGTCGACCGCTCGGACGATTTAGCTGCTGTGGGCGTATGTTTAGTTGCCTGGCAACCTATCTTTAATTCTGGCTACTTCTGAAATCCCAATGATAAAAATTTACCCACCAGACTTTGCCTCTCTGTCATTGCTTCCAAATTTGTCAGACGTGATAAAACACTATTCATATCCTGCTGTAAACGAACTAAAGTTAACACTATTTGTTGATTCAGGTCACCATAATGATGGATTCTTGATACATCGTCTTCATCCTCTCCAGCACCACCAGATCCAGGGGGAAATAATCCTCTTCTACTTCCAGATATATTACCTGCATTACCTGTTTAAGAAATAAAGTGGGCCCAATATTAGTTACTTGAGGAAGAAAGCCAATTAAATATTTTGTCAATCATGTAACTTGCCAACAAATGTTTGGTACATGGACGGTGATGTAATGGGTTTTTACTTATAACCTATTTAGTGGGGACTGCACCACACACAATTACACAAGACAAATCTATGGACAAGACACAATATGCAGAAATCACAAACAAACGTAATACCAGATTTAGTGAATGGATCCGACGGCTAGCCATAAGCGTCCACTGCGCTGTTCAGTCCTCAGCCTGTAGTGACACAGACTTCACTCAAAAATGAAAACTAACAATAAGGAGAAATACATTCCAAAACGTTGTAAAATACTAGTACGAGTCATGATCTGCTATATGCCACAAGAAGTATAAATGTAAGCACACTGAAGGAAAATTACCTATACAAGTAACTATATCGGTGAAATGTAGTAAAAAAACAAGTACAACTAAATGGCCTGTGTTATAGTGAGAAACGTTATAAGGGTCATTCCATGTCAAGTGGGCCAGGGGTGGGAAATCAACCCCCTCGAAAAAATGTGGAAAACATATATGTTACAGTACATGTAAAAACTAGAAACTCTGCCAAATTACAGGCATTTGAGTTTTATGAGTACAGAAAAGTTTTCAAAACAAAATATGTATCAATAATTTACTCAAGTTTTACATATCTTGTTTTACCTTTCTAGTGAAGATATAGGACTCAAATTTGGTAGTCTGAAAGAACTTTTTGTATAGATTACAAATCTGCAATCAGATTACAGGTGAGTGGTAGGGTTTTGCATGCTTCATGGCCATGGAAACCGAAAAAAATTTGTGTAATTGTATATTTTCTGGATTTCATGGTGCTCAAGGAAATGAAATGAAATGGGGTTTAACGTCCTACTGTTCTGCTCCTAACCTGGGCTAAGCTACAAAGTAATAGATATAGGGATTGCAGGTAGTACTACGTAAGAAACATGAAGATGCACCAGTCTTCACTAGGTTCCCAGAAAATTGGCCTCGAATGGTTTCAGACACAAATGTTCGAAAATTGCTTCGTATTTCGAGCCGTTGGAACCCGGTAGATGAGCACCTAAAAATCTTAAAGTTGGTGGAATTATCGTTTGTACGAATGTCTCGAACATATTATAAAACCATTCTTGTCCCATGCTATCTTGATTTTTTGAGTCGATTTATCGTATTTTTGAGTCGATTGAACCTGGGAGATGAGCACCTTAAAAACTGAAACTTGGTGGAATTATAGTTTGTACTAATGTCTCTTAATACATGTTAAAACCATTCTTTAATTCTTGTCCCATGCCATCCGATTCTTTTGTCCACTTTTTTCAAAATCCAGGTCAATTATCAACCAATTTGTTAAACCGTACCCCCTTCGATTTTTCTGACATCCAGACAATATACAATTACACCAATTATTTATCGGTTGTCATGGCCAAGTAGCATGCAAACCCTACCATTCACAAGATAACTGAAACTGGAGTAAATTATTGATACATGTTTTGTTTCGAAAATTTATTGGTAACTCATAAAATTCAAATACCTGTATCCCAGTCAATTTAAGCTACAGACAACAAATTTTGCAGTTTCTAGTTATTACATGTACAATAACATATATTTTTTCCAGATTTATTTGAGGGGGTCGATTTCCCAACTTTCTGAAAATAGACCCACTTGACATGGAATGACCCATAAGCGTTTGAAAGAATTGAGGTGTATTAATTACAAAGTTAGAGAATAAGTCCTTATTTCCACAAAAACATCACTATTTTAGTTTCAAACACAAGGATAGAGTTACAAGTAAAAAATTTAAAAGTGGAAATTTCTATTGAGTGTCACTGATTACAGTGAACTGATAGTTTTGTACAATTTGTAAACATTGTGAAAAGATTGTAATATTGAATGGGTTTATGTTTCTTTTTAACCGGACATTAAACCTGTAACTGTATTATTTTGAAAATTTGTCCATTTTTACAATTGCTTTCATTTCTATGTTAAAGTATATTATTATATTACAAATTTCAGTCAAAAAACAAATACAAGTACCATAGGATCGTGACCAATCACCACCGCTAATGGAAATTCTATGTGTTTAATTACTACATCCCCTGCTGTGACAGAATTATGTGACAGATTTTAGTGCTTAGCCAATCAAAATTGAAGTATCTACTTAAATTTGGATTTTATTTTTAGTTAAGTTTTCGAGAAACAGGGCCCAGGTCCCTGTGGTACCTCTAAGTAGTTAAAAGAATTTTTATTGTAGAACTTCAGCATTATTCAACAAATTTAATTCAATACCGTACAGAATTTAAACAAAATAACATAATAGTGCATACCTCTAGCACTCACTGATCTGTCTGTCAAATCTGTTGAAACTGGAAATGACCCTTGTCCTGTAGGTAAGTTACCCCCACCACGTGTCATAACTGAATCACTTTCTAATTTGTCAAAAGTTTGTTGTAAAACACTATTGTCTGGATGATGGAGACTAACACCTAACTGACTGTCTATCGACAAGTTTAACGAGTCATTTGAAGCTGCATTAACTAACAAGCTATCTGAAAGGAGGGTATCACGATTGAATTTGGAAGAATAAGGCACTGAATTTGATAATAAACCCATACGAAGATTCTGACTATTCGTGAATCGATATGAAGGTGTTGTTTGGTGAATTTGAGCTTCTGTTTGAATGGAGTCTTTATCTGTGAACTGAACACGATTTTCTGTTTTAGTTATTGGTGTGGATGTATTTAACATTGGTATCACATGGCCATTTTCTAATGGATCCTGGAAAATATGTAGAAATTGTGTAATTTACTGCATTTATTTATTTAATAAAAAGCAAGTGCGAAATTAAAGACAAGTACCTAAGTATATTCAAGGAGGTGATATTAGGTACCCTTGTAATTATATTAACAGTACAGCATCTACAGTGAAAAAGTCCATAAGTCACTTGAAAACCAAGATGGTCTACATTCAGCACTTACACTTAGCAATAGTTTTATTTGATTTTGATGTAACTTAAAATATGTTTATATCCTGAAGATCTAGGTCCATATAGATATTCACACATATCGGACCGTAAGTTTCTGGATTATGGCCCCTGATTGTACAAAAAATTGATTCTTTTTTTTTAGCTTATTCTCTGTCCATCTCTTGCACAATGTGGGAGAATCTTGCATGGCAAGCGCATGTTTATAAAAATGTCAAACATTGAAATCGGGTAAAATGTTTATGGTAAACAATTGACTAAGCCATTTGGTGCTTATTCTGAAAGTTTCACCACATGGGTTATGTGCAATTTGGTTTTTTTTTAAAAAAAAAACAGGAAATTTTACTAGCTGAAATGTTTTTGCTATATAAGATAGCAACTTTTTGACAGATTTTCATAATTCTTTTTTTTCTTTAAGATTCTTCAAAAAAAAAAAAAAGATAGGTTGCCAGGCAACGAAACATACGCCCACAGCAGCTGAATCGTCCAGGCAGTCAACAACAGTTGTCGCATACTTTTACTTTTTTCGGTAATGAAACATTTATAGTACACTAAAATCTGATTAAGAGTAACAACTCATTAAATAATTATCAGAAAATCATTAGAATTTGTTTGTTTTTTATAAAGTTCTGCCCAATGCTAATGTTTAGTATACGAAACATTTAATATCATGGATTTAGCTGTTCAGTTATCAAAATTCATTGAAAATCAATATACTTGTTCGTCTTAAGACTTTAAACTCTGTGTGTATCAATCGGATGATAACTTTAGCCTCTAGAGTGTCACAAGATTTTTCAAAGTGATTATGGCTGTAATTATCGGAAATCAGTGAAAATCAATAGGATTCTTCGTCTAATGACCTCAAACATTGCGTATAAATTTAAAGTCATTCGGATATTAGCTTTAGCCTCTAGAGCGTCCACAAGATTTTTTGAAGTGATCCAGGGCCATAACTCTGGCAGTAATTATCCTTCTTCTCATGACCTTAAACACTGTGTCCACAAACAATTGCCCGACAGACGGGGGCGACAACAATATACAACCACATATCAATACAAAATATTACTCAATTAATTAAACAGGGAGATATTACTTGAATAGGTTCATCTGATGTATCACAAAACTCATCCGTATCACTTCCACTCTCTACATCATCTTTCATTCCTCCATTTATTTTTATTTCTTCTTTCTCTCTATTCTCATCTTCTAATCAAAATTTATGGAGAAGAAATCAAATATTATATCACTGTTAAGTACCTCACAACAAGAGAGACTAATTGTCTATCTTTAATGGGTAAACTAAACTTGAACTTAAATAGTATTGGCAATCTTTAATGTTTATCCACCCTTTCAATATAAGAATGTTTCAACAGAATCAAATCCTCCAATAACCTACTGCTATGGACCCATTTCATGGTTATAGAATGGGAAGGTATAAACATGATGATGTCAATGTTAAAGAGACCAATCCATGGTTGAATTTTTGCAGAAGGAATTGGGTCCCAGGGGCTACTTATATTGTTGTTTTGGTTCTTGAGGCAACACTCTTCGAAAAAAGCCTATGACTCCGCCAATTCAAGTACAATTGATATTAAACTCAGCATGCTAGTTTCTAGGACAATTGGAGGGTCTAGAGCACAAGTGATCTAACAACCAACTAAAATGGTTGGTAGTTAGATCACTTGTGCTCTAGACCCTCCAATTGCAAATTGATTGACTGATTTCAATGTTAGATGACTGCACAATTCCAGGATGGCAATAACATCAAGTTTGCCCTTATTTATTTATTCCCCCTAGATTATAATTTAACTACCTACTTTTAGGTTTTTCAACATAAAACTGTTGATGGACCATGTTATTTTCTCTAACTGTGATGTGTGGCTGCTTTGCGTTCATGAGTTCTGCATTACGTAAAATATCTTCAACTGCAGCTGAATGGTTAAAACTATTATCAATACCTACAAATATAAAAAGTAACTTTTTTACAAGTCTCATGATTAAAAATCGATATCAAAACCAAAGCAATTTAATTGTAGCCTATGTTATACTGACGTATGGTGCTTGTACAACTAAAGACAGACCATCATACACTAGTTTCCTGCTAGTCTCAACGGTTTTATATTATTATACTAATATTATAACACCCATCATGCGCAATTAATATCTGACATATTTTGATCAAATGAATTGTCTTACAAATTAAACTGTCACATAGTTTAAAATGGTCTGTCTAAATTAGATAATGAGTGTCTGGTTTACAACTGTTTACTTTCCTGTAATGATCTTAGTTTTGGATCGACTTTAGTGTATTTTCAGACTGATTTATGTTGTCATGTGTGTTGTGGACTGGTATTGTTTTCTGCCTTTATTATTACAAGACTCATTTAAAGTGCATATAGCTCTATTTTTTGGAACATTAAAATAGACAAAAATCGGTTTCAAAAGTTTATGTGCTTTGAAACCGATTTTTGTCTATTTTAATGTTCCAAAAATAGAGCTAATGATATTATATAAAGTGATTTATATTCAATTTTTAAACCATTTAAATTCAATTTTTAAACCATTTATTGTCCAAATTGGTCGACAGTCGTTTACGCTTGCTTAGTCCATTCTACACGTTTATTTTTAATCATTATTTTTTCATTTGTGAATCAGCCATTACTATGTTTTTCTTTCTTCATCAGAAACTGATAATAAATTGTTTACTGTGTGTTAAATATTGGATATCAGCATAACATACTTTCACAGCAATTTAACCTCACTATTGATTGAAATGAACCAATATTGAATTCTAATGAACATGTTTTTAATTTTGAATATTATGAAAAATATTGAGTAAGAGGTTTAGCTCCTTTAAAATATCATCTACATCCACCAAAATGATTTTTCAATATATAAATGACTTCGTACAAACCATTATTAAAAGAAATGTTACTCTCAATTTCTATTTCTTCATCATCACTATCATCATGATCACCATTACCACCATTCTGTAATTTAAGTGGTTTTGATTTCTTTTCCCCTGGAACATTCTCTTCAATCATTTCGTAAAAGCTTCCGATTGTATCCATAAATTCTTCTACTTGTTTTGTTTGGGGCATTGTTTCTATTATCTACAATATAATTTAAAGATAGATGTAGGTTGACAGGCAAGGAAGAAATAGGAAACATATAACCACAACAGCTTGGTTGTCTGAGCAGTCCAAAAATTTTTCAAATTAATCAAGAGCTATAACTGAGATAGGAATTATAGGAAATCAGTGAAAATCAATAGGCTCCTAGATGTCTCTTGAATTAAAACACTGTATAAATTTCAAGTCAGTCAGATGATAACTTTAGCGTTGTGAAATCAGTGAAAATCAACAGGGTTCTTCATCTTATGAACTCCAATACAGATTTATTTAAAGGCAATCAGGTGATAACTTTAGTGTCTAAAGCATCCATAAGCCAAAATTTGTGAACAACAGTCTGACAGAAGGATGGATCGTCGTACTGGGGTGACAATTATATACGATCACATTAGATTGTGTGCATATAAAGATGCAAAAAACTATTGGTATTAGTTCTCAAATATTTGGAAATTCCAGTAACAGCTGTAATCCATATTTTAATTGTTGCTTAGAAAATGTTTAATACCAAATAGTAATAACCCTACATTGACATTTTATTCAAAGAAAATGTCTAATTTTGCAAGTTCTAAATTCTGTTATGAAAAAGCCTAAATTACATGAAATCTGCTGAGAAATATAAAGAGCAAACTAACTGTTTTTAATTCATCAACATATTTCAACATAGCTTCTTCTCTTGGCATCTCACCCAGTTTATTCCATGCATCCCTAAAATATACATAATCAATATGACTACCATAATTAAGCACATGGAACACTTGAATATAATTTTGATATTGAAGAATTTATTATGAATTATGTTTGTATGCATTATGAATTATGTTTGAATTACCATTGCAAATTTTAAGAATTAAAAAGAAAATACCTACCATTTTGCTTTATTAACAACATCCCAGAATGATGGCTTACTCTGTTTACATGGTCCCTCGGTCGACTGTTTGTAAAAACCATAAAATTTTAACATCAATTCATGAGATGGTTGGAATGTACCTGAAATTCAGATAACCTTGTAGTGTAAAAAAAAAAGAGAAGGACTGGTTATCTTTTTTTATGGCGGACAAATTCAGGTATACTACATAAACATTTTTTTTGCAGATAATCAAAATCAAAAACCAAATAATGGAAATATTTGTAAACCAGAAGCCAGGGAGAAGTACATGTATAACGGTATATAACAAGCAGAACATCAATACATTTCCAAATAAATTTTAGAGAATAAAAACATTGGAATTTTCTACAATATCAACATCAGCTCATTTCTGTTGTCGATGGAAATAGAACATTTGGTTTATAAGGAGACATTTGGTCATATATAACTCAATATATATATATGTTGTTTAACCAGAGGACCTGGAAGAAAATGGAGAAAACCCACGAGGTTGGACAGGCGACCCTACTCCTTGTCAAGTACAACCAGGGAATCGAAACCACGCCAGCTGACTCAATGACAAACCTTATCTATCATGATATAACGTGCACACGCTAACGATTCAGCCAACCAGCCCCCTCCACCCCCCGTAACTAAATAAACATAAATGTTGCAGTTAATTCATAACCAAAAGTAAATGACAAGTGGACAGCACATACAGCCGTTTTTACGTGACAGATTCTCTGGCTGATTGACAACAGTCCTGGATTATCAAACCTATTTCATGCAAAACATTACAGAAAGCTAGATCAAGAAATCTAATTCAGTAACTCAGCTGTTACGTTAGGCAACTGAACAAATGTTTTGAGAACTTTGTAAAAGCAAAAGTATTTTATTCTTGACTACACCGTGAGATTCGGTGACATGAATTGTAAAAACATAAAAGTTGCTGAATTCTCTCATGAAGGGCTGGGTCTGGGATGGGATTTAGTGGAGGATACAAAACCAAAATATCACTGGGGTGACTAAATTCCAAATGCCTGGGATTCATTACAATATGGAGTTTAGATTTCGACTAATCACAAATATCAGTGATTAGATCTAAGTTAATCTAATTATCTTGACCCATAAACAATCTTGGACATTGTCCAAAGCCAAAGGCTGAGCAAAGGTCGTTCAATAAAACGTTACAAAAACAAAACGGCTACGTATGTGTATTCATCACACCATTCGGTACCGAATAAAAAGATTGTAAAAACTATGCACATTTTCTCCATGTGACTTATTGTAATTAGATGTGCGAATTTTTACCATTTTTTGGTAAGCCTCGGATGACTTTTACAGCAGCATCGAATTTTTCTTTAGCTGTATCCGCCATGTTGTTTAGAATTCTAATGTTTGGAATATCCAGTCATATTTACCGATGTCTACTTAAGTACTTCCAAAACAAAAATATAAGGTAAAATATATCAGAGTTATCCCCCTTATACCATCAATTTTGCCTCCTGACCTGACCTGCCAGGTTTTGGTTGTTTAGAAAATCGCGTACAAAATTTATTTCTACCATGCTAGATGAGTGGACCCTGAACCCTGATTCTTAAAGGGGTAGTCGAACGATTTTCAACAAGATTTCCATAGATCTTAAATATGTAACACAAGCAAAAAGAGAGAGAGGGAGAGAGAGAGTATGGGGTTTAACGTCCACTCGACACAAACTTGGTCATTTCGGGACTAACATATGGTTCAATTTTGTTTCAATAATTTGTTTGCGCATAGGGGTCTTTAGCAGTGGGAGGAAACCGGAGGACCCAGAGAAAACCCATGAGTTTGGATAGGCGACCCTATGCATGTTGCGTACAACCGGGATATCGAAACCACGCCAGTTAATTGACTCAATGACAGACCTTATGATACAGTGCGCACGCGCTAACGTAATTTTGAAACAGGTTTCGAAGTGTTTTGGTTCTGCTATGCAAGATCTTTTTCGACGTTCCAAAGTAAAAGTTCGTTGCTAAGACCACCTAAAGATAAATTTTAAATGTTCCTATTTATTAATTACAACAGGCTTCGCTTTAGTTTTTATATTTTACACTGACATTTATTGCTTTAAATCTTCCTAGTGCAAAAACGGAAAATTTGACCTTTTGACCTCAGGAACAAATTAAAGTTTAATTTATCAAGTTTACATTTTTATTGAAATGGTGATTACTTTTGATCATTTTCAGCATGTGGTCATGATACAAGAATGGCTGCCCATTCACTTTCGGTGCAAATAGCCTCATTTGACCTTTGACCGCGAATATCTCGACAACGCCCCAACGGCGGAATTACCACTCGGCATCGTATTCTACTCAAATTTTACTATAGAAACGTTGGGCCTGGTTTTGTGCCTCCTGACTATTCTGGGGCCTGTTTCCAGAGCCGGATTAAGGCTCTGCTGGCCCCAAGGCACATTTTGATAGGTGGCCTGAAAATACAGATATATGTACGTGCTCATTGACAAAAGAAATTAAGTTACATTTAGCAACAGAAAATTTATTACAAACAAATTCAAAACATTGACAGTACTGTATTTACTATAAGTAGCCTACATATTCCCATTCACTGCCTAGCCACATTACGACTTTGCGTGCTTTTGTGACTGCAAATTCATCAGTTAGTTTTTTAAAGTCAATTTTATGAAGTTAATCACTTTCAATGCAGAAAAGTGACAGTATACGAGATTCTTTCCCACAACAAATCTAAACAAACCTCACGTGTGTTAAAGGGACGAAACATCATGTCAACCCTTTGCCAGAGTATGGAAAGCTTTTAAGGACAAACCCGTAGATGAAAAAGGATGCAATTTATTTACATAAAAATAAAGGCAAGCATTTTTGTCACCACCTGATAATTATCCAAAAAGTTTTTTTTTGTGGCCCGGATTTTTGGCTGGCCCTAAGGCACGTGCCTTATTTGCCTTATGGTTAATCCAGCACTGCCTGTTTCACGAAATTTTAACTAAGATAAAATCCACATTTTAGTAATTTGATTGGATAATATAACATTGATTTTAGTGCTTAGCCAATCAAAATTGAAGTATCTACTAAAATTTGGATTTTATCTTTAGTTAAGATTTCGAGAAACAGGGCCCTGATATAGATAGCATATTCTTCCATTTCTAGTGTTATGGCGGTTTACAGCTAACTTTTATTTTTATTTTGGTCCAATTGACTCGATACTGTGGGTTATCGACCAGATGTTCGGCACCAGCAGATTGGTTGATGGGGGCTTTGGATACATGCTCCTTAATTCGAAGGTCTAGGTTCGTTTGAATTCACTAATGTAATATTCTCTACAACTGCAGGTAAAATTGGTAGAGACAGCCTTTCGGGAGGGCGGGCTCTGTCAGCTTTTTTTATTTCAAATTTATGGAAAGGGATCGGACATAGCCTATATCATCAGCATTTACTAATTTCTTAGTTGTAGCGCCTTTGATTAATGTGGTTTCTATGTCTTCTTCTTTTTTTTAAATAACCTTCTAATCTGGTTGTAGATGTTGCCGCAGAATGGTATAAAGACTCGTATTGGGGGTGTATCAATTTTTGGTTTATCAAGTTCTTACTGTTACATTAAGAAATATGAGGGTGCTGTGGTTTCATTCTCCATTGTGAACTTGATTCTTGAATGTTGGTTGTTCAAGTGATTCAGGGGGGACGAAGGTATCATCTTCTTTTTTAACATGACGAAGGTGTTATCCAGCTTTCTGAACCAGAAAATATGTTGTAAAGGAGCGGTTAAAGTGATTTCTTCTGGTGAAATCATGTAATTTTCAGAAATAATCATCGGGGATAAAAGACTTCTCATTGGTAAACCATGGATCTGTCCATAGTTTTTCCCCATGTGAAATATATGGATTCCAGGCATTACTTGATCAAAGGAATAATGTTATCAACTTGTAGTGATGTAACCAGTGGTGTAGAAAGTTGTTCGGTTTCAAGAACTCTGAAATCAAGGCTTCTTCTCTTGGCATATTAGCGAGTAGGTCAACAACACCGTACGAAAGCAATTCAATGAAGTCCTTACTGAAAATATCACTATGTCTGTAAGAACTTGGAATATCATGAAGTATGACAATTCCTACAGATTGTATTTAGGTGAAACAGAATGAACATCAGTTGCTTTTAGGGTCATCAACTAAAGCAGCTCCATTCTCCGAGAGCCGTGCTATACAAAACATGTACTAACCAGTGGACTAATAGTGAAACGTTTAACGAAAAAAAAAATAATGTTGTAAGCGGAAGTTGAATTAACTCATCTCTGATGGGGTAAAGGGGGCGTTCTTAAGCGATGAAGAATTTTGTTTATGTCATTTGAGATAAGGTTACAAAGGCAGGAAGGATGATATTTATAGGCCGAAGTTGACTTAAATCGTTAGATTTAGCCATTTCACCATTGCCACCCGCCCGATCCGAGATAGAAGGGGATTTTGCGTTCGTAAGTTAGTGTTATGTTCTAGGCAAACAATAGTGAAGCTTTTAACGAAAATATTAATGTTGTACACGGAATTCGAATTAACTCATCTCTAAGCGGGGAATGGGCGGGTAAATCGGATGTTCTTTAGGGAGAAAGGAAGGGTCGGGTTCTTCTTCTGAGGTTGTTTGATGTAAGTAAGCACGAAAGGGTAGGGGGGGCTTCTTAAGCAGTATTTTTGATGACATCTTGGTCGATGTATGCAAGAAAGTTGATCGTTGTACGCAAAAGTCGAATTAAACTCGAATCGTGAATCGATCAGCGCGTTTAGAATGTTGATATTTGAACAAGATTTTTTTAAAGTGACGGCATAAAATTGAAGTTTTTTGGGTTTTTTAGAAAAGTGTAAGACTTTGAAATCAGGTAAAATGTCAATGACAAACCTAGTTGAGTCATTTGGTGCATATTCTGAAAGTTTTATCAAAATCAGTTTATAAACAAAGGTTCTGTGCAACTTTTAAAAAAGATTAAACTGATAGATCATGGCATTGCACCTTTTATATTGGTCATGTTTAGTTTAAATGTTTACCAAAATATGTGTTTCTGGCCTTTACAGTGAAAATAAGTCATTTGAGTATGTAATTGTTTGCCATCGAGTTTATATAGCACGTCTTTTGTCTACATGACATTGTCATTGAATACCATTAAAACTAAAGCTCTCATGTGGCGCTATTATAAAGTGAAACTATTGTATTGATCATAGTTTGAAGATTTGCAGGTGTTGTTAAGAACCTGTGAGCCTTTTTGAAAATCTAATCTTACTTTAATTTTTTCAAAAGAGCCGTGGTGGCTCAATGAGTAGGGCGCTATCTCGCTAACCAGGAGGTTCGCTACCGGTGGTTTCCTCTTGTCCCTTGTGCAGATTGGAGGTACAATGTTCAGTCGTTCAGATGGGACAGAAATTGCGGTCTCGTGTACACCCTGACAGTTTGAATTCGAAATACAAACAAGTAGACAGTAGTGCCACTGTCCGGGGAAAAAAGTTCTGGTTTAGTAAACTGCATTATAGGGCGTCCAGAGGTTCCGCGTACACAATGGCATTGGCGTGAAAGAATCATTGACGGAATTCGAAATAAAAGCGGGCTAGAGCGTCGCGTTAAAATATACCGTAGAGTACTCTGCATAAATGTCCGTCTGCAAGGATTTAGTTGATCTAGGTGGCTCAATTAGCATGCAATTCGCTCGCTAACCGGGAGAAAAGGGTTCGCTCCCGGAGTTGGCATTTATTTAGTTTTTTTTTTTAATTTTTCAATTTGATAAAGTCATGGTCAATAAAACACATTACTTTACTGTATATTTCTAATTAATATATAATTTTGTGATAATCTAGTATAAAAACTCACAAATCTAGTCTAGTTTATTGTTATTTTGTTGTTTGTGAATCAGCCATTAATAATTGCCTCTGCATTGTCTTGTAGGGTATGTTTGTTTTGTTTTTTTTGTTCACTAAATATGGCACCCGAAACCATAAAATACCTGTACATGACTCTTGCACTGGTTTATCCAGCGGTTGCCAGGCAAGATACGCCCACATTTTGCAAGAGATTGATAGAGAACAAGCTAAAAAAGATAGGTTGCCAGGCAACAAAACATACGCCCACAGCAGCTAAATCGTCCGAGCGGTCGTCAAGGGTTGTCGCATATTTATTCCTTTGTAGGTAATTGGGGGCCTTTACAAGGCAGTTCCATCCAGATCAGATTATAAATTTTGTCGTTTGAGGGGTTACAAGGTTCTACAAACTGAAACAAGGGTCTCAACTCTGGAAGTAATCTACACAAATTGTTGAAATTTGATAGGCTTTTTCGTTTTACAAATTTAAATAATGCATATAAATTTCATACAGGTCACATGATCACTTTTGTCATTCAAATGTTCACAATCGCCATTGCTGAAATTCAATAGACCTGTTTCACAAATTTAAATGATGCATATAAATTTCATACATATCGGATGATAACTATCATCAATCGAGTATTAACAAGGTTTAACAAAGTGAAACAAGGGCAATAACTCTAGAAGTAATTATTGTAAATTGCTGACATTCAATAGGCTTTTTCGTTTCACTAATTTAAATCATGCATATAATTTTCACAAAGATCAGGTGATAACATTTTGCGTTAGAGCGTTCACAAGGTTCAATAAAGTGAAACACGGGCCATAACTCTAGACGTAATAAACGGAAATTGCTGAAATTCAATAGGCTTCTTCGTTTCACTAACTTAAATATTGCATATAAATTTCACAAAGATCGTATGTTAACTTTTGGCATTGGAGCGTTCACAAGGTTCAACAAAGTGAAACAAGGGCCATAACTCTAGATGTAATAAACAGAAATTAAATAGGCTTCTTCATCTCACTAATGTAAACAACATATATCAATTTTAAAACAATTGGATGATAACTTTTGGACGGACCGACAGACGGACAGACATGCCGACGGACGGGGGCGACGGCAATATACTTCCACATTTCAATGTGGGCGTATAACAAAAGTGATTTTTCGTACCGTCGGGGCTATAATCCAGAAAGTTATGGCATGAAGTGCGCAATTAATATCGAAAGTGACTGAGATCTTTAGGACATAAACATATATTTTAAGTTTCAGTTTCATTAAAATCGGATAAAAATTGTGACCTCTAGAGGGTCCACAACCTTTGTATTACATACTTTTACATAATTTGCAAATAAAGAGCGGCCATTTTGTCAGGCAGTTTAGTTTCGATTTTCCCGAAATTCGAATTCAACTTTCATTATGGTGGAATCCACAAGCTAAAACAACACAATTTTTTGTACAATCTGGGGCCATAATCCAGGAAGTTACAGTCTGATATGCGCAAATAGCAAAGGAAACAAACTCTTTGGGACATAAACATACATATTAAGTTTCAGAGAGAGAGAGAAATGGGGTTTAACGTCCACTTGACAAAAACTAGGGCATTTTGGGACTAACATATGGTTCAATTTTATTTCAATAATTTAGTTAAGTAGGGGTTTTTAGCAGTGGGGGGAAACCAGAGGACCCAAGAGGATGGACAGCCGACTCTACTCCTTGTCAACCGGGGAATCTTTTAAGTTTCATCAAAATCTGATAACAACTGTGACTTCTAGAGGGTCCACAACCTTGGTATGACATACTTTTACACTATTTGCGTACAAGGAGCCACCATTTTGTCAGGCAGTTTTAGTCCGATTTTCGGGAAATTGGAACTCAACTGTCATTAGGGTGTAACGGTGATAAATTTAAACATTTTTTAAAATTGCATAAAAATGAGACTTCTAGAGTGTCCACAACATTAGTATAACATACTTTTTTACACTATTTGCTTATAAGGAGTGGCCATTTTGTCTGGCAGTTTCGGTCAGATTTTTATGAAATTCAAACTCAACCTTCATTGATGTGTAACAATGATATATTTAAATGGTTTTTAATTTTTAAAATTGAATACAAATTGTGACTTCTAGCAGGTCCACAGGCTAAAAACATGATTTTTCGTTAAATCAGGGGCCATAATTCAGGAAGTTATCATCCGATATGCACGGATATCGAAAGCAACCAAGATCTTTGGCTTATAAACATACATTTCAAGTTTCATCAAAATCAGATAATAATTGTGTCCTCTAGAGTGTCCACAAGCTAAAAACGTGATTTTTCGTATATATCAGGGGCCATAATTCATGAAGTTATGGTCCGATACAAGCCAATATCAAAAGGAACCAAGATCTTTGGGAGATAGACCTATATTTCAAGTTTCGTCTAAATCAGATAAAAATTGTGACCTGTAGAGTGTCCACAAGGAAATTATGAATGGACATCCGGACAGACAGGGGCAACGGCATAATACATCCACATGATGTTGCTAAATGATAAGGAAAAAAGAAAATAAAAAATTGGGACACCATAAAGATGTTCCTGTGCTCATGTACCCATACTCAAACCTGCAAAAGTTTGTCGGTGGTGCTGGAGGGAGGGCCTGTCAATGAACAGGCTGATAACAAAAGGACCATAACAGGCCCCTATTTTTATTTGGGCCAGCAGGTCCAGTAAAGTAGGATGCTAAACCTCATTTCATTTTGTTACCTAGACCCTGAAAGGATGCTTCTATTGAGAGCTTTTGACAGCAGTGGGGGCCATGTTGACAACAATATGTCGATAAATTTCAGTATGGGCGAATAAAAAGTAGTACCATAAAAGAATAAGATAAAGACAAATTTGAAATAATATGGTTTATTTAACAGAGGTTATGAATATTCATTACATCCTAATAAAGGTAAAAGCCTGAGGCTAACCATTCATGGATAACATCACATGACCACATGTATATTGACACATATGGTCATTATGTCCAAATTAAGGCCATCTACTGTCTATATATATAGAGAACATGAATAAACATTTATAAAAGGACTAGTCTTACATAATGAAGATACAGGAATTGTACACAATTAATAATAATATACTGTATAAAATTATAATATAATACAAATTTGGGACTAGCTGACCACATTTTATGATAAATCTGAATAAGCTATTACTACATTATATAATTCATAATATATCATTGGGTAGTTTCTTAAAATATTATTTCCTAAAGAGTATATTTAATTTAAATGCTGTTTAAAAGTCACACCTTTAGTTCAAGGTAATTTAAGTTAATTAATTTAACAGTATTCTACTCTCAAAATTCTAATAATTTAATACTATTTTGTAAATTGGTCCCAAAAAAATATTAAATTGTGAATAAATTTTACTTCTTCAAATATATTAAATTTTTATTTTTTTGACCACAATAAAATATGCATAATTTTAATACCTATAATAGACAGATGCTAACTCTCCCATGAACTTTTATAATATTTATTAACTATTGGTAACTGTTTCTGTCGCTTTTTGGATTTCATTAACATGTTGAAAAAGGAAATCAATTTAGATTAATTTTGAAACCTTTTTTCATTCTCAAACCAATGTCTTATTTCATTGAAAAATTAATTACACAAAGAATAAAATGTCATTAAATTAACAGGGAGAAACAAAAACTAGGAAAAAGATTGGATTAAAACATTTTAAATCAAAACTTTGAAAATAAGTCTTAAATTTTAAAATTAAATGTTGAACACACAGAAGGGGATCAAAACATCCAAATAACGAAACAATAATTTCTGTTACAAAATTTACAATAAATCAACAGATTTTTTCAAAGGATTTTTGGAATGTCCCCAAATCTTAACAAGAGGAATTTGTAGAAAGTTTAACAAGTGAGTAACTTTTAAAATGAATGGAATTGATTAAGCGTTAACATTTCTGGAAAAAAATGAGATGACATTTATGACAAAAAGAAAATAACATTCAAAATATACATATTCTAGATTATTTAGTTTTCATGACAACAAAAATTAGAAGATAAGGATTCTGGAGAAATTTTGAAATTCTTGATCTGGTTTTGATATTTAAAGCTCCCTAAAATATAATTATTATTATTTCAATTCTATCAATCAATAAATTCAAAATGTTTTATTTCATTGAAATAATTCAATTTACAAAATATATATTCTCCAAAGACCCATGTTCTAATTCTGTGCCATGAAAAAATAAATATAAATCTAGGAATTTTCAAATGACTAGAAAACTCATCGACGACCAATCAAATGATTCGTCTAATTTCTCGAGTAACGAGTGACAATACTGTAGCTGTAAATAATGATATCAGATTTAGCACTTCTTTGATCCTTTTAACAAATGTTTGGATGTACAAACACCTACAGCTAAAGTTGGATCTTAATGCTACGGCTTTTCTTCGCATGTAGAATCCCGATATCAATATTCCACCACCATTGTTTAACAAGTGATAAAATCGAGATTATATTTAACAACAAGAAAAAAGCTGAGTATTTACACGATTTCTGCAACATAATTTAAATACAGAATCTAATATTATTTAATCCGGTAAAATGCCTTTTTAAAATAAGTATTTGAAGATTCAACATCCCGTTATGATAAATAATCCCATCTAAATTACCTTCTTACTTCAATGGTTAGTCAAATAATTTGGGAGGGTCTATCTTCAAAGGGGTTATGACCAATAATCCCATCCAAATTACCTTCTTACTTCAATGGTTAGTCAAATAATTTGGGAGGGTCTATCTTCAAAGGGGTGTCTTTAATTTAGTGATAACATAATTCAATAAGGTCTTACCAGAAATAAAAAAATATTAAAACTGAACTTTTACACCAATAAAATGGACTGATTTCATTCTTTTAAAAATTTAATATTTAAAACGATTTTACCCTCATCCAATAATATTTACACATGAACATCAAATCTGAAAAATCCTGACTCACAACATGTCAAATTTATTGCTTTGGAAAAATTTTCAAAAAAAATCAGTCTATCTTTAATTGGTTCTGCACAAAAATACAATTAACTGTTAAAAGACATCATACAATAAAGACAATGAATAAAACATACAATATTACTATTAATACACATTTATTTATTTATTTATATATATATATACTATTGAGTATTTAATATATCTATATACACATTATGCCACATTCACGGTCACGAATATTGAGTATTTAAGGTACTGATGTATGAGATAAAAATTTACAACATGAGTAACAGATTATGATTGAACACAAAGCACTTGTAACTTGTATATTGATAATTTCAATAAAAGTAAGCCTACACAGTCAGTTAAAATAATGAAACAAAACAGAGTTGGTCAATGTTGGAAATAAAGTTTTCAATATTTAAGCTATGTTGTTCTTGGCACAAAAGGAGATTTTTTTATACAGAAATACTATAAATACAAAAATTATGACATTTCTTAAGGGCTATTTAAAAAAAATGTGTTGTCTGAAAACTATTTAAATATTGTAATTACTAAAAAACAATTTGTCAAATTTGTTGATGCCAGAAATAGCAATTTGATTGTTTTTAAATATTGCTTAGAACTTAGAGTAGCATTCTTCTATTTATGTTGAGCAAAACTAGGCAGTTTGTGGATAAATAATTTTTTTAGACCTATATTTCACCCTGTACTAGCTGGCAGCAAACAGTTTTTGTTATAACAAACATTTTGATTGGTGCAACCATCCTTCATCCATACACCCACGCACACATACACACAAGCTACAACATCAAAAATAGTATTTACAGTTTAATAATATCAATTTGGCATCCTGGAAAATTAATTATCTAAGGAAGACTAAATATTAATCGAAGAGTATATTATTTCCATATTATTTGGCAGTTGCGGAAAGTAAATATATTTCTATTAATTATGGGAAGATAAAAGTTTAATACTGTTATATAAAAATTTACTAACGGAATACTTAAATAATAATAAATAATAATACTGAATAGAATAATAAAGAGTAATACTGAATAGGTTTTTAATACTGTATAAGTTTTTAATAGTAATAATACTGAATTGTATTATGAATTCATTTAATATTTTAATGATGAATTGGAAAAGAATAGATTTTTAATACTGAATACTAAAATGATTCACCGTTAGTACTGAATTGCAATACTCCGAATAAAGTATGTATTTTAAAATAAAAAAATTATGGCCATATTGAATTTGATATTGAATATACATCTGCTAATACTGAAATGCATTTTAAAATTTAATACCAGTACTGAATTAATAAATGAATACCAAATTGCATAAAAATTCAATACACCAGAATCTTTATTACATTTAGTGTGATCTATTTTTATTACCGGTAAGTAGAATGGCAACAATTAATTGTCAAGACACATTTAAAAACATTTTAACATGAAAACTTTGTACATTGTTTGGCATCATTGGGAATAATACTGTTTATTTTGAAACATTTTCTAAAAGAACAATTATAAAAACAAACATTCAACAATAAGAAATTGGCACATAGGGAAATTAATACTGTTTAATAAAGTATAGTGATTTTGATTTTAAGTGCAAGTTTCAATGTGAAATTTAAGAAATTACAATTCTTACAATCTGAAATTTACAATTATTATTGAGAGAAATTAAAATTTAAAGAAAAATCAGTAGATCAAATCAAATCATTTTTTTAATTATTTAGAAAAGTATGAAAAATTTAGGGTCGGATGATCTTTCAAAAAGTTATTTTTTTTTCAGAATTTTTTTTTTTTTTTTTACATATATTTTTTGTGCAGCCTAATTAGATTTTATATACAAGTCAACGAACACTAAAAGTCTAACTAAAATCTACCAGTTTACTTGCTAATTACAATACGCAGTGGAAGACGTGGATGTTGAAACCATGGCAACACATGGCAAATACATAATATCATATAAATTATTTTTTTTTTGGTAATTTTTGCAATATTTTCTAATTTGTGTGGAACTTTATTATATACAAAAATTAAAATACATATAACACAACATAAAATTATTATGATACATATTTTTGATTTTAGGCTCAAGAAAATAATACTGATTATTTAAAAACACTCACATCACACTTCATACACAATATATTCAAAACTCACATCAGACTTCATACACAATATATTCAAAACTCAATCCATTCAAATTCACAATCAAACAAATCCATTTATACAATTTAGCAATTATAAATTGCTTTAATCTTTGGAAGACGATTGGAGTTTCCTGCACCCGACAAGGGGAGGTCATTCCATTAATACTGTCCGGTAAAGATGACTAAATATTTGGCACAAAAAGGACATTCGCTCAAACCATACTAACACACACGACCAGATTGGCACTAATACTAGAATATTTGGCAATTATGCGATTTTGATTTAAGATAATAAAAAGAATATGACTAGAAAATAAGCACTTTATTATATTGTGCAATTATGCACATTTATCGGTGAGTGTGAATTGTTTTGATTATATTTTCAATTTAAAGATAATAAATGATTTGGCAATTATGCAATTTTATATGAAAAAGTGGAAGACTATTCATTAAATGACTAGATTTATGCTTTCTTGTGAAGAAATTTGGCATTAATGCTTTCATCAATATAATATTATTATGAAGTAAATGTATAATAAATAAATAAAATCGATATAGAAATGTTAAGTTTTGCAATCGTGGGTTGAGAATAATACAAGATTTTGATTTTAACCATTTTGATTCAGCACACAGGATGCACTTTGAATTCTGGAAGCACTTTGCATTCATAAACATGACTTACATGTATGTGCAGAAATAACTACTGGTTAAATAATAAAAGATTAAATATCAAAAAGATTTTCCAACTTTTGACCAACTCTGCAGAATATGAGACAATAAAATAAATGGAGAACAACAGATTTTTGAAACAAAGGAATATTTAAATGGATCATTAAAAAACAGGTATTAACAAATAAAAATCTCAAAAAAATATGTTTTGTTATGGAAGCCATTTTAAAAGCAAAAACAATGTAACAATATCATAATCATCAAATTTATGCAAAATTATGCATATATATATATATATGCATAATCAAATCTAATACTGTTTTCTATGGAAGATTCAGGACATATTTGACACTGTGTATATTTAAGTAAAATGCAAACTTGTTTAAATATATTATGCTAATTAAATCTAATACTGTTACCTTTGGAAGAAATGAGACATACATAAAGGTGTAAATATTATACATAAAAGGTCTATGTACTAATTATGTAATGCTATCAATTACCTAATATCCGCCAAAAATATCTGCGGAAACGAACAAACATTTACAATACATAAATTAACATCCTGGATTAACCATTATAAAATATTTCGGAACAAATATCGTGGTCCCAAGTTCCTTGTTAAAAAGCTTTGTCATGCAAATATTTACAAAAAAATAACATAGTATAGTAACATTTTTAATAATGAGCACTTTAAATGAAAATTCTTAATTAATAATAATAATAATATCAATGGTTTTAACAATGAAATGTTTTGATTGCATATAAAAAAAATCTTTAGATTTTAGTCTAAGACTTATTAACAACATTAATAAATCTTCTTATTAATCTGTGCTGGAATTGGGTTGGTATGAGAAATGAGACAAGTTATCTCCCTCTATTAAAAGTTATTTCCCCTTTGATCACATTTGATAGGAACAGAGGACATGGATGCAGTTACGTGTATTTCTTTCCTTAGGACGAATCTTATTGGTGAATATATATATTACCTCCACATGATGATGAGATGCTGAGTTTGTTCTTTTTAATCTAGATCTCCGTCTGTTGGTTTACAGTACTTGTAACGATGATTCATGTGTTGACTGTACGAACCTGAATGGCTAAACCTTTTGTTACATTTTTTACATTTAAAAGGTTTTTCACCACTGTGAAGACGTTTATGTTCTGTTAGGTGATGTTTGTGTTTGAAGGATTTTGGACAGACATCACATGTAAAGGGACGTGCACCTGAAAATAAAATGATTGTTTATAAATCAAGAAATCATCCAATAATTTTAAATATCTGCTTAAAAAGGAGTTATAAGTGGTGGGATAGTTCTAATGATCAAGACATTTTTTTTTGTGTCACTGATGGATGAGCTTGAAGAGAAAACAGGGGTCAAGATAACAATATATAACCTCACCTGAATGTTCATACTTATGTCGAGCGAGAGAACTCTGTTTGCTGAATAATTTATCACACTGGTCACATGCATACATTCCAACCTCAAGATCTACACGATGATTTTTCCATGACTTGCGTTTCTTTCTCGCAGGTTCATCATCTTCCTGACTCAAAGAATCATCCATTTCTACAGCAATTTCTTCTGCCTCAACCTATAAATATAAAGTACATAATTATAGGCATATTAAATAAAGGGGCTGAAAGGTTCTTTATAATAGGGCTTTTTTCTCATCTTTGGATATGGATCCAATTACACTTTTTTTGTCTTTTTACCACAGCTACTTGGATTTGTTTTTTTTTGTTTTTTTTTGTTTTTTTTGGGGGGGGGGGAGATAATTAGTAGGGCTTATACTAATAATAAGGCCATGGTTTAAAGAAATACTAACCTGTCTCCATGACTTTTTACGTTGCCGTTTATTTTTGTTGCTTTCAAGGTCATCATCATATTCACTTTCCAAGGCTGCCAAGGAAACAGTTGCTAAAGTATCCAGATTCTGATTAACTTCGAGTGGATCAAACTGCATTTGACTGGTTACTTCTGTTTTAACATCTGCCTTTTCTGGACTGGTTTCATCAATAACTAATCGCCCAGCTTCTTCTACCTGGCTCTCTGAGTTATCTGATACCTCTGTTTTGATTGGTCGAGGAGGGCTGCTGGTGCAGGATGCAGGTGATTGAGATGGTTTGTTTGAATTGAGCATGGTAGGACTGGAATGCGATAACCAAGGTTTAGAACCCTCTCCTGGTGCTGATGTGCGAAATAATCCTTCCTGTTGCATGTACTTAAATATGGCAGAACCCTGTATACTACATTCTGATTTGATTGGCCGTTCGTCCTTGATAATGGATGGCTTACAGCTGAGATTAAGAACTTGATCATCGTACGATTTATTGGACAGAGCTGGTGATGAACTTCCACTGTGGGCTGCAGGAGGTTGTTTCTTCACGCTGAGGTCAAGTGGTTCATCTTGACTATTCCCTTTAATTGAACTGGTGATTGGTTTGCTCATGAAATGACTATTAAGTTTTGAGACAGGCGTACTGGTGATGCTTGGAGCAAAGTTTGCAAAAGGTTGTGGAACAACAGGTATGTATCCAAGGGATGATGATGACGATGTTGTCGTGGTCGTGGGGATGTCATCATTGTGTTTAAAACGAGCCATGTTTGGAAAATAGGGAACATCTTTACCCCTTCTTCGATCACGTGCTCTCATATTCTGGAACCAGACTTGGGCAACTCTTTTGGAGAAACCAATTTCTGTTGCTATTTTCATTAGTTCCACTTTCCCTGGTCGTGGATTCAACTGATAATGGGTTTTCAAAACGGCTAATTGTTCATCACTGATCAAAGATCTCATTCTATATTTTTTTCCATCTGGACCATGTGATTCTTCATCATCAGCATCATCTTCTTCACTGCAAGTTTCATTCAGGCTTCCATTTGGAGTTCCTCTGAGACTAGCTTCTGATGTGATGCTGTTGGGAGAATTTCTGGAAGTTTCTGAGCTTGAGATACGTAAAGTTATATCCTTATTTGACTTGCATAGATATCGTTCATGTTGATGTAACTCAACTGGACTTTTAAAACAGTTGTGACAGAATCGACAAGTCAGATCTGTTATACTCAATGGTTTCCCATCCTCTCCAACCATTTCACTCTCAGCCATTTTGGCACATTTGGATGACTCATGAGGTGAATTGGCTTCAGCTCCACGAGAGGCGTCATCAGCATCATCCTTGGACTTAACTTCCAATTCAGCAGATCTAGTCTTTTTCTCGCCACATGAATTCAGCAATTGAGTATTGGAATTGACGTCCGGAGAAATTTGTGACATGCTTGATCCTGATGAGATTTTTCCATGAGGCGTTTTGAGACCATCAAGGGTTGGAGCACTGAGTGCTTTTGCGAGCACAGAGGTAGAATAGGGATTATGGGAATACAGGCCATAAGTCATGATAGTTGTGGTGGTTGGGATATGTGCAGTTGGAATTCTTGTGGTTATTGGTGGGGAATAATAAGCTGGAAGGGCTGATCGTGGATCATATTTAATCATCGGAGAATAACTTGGTGCTTGCGTAATGGGAATAGTGGAGTTTAAAGTTGTCGGGGATCTGTAATACAGACTACTCTCGTTATTTCCATTACGATCGACACGACGGCCCTTCATATTAACTGCCCAGCATTTCTTGGATGTCATGTGACTGCTATAAGATCCGGAATGACTAAAGCGTTTGCTGCAATTCGGACATTCGAAAGGTTTCTCTCCGCTGTGAATTCGGATATGTTCTTTAAGATGATGTTTAAATTTGAAAGCTTTGGAACATTCTGGACACTTGAATTTCCGCAGATCATTGCTTTCATCATGGCTGATCATATGGCGTTGCAGACGGTAGACGTTCGCAAAGGTTTTGTTGCAGGTTTTACAGATCTGGGAAGTTGGGGAATGGAGAGAAAGATGTTTATCGAGAACAGATTTTAAATCAAATGCTTCGTTACATTTTGGACACTGGAATTTGATTTGTTGATCTGAATGTTGTGCTCGGTGATGATCACGGAGTACAGATGGTTTTGTGAAGCATTCGGAACAGTAGATGCATTTTAATTGGTATTCTTCATCTACTACTGACATAAATTCTGAAACAAAAAATAAATGTCCTTCAACGTAACTAATTCAAACATGCTATTCACACAAATATTTTATTGAACAATTCTCCCATAAGGAATATTTTGCACACTATACTTTCCTAACTAGGTTCAGAAATAATCTTCTTAAAGCTTTAGATTTAAAAAAGCTATATTCAGTTTTTACCTGTATCCTTTGTGTTATCTTCCTGGTCACTGACAGGTTCGGGATAAATTATTGCTGTATCACTTCTGGCCAGGAATTCTTTTATTGTTTCATCAGAATCACCCAGACATGTTTTTACTTTAGGCGATAGATTTTCTGAAGAAAAGAGTAATAACAATCAATGCATGAACATTGTTGAGTTTCATCAATACGAATTTTAAATCTTTTATTAATACCGATTGTGAATTCCCAAATTTACTGTCGTCTATAGCAATCTGTATCAATAAAGTGTATAAAAAAGATCATATATATTACCTTTTTGTTGCATTAACTCAGCCTTATTTGTTTCGGTTTCAACTTTACTGTCATGGATGTTCTCGTGTTTATCTTTAATGCTGTCAGTAAGTCCATTTGTTTGTTTGCGGGAGATTGCTGCAGCGATTTTATCGACTGTCGTTGATTCATTTACAGACGTCTCATTTTCTACTGAAAAATATAAATAATCATAATAATTTTGAATTAACAAGAATCTCTGTGTACAATATGTGTACCATGGTAACCAAAATTTATTACCATGGTATATAGAACAGATTATGAAGGTAAAGAATTAAAAAACTTTCCTCCCATCTTTGACAAATTATCTATTTGGTTGACATGACATATTATCTATTTGGTTAACTATAACTAACTGAAATTCCACAACTTCGCACCTGGTTTAAAATACACAGAATAATTTAAATCTTAAAAAATAGCCACCAATTTACCAATTAACGAAATACTTGATATTCAGAAAGGAATTAATTTGCCAGTAAAGAAATGAATATTCAAAAATACTATGAACTCCTTAGCTTAATAACAGCCATTGAATCTCGTTAAAATATCAAAATCTCACTCTAGTATGATAATTATATAGAGAATATATAGAATATTTGTCACATCAATTGCTACCTTTGTGAACTTTTATCAAATTCATCTCTAATGACTCTCATTACTTCCGAGGCCATCTGATGATAATAACTACATACACTCCAATTACAAAAACCTCTTCACTCCAAAACCTGTCATTCTAAAAGGTTTTTGTCAAAGAGGTAAAAGAAAAATCTTTGATTAACAAAGAAGTTTAAAAATCATCTTTAATTTACATTTTGTTAATTAATAAAATGATAACTCTTGTTAATTGTAAGACATATTTTCACCTTAGATCTAAGTGTCTTTATGAGCATGCTTGGAGGCACTCGCTCGTGTGTAAACCCCTCATTATCGTGATTTCATTGTCCTTGACAAATTTCTCAAATAATAGTCTCATTGACAAAAAAACGGCAGGTAATAATGGGGACTAAACTTGGTTATCAATTCACCAATGTTGGTTTTTACTCCAACAAAAGACTTGTGAGTTTTTGACATTGTAAAGTGGGCGCTTGATTGACAGCGATACACTGTATCTTTTTAAGTACATATTGTAACTATTTCAACACAACGCTCCTCAACGACAGCCGTGCAGATTTTTAAACCCGTTAACTGACAAAAGAAAACAGTGAAAGATCATCAAAGATTTGCAAAGTGGAGTTTAAAGACTGACATACGGCCCCCCTCAAACCACCGATTTCAAAATAATACAAAAAATGCAAAATGCAACATTTGTTGAGACAAAACCCTATTTGAACCCTAAAATAATTACCAGAATACACCTTGAAAGTCAAAATTAATTTCAGTTTGTAAAAGTAGGCCTACTTTGATTAAATTATCTACTTTGTTTCTTTTGCTTTAGATGTGTTTTTTTTTTTATTGTCATACATGAAAGAGGTAAATGATATTATTTATAAAAAAACTGAAATTTTCTCAACAATTTTTTCTTTACAGAATTTTAAATAAAGTCAAATTTATGATTTGAGTTTCAATCAGAATAAATTCAGAAATTGAGTTTCTGCTGTATAATTTATACGTTGAAATGTCATCATAAAGTTGTATGTAGGTAACTTTAGATATATCATGATTTAATGTGTAGCCTATGAATCACTTCTTTGTCTTTATCTATATATAAATAATCAGAGTGAGGCTAGCGAGTGGGTTAGGTGCTTCAATAACAAGTCGCAAGTCATAACGACCTAAAATTAACGGCTAATGGGTGGAATATAAAAATAAACTCGTGTCATTAAACAGGAAGTCCCAGGTAGAGGTATGATGGGATGTTTCCTGAAATGAACATGTGTAACAAGATGATAGCGCCAACTCACCTCATGATTTAAAACAAGTACTAACCTAATATGACATGTGATTTAGACCACTTGAAATTCTTTGTTAGTCATATTCGCATGTGCAATTAATTATATCATCATATTTGTTGGTATAAATAGATAATTATAAACATTCATCAAATCCACTGTCTCCTAATAGGGTATTTCAACACAATAGCATTTTAATTTCCAATTAACTGTTACATAAAACTTGCACATATTTTTTCATTCTATTAAATTCCTATTTTAATTTTATGTAACTGTAAGATTTTCTGTAAATAAGCCTGTGCCTAATCAAATCATCATGTACACATAAAGACCACTTGCTTTCTTCCGCTAATAGAAAAACTTACATATATAATATATAATCATAGTAAATTGCCAGACATTTTTGACGAAATTCCAAGAGTTTAATTACAGAAACAATGTGTTACCTGGGCAAACCTGGTTACTATGGTAACTTTTCAGGTGTTTGCAGGTGCTGTGTGTACCTAGTCACCAAAAAAAGATACCGTAAATCACAGGAATATTTTTTTTTTTGTTCCTTCCTTAATTAAATACACCTCGTTAAAACATATCGCACCTAAGCTTTATCCTACTTAATAAACAAGATCTAACATCTACTGGCAGCAATTCAAATGATTCCTTGATTCAGTATTACTGCCTTCATCAAAACATTTTCAGGAGAATAAACACCTGCATGGCTCACTCAAAAAAACATGATAAAATGCATAGGAATCATTCCAATCAAATATCTATTTAGTTCCTATTATGGTCACGAATGAACCTACATCAAACCAAGAGTTTCTAAAAAAAAAAAGTATACTAATAATCATATTCAAATCGACTATAAAGAAGACATCAAGAATAAAATATGAGGTTTTAATGATCTAATTAATTAGTTTTATTACTTCTCAATCTTTATAATTCTTTTATCAAAACAGAAACAGGATTTATAACTAATATATTTAACATCTCTACCAAATATACATTTTTTATAGTCCACCATTAAGGAAATCCTTTATGAACAAATAACTTTTTGAAACCCCACTAAGTATATATTTCATCTTAGAAATAAAGTCAGTTAAATCTGACACTTCCTAATTTGTATAAGAAATAATTCTGGATAAAAGAAAATGTTTTAACATTAATCTGTCCACACCTCTTAGAACGTCTGATCCAAAGAAGTAAATTCAAGATAATCATTTGTTAATTTCTACAATTTTCCCTTTCGAAGAAACAGAAAATAAAAGATAAAATCCAAATACTGATAAAAAGGAAACGTAAAATATAAGATGTAAAAATGAATGGTGTACTAATCATGAACAAATGCCTTATTTTTTATCAGCCCCAAAAAGATCGTTTCACATTAAGAGCAGAATGCCTATTACAGAATACCCATGGCCCACCTGTTTTAAATCATGATAAAATAAATAAAATCTAAAATAAACAGACAAAATGTTCTAGAAGATAACAGAAACTAATCATTTTCATTTGAAAAACAAACTCAATGAATGTGTTATTTATTTCATCCCAATATGTAGGAAGATTTGAAGAAATGTTCTCAAGACAAAAAATCCCAATTTTCAGAAACAGGTGTGAAAGACTATTTGTCAGAAAGATATCATCAAATCTTAGGTAACCATAGAAACAAGACATTAAGAGACACTTCCCCAAACTGTAACAAGTGATGTGATTGGCTGATATGCCTAATCTTGCAGACATGACCAATAAGATGGTTTGTTTTATGGCTTGTCATGAACTGGATGTAAGGCTTCAAGGGAATATAATTCTTATCTATTTATTTTATTCTATTTTGCTACTCTAAATAAACCATGGGTTTATAATCTTTTGTCAGATAACAGGTTGATGTATCAGCAATATCAGGAGTCAGCTAAATACAGACGTTAGTCAAGGGTGGAACTTATTACCAGTTGAAATGTCATGATTTAATGCTGATTAGCAATTACTAACTAATAAGATGGACTTTTTAAAATAGATGAATTTTGCGGGTTTTGTTCAAACATAATTAAACACCAAATCAAATATCTTCCTACTTAATATATCAAAATTTTGAAATTTCAACAATACATAAATTTGATAGATGTACAGAAACATGTACAAACTATAAACCAAAAATTGTACATTAGCTTTTATTTCTGAATTCTTATTAAAAATCTTAATTGCCATCGTTAGTGAAAACTGCATTTCTGAAAGCCCTAAATCATTCCCCTAATATAGTCTAATCTCTTCCTATGATTGCACTAAGTTAAAATCCTCCAAGACTTTTTAATTCAAATTCCAATTTTAAAATTACCATCATCAGTAAGAAACATTAAACATATTATTGCTGGTTTCTAAAATTAACGGAGAATAATTGACAGGTGTTAGTTCTTCACCTGGCCACCTGTTATTCCAAAACCAGAGTCAGAGTTGCCCCCCTTTCTCCAGATCTTGTTACCAACAGCAACTGGTGTATATTATTTGATTACTAAAACATCTGGGTGTCTAAAAACCACAGAAACTACAATTTTCCCACACATAAATTCTGGGTTTAATTAGAAAATAAATGTTTTTATGTTTTTCTGTAGCAAAAGTCAAGATGACTGACAACTGTTGAAATGTTTCTTTATGAAAACAATTTTACTTCTAATGGGCGCCATGATGAGAGTTGGGATTGTCATGTAGGTTGTGAAAGAAGGCAATGATTGATTTAAAACAACAAAATATTTTATGAGATTACATAAAGGATGAATTGAAACCCTGAAATGTTTATCTTAAATCCTCTCAAAATGCAAAAAACTAAATTAGTTCACCAGGTAAATGGAACTATTTTTTTTAATTTATTCTTTTTCAACCATTTTATTTATCAGATATTGATTGCTGACCCAGGAAACAGGTATCTCCAGTAAAATTAAAATCTGAATGTCCACCTAATCAAGAGTCCAAGAAATCCAACAATAATTTATAAAGGTACTTTATATTCAAAAACATGCAGGAATCATTTAATTTATGAAAAGTACTGTAGACTCAAAAACATGCAAGAGTCATTATATTTATGACACTTTCCAAAATTACACAGTCCTACATCTGTAAAAGACAGAAACCAGAAGTTGAAAAGATGTCACAAAAGCAGATAAACTTGTCTGGTTGCTAGGGTGGTGAAGACAAAATGGAGCCAGCCACCAGAAGCAATGTTTACTATGAAGTTCTTCAAATTACATCTGCTACTGTCTTGGGTAAGAAACCACA